TGCTACCTAAAAGTTTATTCAACCAATAAACCTATTGCAGAGGCAGTATTCAATAGAATAGCTGGGCGACTTAAAAAAAACACCTCATGAGTTCATCAAAAGACACATTTATTGCATAAAAATGGAACAAAAATGAATCAAAACCACTTTTTTCGAGTGTTTGATATAAAAACATGATAAGCTTCGAAAAAGCCAAAAAATGACTTTGAGCCCTTATGATACCCTTATCATTTTTGGCCTTTTTCACAAAATTGTAATTTGCAAGCGATACATTAACATTTTACTATAATATATATGAGTACAAGATGCATGTCTAAGGCCTTGGAACATAGTCAAAGCGACGAATTTTAAAAAGTGTATGAATATAGGGCAAAAACAGTATAAGCGTTTTAAAAGGTTCACTCAAAATCTAAACAGCAGATATACTAATTTTCTAGTACTATTCAATGCGCCTTTTTATATACTAAAAAATTTTGTTAATACAGCTTTGCAATAACTCTATACTTTAGAGCACTTTGATTGATTTAATGCTTTTAATTTCATTTTTTTCGTCAGATTGAATTCTAAAGATATTAGGCACTTTAAAGTCCGTCAACTGACATTTCAATCCGTTTGTTTCCTTCATTTATCTCTGTGTATTTTCCTATGGATTTCGTACAAAGTGCTGTTCAACAAACTAATCTAGCCAGTCTTTTAGGGCTTCATCTCGTAAGTTACCATATTGCATAATAAAAACACGTCTTATCATTCTATGTCAGTGCCTTTCTCTCTTAGGCGCAGTTGCTAGCAACCCTACCTATAATATCCCTATTTTCTTTTTTGGTATTTGGGCTTTCAATAACCGTGAGTCTACCACACCCTTAAAGACAGTAAGTGCTATAAAAGAAAGGAGGTTATTGTTCTGATTTTATTAAGTTTGCAGGAGCACTTGGTCTCAGTATCTTTTTGGATTTGATTTGGTTTTATTTACATGGTGGTAACCCACAAGCTGAAAGTGGATTCGGTTTTGCCAAATTGTAAGTTTCAACTATTAAGACGAGCTTTGATCATAACTGTTTGGGATAGCTTTAATGTAATTAGCTTGTTTGTTAAGGTAAAGTCATGGATAGTGTTACAATCATGACTAAACAATGATGTTAGCCCTTTACTGTATATTCTGCTGCCAACATCCTCAAGGAACGCGGTGATTCTTTAAATGCTGGAAGTGAGTACACAGTACGAAATATTCTTGATTACTTAATTTTTCTAGATTGGTCAGAAGCTCCAGGAGCATTTCCTTCAGGTGGTTATCAAAACGTGAGAGATGGAGATAGTGCAGAATTCCCATAAGTTGATAGAGAATTTATGCAATTACCCCAACAAGTCCTTGATTATGATTGGCAGAGATCCCTCTTTTATTTATGGTTGTTTTTTTTACTGGAATTTTCTGCAATCTATCGTCTTGTTTGACATTCATACCATATAGTGAAAATTAAAAAAAAATAAAGATCAGTGTGTTATTCTCTTCTTGTTTGTTTGTTTGTTTGTTTGTTTTAATTTCTATTTTATTACTCATCGTTTAGAGATCTGCTGATACTACAAGATAGATATGTTCTCGGGCAATATCTTTTTTATTCTTGAGCATCAACCTTGAAAAGGAAATTTTACTTTAAAGAAGCTGATTGGAGTTGAATAAATCAGCATTTTCCATTTGATTATTAAAGGATGACCTTTGCTTTTTCTTTTTTTTCTTTTTTTCTTCCATTTACTATTAACAAAAGGGAATGGAGTGTATTCCAACTGAAGATACTGACGCTTATTTACGCTGGATCAATGTAAGTTGTCTTGTTCAGTCAACATGTCAACTCATCATTCCTCTATAGTCTGTCTTGGGTATTTGCATACATAGTTATCTTAATGCATTGAGTGTCTTTTTGGGCTATTTGTCCATCTTTTGTTGGTTAAATGCTCAAATTCCGTAAGTTGCTATACCTGATTTTTTTTTGTATTTAACATGTCACCCTAGTCAGGTCATGAAGAATTATAAGTTACGCTCTGCTGATGGGCTTAGTCTGTACCTCTTGTACTTTTGGCTAGCAGGTAGGATGAAACCCTCAGGGGTGATTCGTTCATGTTTGTTTATTCCATTATGTATAGGCGACCTTGGCAACATGCTCAGTTGTATACTAAACAGTCAATTGCCATTTCAGATTTATTTAGCTACTTATTTTGTTTCAACAGATCTCATCTTGCTCTTTCAGTATTTTTATTATGGCAAAGGCGACTTGCAATGTTCAGAAGATGACTGGAAAATCAACACATTTGACCAACTGGCCAACGATGAAGAATCATCAGCCTTGATTCATGAAATACGCTTGAGCTAACAAAGACCATGGAAGATATTACTTCTGTCTCAAGCAAGTATGGTTCTGTTTCAAACACAAAGACAAGTACCATGTTAATGGGAGTACTGCTCTTTGGCTGGAACTTCGGTTCCCATCCTATGGTCTCTGCTTGTCAACAGAAAATCCTGTCACATTTGGCTGGACCCTGGCTTGGATATGTAATTCACTTTATCTGTTGTCCCGTATACCACAAATCTACAAGAATTTCAAGCGCCATTCAACCCAGGGACTCTCACTGGCTTTGTTCTTTTTGCTGTATCGGGTAATGTTACTTATGCCCTGAGTATTTTAGCTCATCCAGGGCACACAGCAGAGACTTTGATGCAATCATTGCCTTATTTATTTGGTAGTTTGGGTACATTGTTCTTGGATGCTATTATCTTTGGCCAGTTCTTGCATTATCGAAAGAACACAGCCCATGTTGACAATACGCCTACTACTGCTGCACTGACTAGAGCTCTTACTTTTTCTTCTCAGTAACATACATGTCTATTTATTGTTTGAAACACATATACGGGTCAATGTTTTATAACTAATATTTATATATATATAAAAAAACCTTATTGTAAATACCCAATAAACTTTCTTTGTTTTTTTTATCTTTGCAAACGTAAGATCATACCAGTTTTTAGGTTCATAGATTCTCTAAGAAGAAAAGGAGTTTTGTTTCAAACCTGTACCTTCTTGGCTCGGAAGAGCATTCTCAAATCCTTTTTAAAAAAAATCTCTTAATTTTCACTAAATTCTTCATTAGGTTATTTGAATAAATACTATGCAAATGACTGAACCTCTAGTGTAATGGTATATATTATTATGTATCTCTCCTTGGACAATCACTCAGAATCTTGTACCTACATTTTCCATGGAAACTCCGTGGCCAATCAAGTCTCTAACTATTCAGATTAAGTTGCATAATCCCTGACATGTTTCTTTTGTAATACAACAGTTTGTTTTATTACATACAGTGAACTATGAGCAAATATATGCCGAGAAACAACATACTGACTTGTAATGTCACCCATCCTATCAAAAGAAGAATCCTTTGCTTATTTCTCACAAGATAAAAACAAATATATTTGTATTTGATATATAAGGAGATATTTACACTATTACAACAGGGAGATCTATTGCCATCATAACCAGCATTTAGTCTCTTGTTCGGTTTTAAGCGTCTGTAGGAACATCATTGGATTATGCTTCGCTTGTTCCTTAATTGGCAAGAGAATAAGCCACAAGAAAGAATGGTCACAAACTCCTGTTTTTCTTGCAATACAATCCTTTAGGATTTTTTTTTCAAAGTCTGATTTCTTTCAAGTTTTCTCTTTAACTGCATAATGGGTAAGATCATCAAGAAGGGAACTAAGGGTGCCGCCGCCAACTACATCACTAGACAACAAGCTTTAAATAAGCTCCAGATCTCCCTTGCTGACTTTAGGTAAACTCTTTTTTATGGATCTGTCAAACATAACTCACCACTCTCTCTCTATATGTAGACGTCTTTGTATCTTGAAGGGTATTTACCCTCGTGAACCCAAAACAAAAGAAGGCCAACAAGGGCAGTACAGCACCTTCCACCTTTTATTATGTCAAGGATATCAAATATTTGCTTCACGAACCACTTTTAGTTAAGTTCCGTGAATACAAGGCATTCGCCAAGAAGCTCAACAAAGTGCTTCACAAAGGTGAATTCTCTGCAGCCAAGTCATTAGAGGAAAACAACAAACCTGTCTATACCTTGGATCACATTGTTAAAGAAAGATATCCTTCTTTTATTGATGCACTTCGTGATTTGGATGATGCATTATCCATGCTCTTTTTGTTCTCCAAACTTCCTGCTGACAACAAAATCAAGGCTGATGCTGTTGCTGATTGTCAAAAGCTTATTTCTGAATTCCAAGCTTATGTCATGAAGTCAAAGAGTCTTCGCAAAGTTTTCTTTTCTATCAAGGGTATCTATTATCAAGCTGAAATTAAGGGTCAAACCATCACTTGGGTTGTTCCTTACCAATTCTCTCAAGATATCCCTACAGACGTTGATTTCCGTGTCATGTTGACCTTTTTGGAATTCTACCGTACACTTGTTGGCTTTGTGAACTTTAAGTTATACAATGAAATGAACATGATTTATCCTCCCAAGTTGGACGAAACAGGCGGTTTCCATTTGGACGAAATGATGAAATCCACTGCTGCTGCCAAAAACAATGACGACGAGGAAGAAGAAGCCACCAACGTCGATGAATTCAAATCAGCTGCTCCTGAAGAAGACAACACAGTGACACTTGCCAAGATCCAAGCTGCCACACACGCCACATCCGACTTGCAAAACTTGTTTAAAGACCAAAAGTTCTATTTGTCCCGTGAAACACCTCGTTACGCTCTTGAGTTTATGATTCGATCATGCGGTGGTGAAGTGAGTTGGGATCCCTCTGTTGGTCTCAACCCTCCTTTCCCCGAATCTGATGAATCCATCACGTATCAAATCACAGATCGCCCTGTTGTCAGAAACCGTGTCTTGTCTCGTACATATGTTCAACCTCAATGGGTTGCAGACTGTATCAATGCTCGTAAGATTGTGAAGCCCAGTCTTTATGAACCTGGTGCTGTCTTGCCTCCTCACTTATCTCCCTTCGTTGAAGCTAAGGAAGGTGACTATGTTCCTCACAACAATGTAGAAAGTGATGAGGATGAAGAAGTAGAGGAAATGGTCGAGAAAGAAGAAGAAGAAGTGAAGAAGCCAAAGAAACGCACAGCTGCCGAAATTGAAGAAGAAGAACAGAAAGAAATGGCTACAGTCATGATGACAAATAAACAAAGAAAGCTGTATGCAAAGATGCAACACGGTATCAAACAAAAGGCAGACGAAGTTGCCAAATTGGAAAAGAAAAAGAAGGCTTTGAAGAAGTCAAAGAAATAATCCTCACTATTTTTGTATCATTCATCTCTCATTCATCAATCTCACACATATTAATAGAATAAAAAAAAATTGTTTAATCCCAGTTCTTTTTTCCCTTTTCCTTTTTTTTTAATGATGACAGATCCTTTTGAAACACCTTATACCTATGAACCTCAAGACCTTGAGTATATGCAACTCTCCATACAGGAAGCGCATAAATCAATCCCAGCACCTCAAGCTTATTGTGTAGGTGCCGCCCTTGTAGACAAAGATGGAAAGTTATTAAGTACAGGTTATTCACGCGAATTGCCCGGGAATACACATGCAGAAGAATGTGCTTTAGCAAAGGTAGATGCCTCTATGGATCTCTCGGATACCACCATGTACACAACCATGGAACCATGCTCTGTTCGGCTATCAGGAAACAGACCTTGCACCAGCCGAATTATCGAAGCTAAAATTAAACGCGTTGTTTTAGGCGTACGAGAACCTCCTAATTTAGTGACTTGTGAGGGCATTAGCCTTTTAAAGAGAGAAGGAATTCAAGTGTTTATCGTGCCTGATGTTCAAGAAGCATGTTTAGCACCCAATCAACATATTATCAAATAAATCTAAACATGAACTTTGTTTTTTTTATTCTTAATTACAAAAAGGTAGTGTGAGATGTGTTTACAGAAAAAAATGATGAGGGAATTAGATAGCGTTGGAAGGATAAGCAAAGTTTTCAATAGGAACAAAGCTTTCCTTGATGGTGCGAGTAGAGATGAAACGAACCAAAAGAGACCAAGAACCAGCCTTATCGTTGGTACCAGAAGCACGTCCACCGCCGAAAGGTTGTTGACCAACAACAGCACCAGTACACTTGTCATTGATGTAAAAGTTACCAGCAGTGTTACGCAACAAGTTAGAACCAGCAACAATAGAAGCACGGTCCTTGGCAAAGTAAGCACCAGTCAAACCATATTCAGTGGTTTCACCAATGAGCTTGCAAGTAGCTTCAAAGTCAACATCGTCATAGACATAGATGGTGAGGACAGGACCAAAGATTTCGTCAGTCAAGGTCTTGGCGAACTTGTCCTTGGTCACAATCACAGTAGGTTCGATAAAGTAGCCAACAGAGTCATCGTATTTACCACCAGCAATGATTTCACAGCTGTCTTGAGTAGAAGCATAGTCAATGAAACCCTTGATCTTGTCAAAGGCAAACTTGTTGATGACAGGACCAGCAAAGTGATGGAATTCAGTGACAGGACCTTGAGTGATCTTGGCATGTTCAGCAACCAATTCCTTCTTGAATTGAGCGAAAAGAGAAGCGGGAACGTAAGCACGAGAACAAGCAGAACACTTTTGACCTTGGTATTCAAAAGCACCACGGATGGTTTGCAAAGCAGCATGACGAACACCGGCTTCATCAAGGCTAGGGTGCAACAAATGGTAGTTCTTACCACCAGTTTCACCAACAATACGAGGGTAGCTCTTGTACTTGTGGATGTTGTTACCGATTTGTTGCCACAAGTTACGGAAGACGTGAGTGGAACCAGTAAAGTGAAGAGAGGCAAAGTCAGGGCTGGCAATAGCATGGCCACAGATTTCTTCAGCAGGACCAGGGACGAATTGGATAACACCAGCAGGGAGACCTGCTTCTTCCAAGATTTCATAAACAATGTAGTTGGAAAGAACAGCGCCAGGAGAAGGCTTCCAGAGCACAACGTTACCCATCAAAGCAGGAGCAGCAGGCAAGTTACCACCAATAGCGGTGAAGTTGAAAGGAGAAACAGCCAAGACGAAACCCTCAAGACCACGGAATTCAGTACGGTTCCAGGTACCGGGAGCATTCTTGGGAGGTTGTTGAGAGTAGATTTCTTCGGCGTACTTGCAGTTGAAACGCAAGAAATCACAGAGTTCAGCAGCAGCATCGATTTCGGCTTGCCAGATGTTCTTACCTTGACCGAGCATGGTAGCAGCCATAGCCTTATATCTATATTAACCATATATGAGTATACGCGTATTCTCTATGTATAACCCTCCAATTGTATAAAACGGCATGTGTATGTGTAACATACTCAAACTTTCTCACAATCCCAAAAAAAAAAGTAGTAATTGAATAATTACCTGTACTTGGCAGACAACAAATCAGCAGCCTTCAAGAAGACAGCAACACGGTCGTTAAAAGGAAGGCTTTCCCATTGAGCCTTAGCAGCCAAAGCACCATCAATGGCCTTTTGGGTAAGAGTAGCATCGGCTTCATGGTACTTTGCAACAACAGACTTGTGGTCGGAAGGGTTCAATTGTTCAGCAGTCTTACCAGTGTAAATCTTTTCGCCGTTGATGACAACAGGGACTTCAACAGTACCTTGAGCGACCATATCCTTGACTGCAGCTTCAAGCTTGACTCTTTCAGCAGAACCAGGAGCATAGTTGAGCTATAGCGTGTGAGAAACAAATAAAACAAAACAAATCTGATTTTATTTAAATTACCATAGGCTCATTATCGATTTGAGGCAATTTGAAGTGAGCAAGAGTAGGAGTGGCCATTTTGACGGATATAAAGTAAAGAAAAAAAAAGAATGAAGAAGAAAAAAATGGGCGTATTTATATAGTTTTTTTTTTTCTGCTGTCAAATGTTTATTGTCAGATTGATTGGCTCCATACAAAAAGATTGGACCTAAACTCTAATGATGATATTCTGATACTAAACCCCGCTTGTCGTTTATTTGGCCCGGCATTTCCCGGTTTAGTGGACTTGAATGACCGCTGAATTCAGAGAGAAAGAAGACCGAGAAGATGGTTTGTCCTTGTCTTATCGTTATCTCAAACAAACAAAAAGATTTTATTTGGTTATTCCATCAAACGCAAGTCACATACGTTTAGTGTTTTGTTTATTGACACTAAAAATATGATGAAAAAAAAAACAAATTATGGACAGGTGTCTGAAGGTCGCAACAAGACAAGCATCCAAAGTCTTGTTTTCCCCGCATTTTTCAACAGGACGAGACATAACAACTCTTTCTCGACTTAAATCAAGATTGAATGAACCAATGAGAATGACTGAAAAGGAATCGCCTTTATTTGTCTTGTCGACCAACATTTGTTTGTCATTCAATAGATAGGTAATAGCTAAATTAGATAGACATCTTGTGAAAAAAAAAAAAATCCTTGTCTATGACAAAATAGACTGAGCATTTGCCTTTATTATAGAAAGGATATATCATCTGTCAAACAGGTCCATGCAGAGGCATCTGAATTTTTTTAGCGTAACATGAATCGTGCTCCTATTGGTTTAGAAGGTGAGAAAAATAAAATATAGATTGTACTCTATTTTTTATCGCCATGGATGTTTTCAGGCCATAGATTGCTTCCTTTACATGCTATTCTGGTTCTAATCTCGTAATTAGATAAAAAAGAGAACTTTCAACTGATTCCAAAGGATAAATATAAAATCAAAGTGATCTTAAAAGGACAAAAGCGACATAAGAGACATTTTCGGAGATCTATTTTCTTTTTTTTGTGTAGCCATCAAACTTTCATGTCATTTTATAAAAAAGAGACTACTAAAGGCTTGAACCCTTTTTCGGGCTGATACGTGTTCCAAAAAGATCATGATAATCGTTCAAAAGAATCGTCACAAAGAAAAAAAAAGCGGGATGCTTTGATTGAACAGAACAAAGAATTACTAGTTACATTTCAACAAAGAATATGCGCATATATCAAATTACATAGTTTGTGTACCCCTTTTCTATTATTATTCACATGTGGCGTTAGCTCACTATCTCGCGTTGAAAAATACACAAAAGGCTTTATTGTTTAATAAAGATGATAAAGAAATATATATATTTTTCTGTCACTACAAGAGATAAAATTTCAAAAGACAGTCTAAAAGCACAAACAAAAAGAAGGAGGTGGACAAGTATGTTGATCTAAAATGAGTACATGCAGTAAAAACAAAGTGCTGAAATGCATAATTCATTTAGAAAAAGACCCTGCATGCATTGAAATGCCTTGGAGCCCAAACGTATTCACAAGAGTCTGTTTTGAAGGATTAGTCTGTAAACAACATTATCCATAGATGATACCAAATGTCTTCCTTAAACAAATGGGTTGGGTTTATTTAAAGTTAGTTGTCGTATATACTGTAGGATTGTTATTCAAATCATAAAACTGGTTCAATAGACCCATCATGCCTTCCCCTTGTTTTTGTTCTTCTTCCTCGTCATCATCCTCTTGATGTTGATGGTTCCAAGGTTCGCTTTGTTCAAAAGAATCACCTAAATTACTTGTCACAACTTGAGGCATACCATATTGATCAAGTCGAATAGGTGTCTTATGTTGACTCGTGTCTGATTCACTCTCTTCTTCTTCTTCTTGCTGTTGATGATGATAGGCTTGTACCTTGGACAGATACATGGATCCAGCCATATCATGAGGTTGCCATCGAGGATGATTTGCCTATATATAAATACATTCATTAACGTATCTCTACACACAACTTACTTTGAAATTAAGAAAACTCTTCTCCATCTTGCCTTGTTTGCTAAGATAGTATTCGTCTTCTGCTACAGCACCTTGAACACCATACTTGACATTACCATGACGTTCAAAATCAAATTGAGCAAAACTACAGACATAGCCTAACTCATTCACATGCACAGTGAATTCTCGAAAGAAGTTGATGATCTGTTCTGCACTTTCAGGTAACGACAAGCACAGCACAAGAGGTGCAAATATCACACTGGTCAATTCTTGTAAAAAGATGGCCACTTTGTAATCAAACAATTTACAGAATTCGCCTCTCACCTAAAATCCTCTATCTGTATTAGCCCGTATATATATATATCAAGTGTTTGTCAATTTTTACATGGTCAGTGTGTAATTGATGCTTCCATTCAGCAGGCAAGTAATGTGTATGTTTTACTACTTGTCGAAGCACCTTTTCAGGTTCAAACACTTGGTTTTCATCTGGAATCATCCCTCTTGTTACAGCAAAAAGAGTACCTGTAACACCTAAATAGAACAAGACAGTACCATTAGACGTAATTTCGAAATTCAATAAAGCTTCTGAATCAAACAAGGTAAACAAGGCAAGAACACCTGCTATTGACCCAGACAAGAAAGAAACAAATCTGGCTAACAGGACCATCTTTTCTTTTGGAAATTGGTTAATGTAATGATTGGCATGTTTATAACTCTGACCGATCCGCTTTCGAAACAAATGAGGTAGTTCGTTAAATTCACGAAACTGCCATTGAGCAAAAGGTGTGTAAGTGCGTGAACCCATTTCTCCAGGATTTTTGTGATAGGCCTTTTGGGCATGATCAATACATACATATGTATATATATATATTGAACAGACTTACCTCAAAGTAGCGAAAGAAAAAGTACAAGAGTAAATAGGCAAAGATAAATGGGAACAAGATCAAGTTGAGTAAACCCATAAAGATAAAACGTCGCTTAAGACCCGCTACCAAGACATGCTTGTTTTTCTCTTTTAGAAACCGTTTCCTGATCTGTCCTCGGTGATCAAACACATAGCCTAACAAACAAAACGACAGATTCCATTCTAAATCCTTTGAAAAGATAGGACGATGGCGTATATAAGGTAATGGAATAGTGATATTCAATATGTCCTTGTTAAACAAGGCTATCAAGTAGTTCTCTTGACGCATAATTCGACTGGCTACATCATGTTCTGTTAGTCGAATATCGTTTGCATTTGGATTTGTTTCTCGAATAGCAATAATTCGATCCAGTACTGTCTGCCACGATACAGTCTGCATATCTTGCTATGATAAGGTGTTGGCATAAACTCATTTCCATACTTGACTTACGTCTGGAATAAGTAATAAATGTGTATAAAAGTTGTGCATTTCTTGCAACCTGGGTAAATCTGTGATAAATCGGATGGCTTGATATCCCCACCATACAATAAAGATCAACAAGAACAAGAATTTAGTAGCAGACAGTCTATAGACAAGATAAGTCTTTTTTTTTTTTTTTGGACTATACAACTCCACTTGCCTAGATAAGCAGTGTGGTTCAATCACATCAGCTAGTTTATGGTGCGATGTAATTTCTGAATAATTCACACAACCCACTAAAAATGTAGAAAACCCAATAATAAACGCAAGTGTCCTACACTGTTAACACTCAATATACATGATAACAACTTACAACACATTCAAAAGTCTTGCTAATAAGATACAATAAATGCCTTTGCCTTGATAATAGTCATATACTCTTTGAAAAAAATCGTCCATGTTCTCTACATTAGCCCATCGCCACATTGTTCTGTCGTAAGTAGTCACTTTCCCTCTTGTGGAATGGTGAGTAGGATAAGGGGGTGTTTGTCTTTCCAAGAAGAGTGAATCAGGTGCTTCTAGTTCATCTTGTTCTTCTGCATAATACTGCGGTTGAAAAGGAGTATGTTCATGTATTGGGTTGAGTGTGAAATCTTCTTCTTCGTCTGAAGTATGAGGTGATAATAGTCTTCTTGACATAGATATATAAACAAGATAAAAAAAAAAGAAAAAGAAAAGGATACACCTGATTATCTGCATGATAGACGCAAACAAAGTCACATACTGCATCATGCGTTACAGAGTCAATTATATGTCAACTCAAGGTATTCATTATTCCCCCTTCCTCCCCTGGATCATCAACATATTTAAGCCAAACATAATGCTCATTTGTCTCTTTTCTTTCTTGCCTTACTTTATTCTCTTTATCATGAAGTCCATGCTTGTATTATTTTTATTTCTAGCAGTGGTCTATTCAGATCAAATTATCATGTATAGTCCACCTATCAACAGTACTTGGTTTGTGAATGATATCATGGATATTCGATATAGAGGTAAACTAGGAATACAAGTCAAATTGATTGACAAGCTAGTACGCGCTATGGGCATGATCAAGATCTGGACTACTGTCACTCAGTTGGTTCATGTGGATACAAACACAACGATAGATTCATTTCCAAATCTTCAATGGTCTATGGACACACCAAAAGATGTGAATCAGACAGTACATGCTACATGGAGTATTCCTTCACTCGCTATGGGTAACTATACTATGCATATCATTGCAAAGTAAGTTTATTTATTTATTTATATATAAGCACTAAGCTTTCTTTCTATTATTAGTGCTACTGCTCTCTGTTCAAAAAATAAGGATGGAACAAGTAAGTTGAAATAGAAGGTATTTTCCTAATCTTAAAAATTACAATAGTGCCATTTGTTCGCTGTCCTTATATACTGCATGAATTTAGAGACTTCAGGATACTTGTCTAAATAGGCTGTGACACATACAGGCTCATAGGATTGACGTATATATACCTTTATTACATCACACATGTTATGTACTTCTTTACTATCATAAAGCGATAAAAACAACAACAACAACAACAACAACAAAAAGATTGGAATGTGAATAAACAGTCCTGTATATAAGGAGATACACTTTATACATGTATTTTTTTTTCTCCTTCTCTTTCTGTTTATAGATAGATAACTATATGATAGAAATGATGTCAGAAAACATGAATTCTAAACCAGTGGTTGTAATGATATTCCCTTTTTATCTATTTATTTATTTTGTCCTACTTTAACATATGAGAAAATCCTTTAGATGTCAGAAATAGAAGAGCATGTGGCTAGACTATTGTCAAGTACAAAGCGATTATTAGAAATACTGAATGGATGGTCTTGTGGAAATATAAACCAACAAGATATATATGAGGAATATAATATATTGGAAACTTATTTCATGGCTGCCACACGCGCCTTTGAGTCTTGTTCAGTGTCCACAAGGTAATAGGATAAATTTGGATTTTGATCTGATTTGGTCTATAGTGATATGCATTATTTGCCCGAAGAATTACGTACTTGCTTAAAAGAGGTATTGGAGAAGGAGCCTTCTTTAACAACACTAGAGCAACATTTGCCTGCTATTCGTGATATCATCATGAGACTATTACAAGGCTTAAAAGCCAAACAGTCTTTACTGCGAGATAAAGGTAAATGAACACATACATACAATAGCTTAAAGGAACAAAAAGAATTCCCTGTCTATCTGAAAAGTGGAGATCGTATCAAGAAATGTACACTTCAAAATAGTCATTTATCGATAGCGTCAATTCAGCAATTGTTTATGACTACATTTGATGTCGATCTATCCACTGTTTATATTCTAGATCCTACTACCAACATTGAATATGAGCTTGAAGATGTACAAGACATTCAACCTTATTCTGTATTGTCTATAAAAGGTAAGTTCCCTTTTGGACTCTGTCTCTTAACATAATAGCAACACATCATACATTACAACAATTACATAGCTTATTTGATGATTTCTTACAACAATCAGCCCATACATTAACAAAAGAAACTGAACTCAATCAACTTAAACAAGAATTAACACAACTTAAGCAATCCTATGCTCAACTCAAGACAGAACATGATGCCTCAGACAATCGAAAAATCCACCAGGAAATCAGCAAGAGCAAAGATATCACACAAAAAGCAGCCACGTTAATGACAACACGGCTGGAAGAATTACAAGACACGATTGATCAGCTGAAATCGGATGTAACACAGCGTCGATGTCGTCCTTCCAAACACCAATTGACACAGTGTCAACAAGTGTCTGATAGACTGATGCATGAAATGAAACAACTAGAGTCACGTATCAAGACATGTAAGCCTCTTTGGAAAAAGACGTGGGAATTGGAATTACAACAGATTGTGAAAGAACAACAGTTTCTTAAAGAACAAGAAGCCCTTGTGGCTGATTTAAAAGAAGACCATAAGGCATTAATAGACGTATTAGGACAACTTCATAAAATATCAGAAATACAGGAACGAAAGAAACAACTTGGTATGCCTATTCAGAAGGAACAAGATGAAGAAGAGGAAGGCATGATTAAAGTATTGCAACAAGTTTCTCATCTTCATGTGGACCATCATCAAAGAATGAAAGCATTGGGTGAAATAGAAACTAAAATCAAGTCCAAGAAACAAACAGTAGACGAATTTGAGAGAGAATTGACAGATTTCATTGGATTCAGTAAATTAAAGAATATTGGAGGAACAGAAAATGTGGACAAACAAAGGCAAGAGAAAGATAAAGCCATGATTCAACAATTATTCACGCATAAACAATAAACAAAAAGAACAAAATGGATCATTAAGGAAGACATGTGTGACCCTTATTCTATGATGACGTTAAGTTGAAATTTCCATTTGTGGGTTGACATGGAATATATATAAAACCTTCCTTTTCTTTCTTGTTTCTTCCTTCTTTTTCTTTTTATTCTATATACTTTATCATGAACTGTGAATTAAACAAACATCAACACTCTTCTTCAATGACAAGCTTCTGTTCTTGTTGTGGTGTCGATGTCACTCAGTTTAGGTAAGTCAACTCTCTTGTTCTTTACATGTTACTTATATCATATCAGTCATGAATTCTGGTGTAGATTTGCAAATGGCAACTAAAAAAAAACCCCCCCAAAAACAACCACACTTATTCTGTACATATCCATCAAAGAAAACTTTTTTTTTTTTAAAAATCTACATCTCTCTCTCTCTGTACAAAAGAAAAAAAAAGAAGACAAAGATGATGACAGCCTTGTCATATTTATGTATATATATTTATATATCTTATCCGTTTCATATTTATATACCTCTACGCAATATATTTTTTATATATATTTGTACCTTATTTATTATTAGAGAATAAATTGTATGACGTTAATACAAACTTCAAATGATCGACAACTTTAAATCGCAAATTTAAATTATTTTGTTTTTCATCATCATCGTCATTTTTCTGTCACACATGGTTACAAATTGTTTATTTGATTTATTTAGTCTTATCAAATAATGATGAGATATCCATAAGGCGTTTATCTACACAATAAAGGGGGGGGCACTTTATTGTTTAAAAGCTATCGTACAGTGTATTGCAATTTTCTGTTTCTTTCATAAATCATTGTTTTGTCTTACTCTGTATTACAGAAAACAAAAATAACGTTTTTCCGATCTATATAGTCTAGAATCTACATGAAAAATCTATCAAAATTTATCAAATAAACAAGCTTTTCCATAGAAATTTAAACTTTTTTTTTTTTTTTTTTTTTTGCCAAGCATAATTAAGATTATCAATTTTCACTAAAAACTAGTGAATAGATAATAAAAGATCTATCTAAACTGAAAAAAAGAGATGTTGATCAAGATATGAAGCATACGTCATCTCGCTTTCTTTCCCCAATATACTGGATTATGGTGACACAAATCACACCTTAAAGTAAAATTTTCTCGCTCTTTCTTGACACTTCCCCAGACATGCTTAACAAATGATGATGCCATCCAACACTTGCTGTTGTCACTAGGAACAAGACCAAGAAATAAGCTTATGATGTGTATGTCCCAAGCATACAACCTCTTTCTATATATCAATAAAAATAAAAATCGACTTATCAAAAAATAATTGATAGAATGACCTTTTGGAGTGATAGATTCATATCTCGTTTGTTAAATAAAACAAACACATCTATCCTCTCTCTCTCTCTCTCTCTCTCTTTCTTTATACACATGTCAGATATACCTGTGGTTCGATTCTTATCTGTTTGCCCTTACGCTGGATGTCGCTCGCATGATTTTGTGACCTCCAGCCGTTTACGATCTCATTTGAAAAATATCCATAAAACCAATTTCCCTCCTAAACCTGTAGGTTCTCGCCGAAGAAAAGCCAATGAATTCATTGCCCAAAACGATCCCTTTGGAAAAGTGGATGAAGAATACCTTGCTTGTCCTTCTTGTCTTGAGTATTTTGATCTGGATGAATTTGATGGATTACTTAATCATCTTGCTGATATCCATGGTAGTCCTTCAGGCACAAGACAAGACCAAAAGCCTTCCAATGAAGATATCATGCAAAAGCTGGATGAATTGATTCAGACAGTCAAACGATTAGTTGTTTAAAATAAACATTGCTAAATGCAATAGAAAAAAAATCGAGTTACAAAATTAGAGATTGGATGAGTTTCTAATTTAAAAGAACTTTACCTAATTATTCGCAATTGGCTACTCTCCTCTTCTTGCAAAAGGACAGATGCTTAAATCTTGAATTCTTTAGTTTCGTATTGACTGATTTTAGATTGAGAGAGGTGGGGGATAGATACTCTGAGAAGACACAAGGCTGAGCCAGATAGATTTATTGCAAGAGATGAAAGGGCTTTACAGAGACATATTCAGGATTGACACACATCAAGATAACATTCATTGATCTTTTGATTGTCTTTCCATTCCTTTCCTTTACAAAACAAGGGTGTTCTAGGTGTTTAAAACAATAGATGCATGTCTATGAAATCTTGTATTCGTTAGTGATACGAACATTGCCTCTTTTTCCACGCATTTCTTCGAGACATTTCCCCCATATCCACGGTGGCCTTTAATTCTGATCAAGCAGATGAGGAAGAAGGATGGGAGGGGGCTTTTGCAAAGGAAGGGTTTCTTTTTCTAAGGTTTTTGGCAATGGAGTCAAAATGATTGTCAACATAATCCTTCCATAATTCAATTATTAATTTGCTGCTATTGTTTTCCATAAAGTTCCTCATCACGCTAGGCTCTAGATTAGCAAAAAATACAGCATTTTTTATGATTTCATAAGGAAGTCTCGTCTTACTTGTGAAGTCGTTTTCGAATCTCAGGAGGTCAGCATCAAGTTTTTGGCTGCTTTTCATCTTGTCCAAGATCGCAGTAGAGATATAATGATTCATTGATTTGTCAAAGAATGTAAGATAGGCAGGATCACTGTTATATTGTCGCTTGATTCTCTTTGCAGAGTCTGAATTTGATGTTTCTTCATTGGACTTTCGCTTATTCAAACTTATAGGTATTGGTGTTTGTTTATCTTTCGTAAAGAAGCTTTTTTTTCTTTTTCTTCTTTGAGCTACGCATCCTATACTTACAGTGTAGATGTGTCTCTTTACAATATTGCCTCTTGTTATAGATAATCAAGTGGTTTAGTAAAAGAAAACGCTAAAAAAAAGCGACAATACTGATGAAAAAAAAAAAGGAAAACATCCAGCTATCAAATGTCATTACGGTTTGACTCCGTACTGTAAGATCAGGCAATGAAAAATGACACATTAAAGACTGTCATAATCACGGGCCATTACTTCTGTATATCATCTTTACATATACACTCTTTACTGAATTGATTTAGATTATTACCATATTTAATCTATTGTTTAATCAAAAATTACATCTACATCTAATTTGTCACTTCCTAAATATTATGGTAGTCAAGCGCAAAAGACTTGCAAGTAAACAACAATAGATATCACTGAAAAAACATCCTAAATATCAATTGAGTCAGCAAATGCCTTCCTTTTCTTTTTGTTTACGTTTAAATAAATAGGTTTAGTACTTATGAGTGCCTAGAATGTTTCTTATCTAGGATAAACAGAACAAGGAAAAGATAAGGTTGTTTTCCTGTCATAAGATTATGCTTAGAGAAAGCAAGTTTACATATAATTTTATTCGTATTGTTATTTATAATAAACGGTTACAGAAAATTAAACACTTATACTTTGAACTTTATCACTGTTGATGTTCAGGAAGAGACTGAGGCAGTTTATAGTAGTGTCTCTCAAAAGACTGATAAAAGATCTCAAAAGCTTCAGAAGTGGCAGCATGCATCATAGCGTTTAAACATAAACATAACAGCTTGGTGCTCTGAATTTGTCTCATGAGTTGCCTTGGGTTCTTTGATCTGAAGCGATAGATCGTTAGTAAATCAATGAAATAAAATAATGTGCATCTTACTGAGGACTTGATGTACTTTTCTCAAGCACGCTTCATATGCCAATGACATTCGAAAAACATTTTTGATGGGTGCAGTTTCGGTAGCACTACAATCAATCATTCAACTGGTAATTTGACTTTCACCATTTTTCAATATCTTCTATAGTCACCAAGTTTCTCTTGACAAAAGACATTAGAGCAGGAATGCGTAACAGCATGAGTGTGCTCAAAAGTAACTTTATTATAGGCATATTAAACAAAGTTTAGACTTTTTTGGTGGTATTTTGATAATGGATGCATAGCTGGAGCGCTGCATGACGAACGGAGACTGATTTAATAACTGTGACTAGAAATCAGTTTCGTGGCTTTGCCTATTTTTTTAAAAAAAATACAGATCTCTCAAGCCATTTTTTTCTTCTTCTTTTGAAAGCATATCATCATGTCCAACGATGCCAACGTACATTTAAAAAAGAGGCGTGTAGAAAACGGTGTTAAAAAGAACACCAATCATTCAAAGATATATCAGCCTTTTAGAGCCATTGGTTATGTGACAAACGAAGTACCTTATGTTATCAATAACTTTGGCAATGAATATTTCTTGACAACCTGTGTTGGCCATAGTTTCCAGACGTATAATGTAAATAATACTTGACTTATAGACCATGACTCATATGATGTAATCTATAGCTTGGAAAAATGAACCTTTTGTTTGTCAGTACACCTACAGAAAAGCCCATTTCAGCTTTGGCTACGTACAAGAAATTAGTCTATGCAGCCGCTGGTAATTGTGTGATTGGATATAAGCGAGGTAAAGAAGTATCTCGTGTGGGAGGTCAAGGCAACTTTAATATCACACAAATCATCACCCTCGGTGCTTATATGGCTGCTCTTTGTGATGATAATACACTTAAATTATGGGATACTACCACAGGAGGTAAGTTCAAAAAAAAAAAAAAAGAAAGAAAAAGCCAATGGCTTACACCAACTAGAATTATACACTGAAATCGAGTTTGGACAAGAATTCACAGCCACACAAATGCTTCATCCTTCCACTTACCTCAATAAAATCCTTGTTTCCAGCACACAAGGCACTATGCAGATTTGGAATATTCGAACCAACAAGATGATTTACCAGTTTAAATATATGGGATCCCCAATTACTTGTTTAGCACAATCCCCTGTGATTGATGTTGTAGCTATTGGTTTATTGGATGGTACTGTCTTGTTGTACAATATCAAGGCAGATGAAAAGATTGATAGTGTACGACAAGATGATCGAGTGACAGCCATTACGTTCAGAACAGGTAGTAAAGACTCACTAGACAGACAAGAGACTGATATCAAATGTGTATAGATGAAGAACAAGTCATGGCTACAGCCAATATGCATGGCGATGTAGCCTTATGGGATCTGTCTGAGCGTCGATTGGCTCATATCATGAAAAATGCGCATGATGGATACATTACTTCCTTGACATTTTTGCACAACCAACCTATCCTTGTGACTGGTGCTACTGATAATGCTGTCAAACAATGGATCTTTGAGAAACACAATGCTGTACCTCACCCTTTCAAATCCCGTAGTGGTCACCATGCACCTCCTTCCAAGATCAAATATCATGGTGAAGGCCAAAAGACCATTCTGAGTGCAGGTCGCGATCATGCACTCCGTTCATTCAGCACAGTCAGAGATGCCCAAAACTTTGAATATTCACAGGGTCATCTTGCCAGAAAAGCCAACAAACACGGAGTCAGTATGGACGATCTCAAGTTACCTCAAATTGTGGATTTGGATGTGAATGATGCTAAAGCCAAAGAATGGGATAATATTATTACCTGTCATGCCAATGATAATGCATGTCGTACATGGTCCTCCAAGAACAAGAAATTAGGTGGTCATGTCTTGATGAGTACAGACAAGACAGCCATCAAAACGACTTGTATTTCCTCTTGTGGTAATTTTGGGTATCTGGGATGTGCTTCTGGTGTGATTGATATGTACAATATGCAGTCTGGACTTCATCGCAAGACATTTGCAGGTCCTGATGGACACAAGAAGCCTATTACAGGATTGACAACAGATACCATTCATCGTTATTTAATCTCCGCCTCTGTCGATAAAACCATCAAGGTAAGTGAGAGGTTTTTATGATTGTGTATCTCTTATGCCTTGTAGATTTGGGAAATCAAGACAGGCCATGTTGTTCATACAATCCAACTTGACTCTTCTGTTGTTGGTCTTCGTTATCACCTTGATAATGATCTTCTGGCTGTTGTGTGTGATGATTTAGGTATTCGTGTGATTGATTTAGAGACCAAGAATATCATTCGAGAGTTCTGGGGACACAGAAACCGTATTACAGACTTTGTAAGTGAATTCATGTTGTATACATCCAATTCACAGTGTGTACATAGGTATTTAGCCCAGATAGTCGATGGATTGTGTCAGCATCACTTGATGGCACGGTGCGTACTTGGGATTTGCCTACAGGTGCGATGATTGATGTCTTTAGAGTGGAAGATATTGTTACATGTCTCGCATTCTCACCTGATGGTGACTTTTTAGCTACTGCTCATGTGGATCATGTTGGTATCTTTTTATGGTCCAATCGTACACAATACACACAAGTGTCTTTACGCAATATTCCTGAAGATCAAGAGATTCAAGTATTGTCTTTACCTAGTCTAACAGGCTTAGAGGACAGTGATACTGAAGAAGAAGAAGAAATGGCATTTTTGGAGGAACCTACCTTGACTACAGTTGATCAACTTGCTGATCAAATGATCACTTTATCTATGGAACCCAGAGCAAAATGGCAAAATCTGTTACACTTGGATACAATCAAATTGCGTAATAAGCCTAAAGAAGCGCCCAAATTACCAGAGAAGGCACCTTTCTTTTTACCGACATTACCTGGTGCCAAAGCCCAATTTGATCTTAGTGCTCATCAAGAACAACCTGAATCAAAGCAGATCAGCTTTAATCAACTCAATACAGACACTGTATTTGCTCAACAATTAAGAGCAGGCCATGAAGCAAACCAACAATGTAAGTCAGGGTGGCATTTGATTTTGGTTACTTATATGTCTTAATTAGATGATGCCTTTGTCACACTGGCTAAATCACTCAGTCCTTCTGCTGTTGATTTAGAAATTCGTTCCTTTTCGATGGATGAAGAATTAAGTTTACTGAATTATTATTTAGAAGCTATTCTGTATATGCTCAACACAAGAAAGAACTTTGAATTGGCTCAAGCATGGTTATCTGTCTTTTTGACTATTCATGGTGACTTGATTGTCTCCCATCCTTTGAACCCTATTCATGATAAATTACAACACATTCTAGACATTCAAGGCAATGAATTTGGTCGTCTATCAGAACAAATTCATTATAGTCTATGCCTGATTGATTTTGCTCGTAGAACATAAACAATAGATCTTTATTCTTTACCGATATCGTTTTATATAATGTGTTACTTTTGGATGAATATGATGCATACCCTCTTCTTGTAGATGTAGATTGGATATACGCTTGAATGAAGCTTGAAGAGGATCTTCAAATTGACGTAGATTATGATATTCTCGGTTTATGCGATCCAGTTCCTTTGTGAGTCTTTTCATGTTATGAGGATGGTCCAAATAATTTTTGTCTTTGGTTAAAGAAGGACATTCTCTGTAATTGAAGTTTATGCTGTGTTCTGCTTAATTCAGAAGAAGTTAAACGTCGAAATACATGTTCTTCATGAAAAGGAGGCATTTTTTTTTTTTTTGGTAAAAAAGAAAAGAAATACATATACATACACACACATGACTTTATATGACACGACTTATCAAGACACGAAGCTTAAATGATTGCCACATCTTACTGGCTTGTTTCATGATTGCATAAGCAACAGGGCTACCTGATTTGTATAAAATAATCAGCAATATAAACACTGTCATCAGATTCACACCTGCATGCTTAATGGCTGCCTAAATAGAGAATCAAGCTATTATTATTATTTGTCATAAAGGAGTATTACTTACTTTTATCACCCATGTCCAATCATTTTGTTCCTCTTCTTCTTCCTCTTCCTCTTTGTCTTTGTCTTCTTTATCTTGTCTGTGGATATAGCGTTGTCTATCTCTTTCCACTAATTCTCGGCGTAAATCATCTATACGATCATTTAATGCAACCACTTGTGTCTGTAATGCTTCTATTGCTTTTCTTGTTGTATTCTCAGTATACAATCGATTGGCTTCATACATGTTATGTGGTGTAGTAGTCACAGAAGAAGATGTGGTTGTGGTACTTGCAGGTGATTGAAACCGTGTCATGTTGGGATATTTTGATATAGGGGAAGGTAATCGAAGTGATGATTTACGTACAAGCAATCTTTTTCTATTGCTTGTTGATTCATCTTCACTACTTGTATCATGATGGTTTCGAGTAGAAAGAGGTGGTATATGTTGCCAAGGATTGACATTGGGATCCACAAAGGCTTCTGGTTGAGGCAAGTCATCCCTTGTCATCATCTGAACATTCAGTCTTGAACGAGGACGCATACCATTAATAGGCATTTGGCGTGGTGTTGTAGGTGCAGTGACTGTAGTCTGAATAGAAGCAACAGATCCAGGTCGTCTTGTTATACTGGATTGAATTTGATTTAAATAAGCCTGTTCTTCTTCTTCTATAGTCATTAAGTATATAAATGTATTTATATATACACTACCTTCTGAATGAGATGTATTATCATCATCTTCACTGTCATCATCATCTCCAGAAGGTCTCATAATAGCAAAAGCATGCATAATTTGTTGTGCCTCTTCTCTTCCTAAATTTTTTTTATATGCCTATCCATAGGGTTAACTATTCATATATATATATTTTTTTTTATCTGTCCTACCTCTGCTGCAATTCTTAAAAGTGCCTCTACATAAATGTGCCTTGCTTCCAACACCGACATGCCCTCTAATTTCTTCCAAGCATCCCTAAATAAATAAATAAAAAAAAAAAAGAGTAAGACTATGCTATTTAAGTAACCCATACTTACCATTTTGCTCTGCCTACCACATCAAATAATCCAGGTCGTTGTGTATTGATATCACCTACAGATACTTGTTTATAAAGTGCATATAACTAAGAGAAAATGATCAGTCTATCTATTGTATGCCTTGTGTTGGACTGACTTCCAGTTTCTGGTTCTTTGTAGGTTGAAAACTTGAACTAGCAGGTAAATTTTGTACAAAATGTAAGGCCTTATTGTATCTTGACACAATAAAACGATCTGTATAATGAGGTGGAATACTTGTCATCACTAAAAAGAAAGAAAGAAAAGACACGTAAAAGAAAAAAAGAAAAAGCAGATGGGTATTTAAGAAAAATCACATGTGTGTGTATATGTGCTATCCATAGTCAGTGTGCCAATCAAAAGTCGCGTCCTTTCTCTTTTTTATTTTTATTTTTTTATTTTGATGTCTAATACACCTACTATTACTTCACCTCGTCAAGGCATAGCAACACCACCCAAGACACAAGATGATCAACTACCTCATTTATTATCCCTTAAAGTCATGCGACTCTCTCGTCCTCAATTAACAGCCACTTTACCTATCTATTATGAATCAACCACATCATCGCCTCTTCTCGAAGGACTCGATTCACTCAACATATCAGACTTGACAGCCTCTCTTCCTATCCATGGGAAAAGTACAGACTTACAGATCCGAGATTTTGGTCTAAGTCAGATGCTCAAGTTACCTTCTGCATTTGGTAACATCTATTTAGGCGAGAACTTTAGTACGTTAGTCAGTATCAACAATGAATCCCCTTGGATGTCTACCAAGTAGGCATCAAGATTGAATTACAGACATCCTCTCAACGGTTTGTTTTATCAGATACAGCATCACAGACCACCTTAGAGACACAGGTTACCTTGGATACCACTGTATCACATGAAATCAAAGAACTCGGTGTCCATATCTTGGTCTGTTCAGTCCAATACACAACTCAAGATGGTAAAAAACGTCATTTTCGTAAATTCTACAAGTTTCAAGTGTCTAATCCACTGGCTGTCAAGACAAAACTCAATAATCTCATGGATGGCCGTGTCTTTCTTGAAGCACAGATTCAGAATGTGTCTGCAGGCCCTATGTTTCTTGAACGCATGAAATTTGAGCCCTCAGAGTACTTTGTGTTTGAAGATCTCAATCGTGTGGTGGGTCAAGACAAGACTGTCTTTGGGGATCATTTTATTCACCCTCAAGATGTACGTCAATATCTCTATATGTTATCACCCAATACAGACCATGACCGTATTTCTCGTACGACCAATGCCTTAGGTAAACTGGATATTGTATGGCGATCCTATATGGGTGATCTAGGTCGTTTACAGACATCTCAATTGACCAGAAAGGCACCTATGCTAGAAGATATTGAAGTGGGGCCTTGTTCAGATCAGGAAGATGTGTCTGTTGTGCTAGAGACACCTTTTAGACTAGGCATTCGTGTCAAGAACCATTCGAATGAGAACATGAAACTTGTGCTAAGTGCTATCAAGACTAAAATGGGCTCTGTCCTCTTGAGTGGTCTCAGCAGTCGACCCTTGGGTGAATTACAACCCGGTCAATCGACTCAGACACACGTTGAATTCTTCCCTTTAACACCTGGCTTACAGCGCGTAGGTGGGTTACGCGTGATGGATTTGTTATCGGGCTATACAAAAGAAATCGATCATTTGTGTGATATTTTTGTCATGTCGCATGCCTCTGATACCTTTTTATAAATCTTGACTTGTTAAGTTTCTAAGCATGACATACAATGACGAAATAAAAGAAAGTATATAAATAACATATGAATGCCTTGGGGGAGAAGATGGTTGTAAGATAATAATTATTATGGCTACTATTTATCATCAATACGGTAGAGGAGACTCTACTTTTATTTGTCCTCAATCCAAGCCAGTCCAAGATGATTCTCCTCAACTTGAAAATGCAAAACGAAGACTCTCTGAGCAATCTGAAAGACGCTTATCAGAGCAACGCAGACGGTCTTCCATTACCAGTGAAAAAGTATCTGCTCTAGATAGCATGGACTCATTGCGTAAAGGCAAACTACCTACTAACCACCAACTGGACCGTATCATGACAGGTCTCTTGAACAGTGAGACCATCGAGACAAACAAGAGGTCCATGTCTGAAGATGGCCAATTGCTTCTTGAAGACTTTCAAGAACTCTTAATGACACTTCAGCGTGCTTTAAAGACCAAGAATCAAGATGAACTATTTCAATCGATGTTCTATCATGTTCGCAAATCAGAACAGGCAATCCAACAACCTAGTCAGACTGAACTCAAGACAAGTGCTGGTGCTATCTTCAAGATTGCCAAGTTGGTTCTTTTTAATGCCAAATTTAGAGTCTTGCTAAGTCAAATCTTGGTGGTGGCTCAACAAGCCATCGGGACTCGACTTGAACAAGGCGGGAAGACGATCCAGGAAAATCATGCAGCTTCAGCCAATCAGATATTGGGCGATCATCGAAATTTCCTGCAACATCGGTTTATGGAGTCTGAACATGGTCTTCAAGACGATAGTGGTCATGTTCTGGGTGATCCTAAAGACATGCATTATGGTCCTCATCATCAAGGAAATCAACCTACTGTCTCAGAAACACATCGAAATTTTCTGCAACATCGATTCATGGACACTGAAGCCATGACAACCAAAGATGATGGTGGCCACACACTTACTGAAACTAACCCACACTCACCTGATGGCGATGCTCATCTTATCAAACGATTCAAGGCAGGATCTCAAGAGACAGAATTAAATTACAGTGGTGCCCATGCTGCTGCTGACCTGTTCCGTGACATACCTAACCAACCCACCATGATAAGCACTCAACCACAGGAACCTACTGCGACGATAAACGCCATAATTTCTCAGCTTAAAGAGATTGCTACTACTGTTCAGCAGAACCCTGAATACCAACAAGCGATCTCTGCTTTACTTTCCTTGTTTGGTGACTGGGGAAAACGATTGACGGAGAACACACGCTTTGACCACTTGGATCGTCGTTGTTCTTCTACTGTAGAACCCTCTGAAGAAGCAGAATACTATACCTATACAGCATCTCGTGAGGCCAAGGCTATTCTTGAAGATTGGGCTCAAGGCAAATCATTGGATCCCATAATTGAAAAGGGACATGATTTAGCCACCAACATCAAGCAAGACACTGAATTGCAACAGTTATACAATGAGGTATTTACTCGTTTCAGAAAACAGATTACATGACTTAATATTGTACCTATAGATTTCAGATTATATTCATAAACTGTTAAAAGAACCTGGTTATCTTGAAGCAAATCAATCAACACAAGATGGTAAAAGACTTGTGGAACAACTACGTCAATCTGCTGTTGAAAAATACAGGCCAGAAGCAAACAGCATCTTACAAGAAGCAAGCGACTTTGTCCAGACAGTCACCAATGACCCTATCTCCAAAGATATTTCAAAGCGTGTGAAATCAATCCATCGAAATTTGTGGTATGATGGGTAAGTAACGCTCTCCCCATCAACGTTGTCATTTACTTGATACCTTAGCCATGGCCATACTGCATTCAAGCCTCAATTGTTGAATGACATCAGAATCACTTTGATTCCTGCTTTGATTGAACAAGTCAGATATGTAGCCCTTCCACAAATTGTGTACAGTGATAGACAATATGAAATTGCTATTGAAAACATGATTTTAGCGGGTGATACATTGATGCCTGATATTTTTGAAATCAGAGTAAAGTAGACCATGCATTCTATGATTGATCTCACGCATTAAACTTTTTTTTTTAGGCTGAGGACTATTTGAGATTTAGTCCCAAAGCAGAATTGAGTTATACAAATTCCCAAAGTATTCATATTGACATGTCAGGCATTCAGACCAGTATGGACGACGTCGTCTTTTATTACAAGAGAAAGGTTGGATTTCCTCGACTCTCTGATTCAGGTGTTGTTTCTCTTCATGTATGTGATAGTGTAGATTTATTAGACTTATTTGGTTATGTAGACTGGAGGTGATGGTTTGAAGATTTCTATGGTCATTGCAAGTAGTTCTGTTGATCAAAAGCATACGTTCCGTCTTGACAAATGTTATTGTCATATCGATAAGTTGAATGTCAAAGTTCATCATAGTAAACACAAGTAAGTATAATGGCAGATAGACAGGTATTGACATCATAAAAAAGTATGCTTTATAAAGTCATGAGTCCTTTATTAACAGGTATTGTCAAAAGACAAATGGCCAAATCCATTGAAACCAAGTTACAAGACATATTTGAAAAGGGAGATGCAAAAATCACTCAACATTTGTTCTCAAAGCAAGATCAATCAAAGCAAAGCAAAAAGGTGTCTTCTAAAAGACCTGGATTGTTTTCTCATGTTATTAATGTCTTGAATCAAAAAATAGCTTCTATCTAATGACAATAAATTACTCAAAACAGTTTATTAAGCGTGAAGAATACTATTCTATGGAGATAAGGTTGATATACAAGTATTTTACATTTAAAGCTATCATTGTTGCTAATGAGTAATATATAATAGCGCAGTAACTTTTATTTGTCTATTGAATTAATTTGATTCATGGCTAGCCATTTTATAGAATAGCTTGTATATTGAATCAATTCAAACCATGTAATCAAACATTAGATGTTTGCCTTGTCATGACTCATTTTTTTAGTTTAAAATTTATCCTTAGAGTGAATGTCGTTTGATTCAGTTGGATTATAAGGGTATTAGAAGATTGACAATCTTGTGGCATCAAAAGATTTTCATGTCTTGCATACATAGCCCGTATAAAGTAGAAGCCATAATATAAAAAGAAGGAAACTCTTTGCAATGTCAGCAAACTGCTTATATCAAGGACTTATTCTCTTTCCTTGAAAAGTGGCAATAGTCCATTCTTAAAACGACTTATACAATCACACAGAAAAATGGTTCGAATTTCTTTTCATGATTTCTGAAATCAAATAAAAATTGCATACTTTCCATCCTTGAACAAGTTTCTCAAAGCATGATAATAGATGAGCACTGTAAGCCGTGTAGGAAAAAAAAGCTTAGGTTATTTATGTAACAAAAACAATATTTGATGTAGCCACTATTTGCATCAATCACAGCTTAGTATTGGTTGGTCATATTGTGTAGTAGTATAAATATAATGAGAAGATAGTAGGGGAGGTATTCAACTACCTCCTCATATCTGTGTCAATGTTTTACATATGACAATTAATATCTGTTGCTAATTTATCTCCCTTCTGTTCTCTGCTCTTTCTTATAACCTGATGTAAGTAGCAATATAAATATTATTTATGTATCTCATGCTGTGCTTAATTTTTAAATCGAAAAAAAAGACATAAAGATAATAGCATAGCTATACTCACATCTTTGAGATGCATCTAAAATGCGCACTATATCTTTAATGGCTATCGTGGCAGCTGCCTGTTTGATGAGTGTTCTGAATGCTGCAATTACTCATGGTAGCTTCGAAAAAAACTTCTCGGACCTAATCATCAGAAGACAGATCAACAACTCAAATCATTCAGTAAGACTAAATCAATGTTCCATTCGAACCTGCAAATTCTCAAAACGAAGCCGACGAGTCCACAATTTCTCAAGACAAACCCAATGTATTTTCAGTAGTTTGGAAATTATCCGTTCAACCCTACGCAAAATGAGTTTTAACAATTGGTATTTGCTATTGTAGCATTGCTGTATATTTGCGAGTCAATCAAAGCTTGAATTTTAGCAAGACCACAATCCTATCTTTATTGAACCATAAGCATCACTTTGTAAAATCATAACTTATCACTATAATCAAAATAAGCTAGTAACATGGTTATTTGCCATTGCTCTAGTTGCAATAAAGTAAAAGAAAGCCCTAAACTACAAAATGTTTAGCCCAATAGTGTTTATCTGAGAAGAAGAAAAAAGAAAGGCATGACACAAATGGATCAAGTCGATACAACATGAAAGGATATTAAGCGAGTACAAAAGCTGCATATTTTGGGGCAATGAAAGATCATTTCTATTTTGTATCTCTTTCAACATACTGCTTTTTAGCCTACTCCATAATGGTATTGTGTAGAATGCATCTATTTCTTTTTTTTTTGAATATGCGTCATGCATCCCATATCTATTTGCTATGTTCATGATACATATGTTGCACAAAGATCATTAAAAGAAGTTTATTCCAAACAGGGAAACATTTGTATGTCAATTGTGACAGTCAAAGCTCAATGATTATTAATGAAGATGTATTAAGTTACTTGAGCTTTTTTTTGTCTTTTTCTTGTCCCTTCTCTCTATCATGTCCTTTTTTTCTGTTCAACCTCAAGCTTTCAACAATAAGCCCGAAACAGGCAGTGTTGTCAATGCTGTTTCTGAAACCACACCCAGATTGTTTACACCTATTACTTGTAAATCAGTCACATTTCATAACCGTATTGTCGTTCCTCCTATGTGTATGTACAGTGCTACAGATGGCTTTATGAACGATTTTCATGTCAGCCATTACGGTTCTTTTGCTATGAAAGGCGCTGGCTTGATCATCATTGAGGCTACTGCTGTTGAGCCTCGAGGCCGTATCTCGAATCATGATTTAGGTCTTTGGTCTGACCAGCACATTGAGCCTTTGAAACGTGTTGTTGAATTCATCAAATCACAAGGTTCTGTTCCTGGTATTCAAATTGCTCATGCAGGTCGTAAAGCCAACATGGCCTCGCCCTTCAATGGGTACAAACTAATCTCTGAAGAAGAAGGCGGTTGGCCAAACGATGTAGTGGGTCCTTCTGATCTTCCTTTCGATAGACAATATGCTCAGCCCAAGGCTTTGACAATTCATGAAATGAAAGAAATCACACAGAAATGGGTTGAAGCTGCTATCCGTGCTGATAAGGCAGGTATACAAGTCCTCGAAATTCATAGTGCACATGGGTAAGTTTGTTTTTCTGGACCAAGAAAAAGATTGACTTGTTTTTTTCTAGCTACTTGTTGCATAACTTTTTATCAGGAAATTCAAACAAACGTACAGATGCTTATGGTGGTTCCTTAGAAAACCGTTTACGGTATCCTTTAGAAGTTGTAAAGGCTGTTCGTGATGTTTGGCCTCAAGATAAACCTCTTTGGGTTCGTTTCTCTGGTACTGACTTTAAGAACCCCAATGCATTAGGTCATGATCAAGATGGCTGGGATATCCATCAATCCGTTGCTTATGCTAAGGCTTTAAAAGAAATCGGTGTTGATGTCATGGATGTGTCAGCTGGCGGTAATCTTCCGATCACTTATTCTGTGGGTCCTCTTTACCAAGTTCCTCTTGCAGACACCATCAAAAAACAAGTTAATATTAGCACCGGTGCTGTAGGCTTAATTACCGAACCCAAGCAAGCAGAAGATATCTTACAAGAAGGTAAAGCCGACTATATCTTGATTGGCCGTGAATACTTGCGTAATTCTGCTTGGGCTTATCGTGCTGCTCAAGAATTTGGTGTTGATGTCAAATGGAACAACCAATATGCCCGTGCTAAGCGTATACCCAAGCTTTAACTAATATAGAAAATAAAGCTATGTATTTTATTGAGCATCTTCTTTGTATTTTAAGCCAATTTCTTTTCTCCAAGCATCCATTGCCTGAACTTGACCTAATGTATCTTGCCAGTCCATATACTTGCACTCCAATTGTCCTTGAGCAATGGCATCTGCAACAGCATCTGCTTCAATAGCAAAGAGATTGTTTTCTTCCAATCTAATAGGAATGATCTTTGTTTCTTTACCATACTCAGTCAATTCGATCTGAACAGGACCCAATTGTGTCAAATCTGGTCTCCAGAGGTTAACTACTTTAAGCATACCATCACTTCCTAGTACTTCAACACTGCTATCCGTGTCTGCAAAGATACCAGTAAACAATTGAGCAGCTATATTATTCTCAAACTCAAGAGAAGCATTAGACCATTCGTCCACTTGTGTATCAGGCTGAATATAACCTGTTGCCATCACCTTGATAGGATTAGCACCACTAGTTTGATGATTGGCAGCACCAGCAATCAAACGAGAGAAAGACATTGGATCTAAAGACATTAATAAGCGTACAAAAAAAAGTCAAGACTTACATCCACCAATGTCCAGAATAGCACCACCACCCAATTCGTTTCTCCAAAGTCTTGATGTTGGTCCCAAAGGTCTTCCATCAAATGAAAAATTGGCTCGGATCAATTTGACTTGACCAATAGCCCCTGATTGAATCAGCTCAATTAATTTGAGTGTTTGAGGATGACAACGATACATATACGCTTCCATCACAAAGACATTGTGTTGTTTGGCTGTCTCGAGAATCGTCTTGACCTGAGCTTCGTTCATAGCCATAGGTTTTTCAATCAGCATATGTTTGCCTGATCTCGCTGTTTTAATAGCCAACTCAAAGTGTTGAGGATGAGGTGTCGAGATGTAGACGATATCAACTTCTTTGGAGGCTAATAAGTCGTCGTAACTACCAAAACAGTGTTTCACATCAAATTCTTGACCAAATTCTTGTGCTGTTTCAAAAGAACGACTGCCAACAGCAACAAGTTGACCCTTCTTAGCGACTTGAAGTGCTTTTGCAAATGTATGGGCAATGTTGCCTGTGCCAATAATGCCCCACTTTAACATAATTAACGCGAAAAAAAAAAGAGAAAACCCTTGTTGGAAAAATAATCTTGGTACCTTGAATATTACGTGTGAAAAAAATCAAGACCCTTGATTACATAAGCAAGATCAACGGAAGCTATTCTGCGTCTAAAAGAAAGGAAGCCTTGGCGAGTTTCGTTAACAAGAGCATGAAAACCAAAATACAAACAATGTTATTCAAATAACACTGTATCCATATTCAATCATAGTTTTGTCCTACAAATTGAAAAATATATTGCCTCTTGGCTATACTTTAATTTTAAATTAATTTTGCTTGGCAACGCATGAAGCATTCCTCTCCTTTTGTTATGTACATGTTAAAATTTAAAAGAATGTAAGAAAAAGCCAAGAGAGTTCATGTCACACTAAATCAACATTTTCAGCCAGAATTTAGAATGGAGTTTTGAACACAAGCGGAGAGACAAGGAAAAAGACAGCGAACATTTTTCTTTTCTTTTTTTCTATCTCTTTTTAGCACATGACAATTGATAACATACCATATTCTAACCCTCCTCCGCCAGAGAGGATGGATTCTCTTTATTATAAACATTTACCTACACAAGACCATGTCCCAGTTGCTATAGAAGACGTTGCTTATACCACAGGCGTCACAACGACATCAGACTCGTTTCGTAAAAGAAACCAAGCATATACACGTAAACCCAATAGCGACTATGACGACTCAGACTTGGACTTGACCAAGTCTAGTAAATTCAGACAAAAGAAAGAAAAAGACAAAAGGATTTCTCGAAAGAAAGATTTGTATATAGCTGCAGCCTTGACTCTCTGGGCTGCTTATATTCGATTATATAAGATACACCAACCTTCTTCTGTTGTGTAAGTTACATATTTGTATATACGTGTATTTACCGTAAGTTAGGTTTGATGAGGTTCATTTTGGTGGATTTGCCACGAAATATATTCGAACTCGATTCTTTATGGACGTGCACCCACCTGTAAGTCCTTCTGTTTATTGCATAATGTGGTTATTGACTCTGAATATAGTTGGCAAAAATGTTGATTGCACTTGTTGGAAAACTAGCTGGTTTAGATGGATTTGATTTTAAAGAGATTGGAAAGTAAGTCAATCAACAAACGCGACTTGGATTGATTTTAAGAAAAAAAATAGGGATTATCTTAAAGAGAATGTGCCTTATGTAGTTATGCGCACATTTTGTGGCATAATGGGATTGTTGGTAGTACCAATTGCTTACCTCACTATTCGTGGATCAGGCCATTCTATTGCCGCTGGATTAGTTGCTGCTTTTATGGTCTGCTATGGTAAGAAACAACAGTTGGCCTGTGCGATTGACTAACGATATGAAAGAAAATGGCTTGATTGCTAATAACAGATTAATCTTGTTGGATCCTCCACTCTTGTTTTTTACTGCTGCTACCACACTTGCTTGGATCAATTTCCATAACCAAAAGCGCAAGTAAGTAACAAGTAGTCTTTTTTGTTTTTTGTTTTTGCTTACAATCATTAGGCCATTTCAATTTTGGTGGTATTTTTGGTTAATATTGACAGGTTTAGGTTTGGGATTGACTGTCAGTTGTAAATGGGTTGGTTTGTTTACTATTGCTACCATTGGCCTTTCTACCATTAAAAACCTGTGGGAGATTTGGGGAAATACACGTATTCCAGTGGTAATTATTGAAAAAAAAAGCAAGTACTACAATAGATGGTAACCACTATTTTTCAAAGCCTGTTTTTATTAGACATTTTGGTGCTCGGGCATTGGCTTTGATTGTATTGCCCATTGTGGTTTATATGCTTATGTTTCAAATCCATTTTCATTCGTTACCTAACAGTGGAGAAGGTGATGGCTTTATGTCCCCTGAATTTCAACAGACATTGGATGGTCATACAAGTATCAGTACACCTATTGGTAAAAGCGTAATTACTGTGGACCATAATGACTTATTTTGAAACTTAGATATTGCCTATGGATCTAAAGTGTTTATTCGACATGTAGCTACAAGAGGCGGTTATCTTCATTCTCACTCTCATAATTACCCTGCCGGTAGTAAGCGTAAGTAAAATTCTATTGAGATAACTCTCTATTCATTATAATTATGTAGAACAACAAGTAACCCTGTATCCTCATCGTGATGATAACAATTGGTGGACGATCTACAAAGTAGGGGACGAACATCCCACAACCATTGACTATGTCAAGCATGGCGATATTATCACACTTAAACATTCAGATTCAGATAAGCGTTTGCATTCACACGATATTCGTCCACCAATGACAGACGTTGATTATCACAATGAAGTGAGGCAAGTCCGTTATTTAAAAAAAGAACAAAAATATTGACATTTATGATTTAGTGCTTATGGTTTTGAGAACTTTACGGGAGACGCTAATGACCATTGGCGAGTGGAAATCATTCAGGGTGAGAAATCTGACCCAGAATCGAAGCAGCGATTGAGAACAATTCACACCAAATTTGCTCTTGTGCATACCATGCAACATTGTTCCCTATTCTCTCATTCTGTAAAACTACCCGAATGGGGATTTGATCAACAAGAGGTAACATGTATCAAGAATGGAAAGATTGAAAAGACGGTTTGGTATATTGAATCTACCGAGAATCCATTGCGTAAGTTCATAAGAAGAAAATTGCTTTTTATTGATGCTTTTGCAATAGTACCTGAAGATACTGAAAAAGTGTCTTATAAAAAATTGAGCTTTTTGGACAAGTTTCTCGAGTTAAACAAGGTCATGTGGGATACAAACAAAGGTCTAACTTCTTCTCATCCATATGATTCAAGACCAGAGGTAAGAAAATGGCCCATTGGCGCTTGGTGTAACTTTATATTTAGTCTTGGCCCTTATTACGTCGAGGTATCAACTTTTGGTCAAAGGACAAACTTCACCTTTATTTGTTGGGAAACCCGCTTGTTTACTGGACGGCCACAACGTCTATTTTAGTATGTCTTATGCTCAAGGGTGTATTTGTCATACTTGATAAAAGAGGAATACAAAAAGATTTTGGAGGTAAAAATGGATCAACAAATCAAAAGTTTCTCTGCGCACTGACACACAAAGCTTATTATGATTAGAATGGAGGAAGTTTTATGATGAATCAGCTGGTTTCTTTTTGGTTGGATGGTTCTTTCACTACTTTCCCTTTTTCTTAATGGGCAGACAGTTGTTTTTGCACCATTATATGCCCGCACTCTATTTTTCAATTTTATTGTTTAGCGTCGGTTTCGATCTGTTGACTATTCGATGGGTCAATCGCAAGCGACTGTTAGCTGCTGCTGTGTTTATTCTTTCGGTTATTTATGTCTATCGTGTCTTTACACCAATCACTTATGCAGAACCTTGGACACAGTCTCTTTGTGAGAAAGCAAAATGGAGATCTACGTGGGATTTTGATTGTGCTCAGTAAGTGTTTCAAGTATATTTTCTCTTGTACTACTTGGACAGAATTGGTAATCATGTATGTTTATAGGTACCATCATGATATTGAAAGCTACAATGTTCCAAAACCCTTGATCATTGAAGGCTTTGGTAAAGTAAAAGATGCAGTAAGCTCTTACTTAAGCAAACAACAAAATGCAGAAGCAGCCGATGGCATCAATATTGTATCAGATCAAATGAAGCCATTTGTTGATCCTTCTGTTCTAGAAGAGGCCGCTTTTGTTACCGGTACTCTCCAACAAAAAGAATCCTAAAACAGAATGAAGGCAAAGTTTTTTTTTTTTTTCGTACTACATTCAATAAAATCTTGATGCTTTTTTTTATCAATGAGAAGAACATATGTTTCCCATTCCTTCTTTCTTTTCTCTTCCTCTCTCTCTCTCTCTTTCTTTTTTTTTTTTTTTTATTTTATTGCCTATTTACATTCCTTTTTTTTTTCTTGCTTGCGTTTTCATTCGATCGAGATAATTGAATAAAGAAATAACATCATGTTGATCAAATATTTTTTAGCAGTAACATGGCTGCTCTTCTCACCACATTCTACCTTTGCACAAACTGGTAAGCACAAAAAAGTCTTTTCCTGTCGGTCGCACACATCCCATTCTCTCTTATTAATTTATATGTAGTAAAAACACCCGGAACTTGTAATTCATATCCCACAAACGCTACTTGCTCCGTAAATATTAAAAATACTTAGTATGATCATATTCAGCATTAATTTCGTTTTTTTTTTTTTTTTTTTTTTTTTTTTTTTTTTTTTTTTTTTTAGAATTTTGTGAACTACAGCGTATTTTTACCTAACAATATCAGTCTTGTTCAAGTAGAAAATCAACTAAAACCATTATCACAATATGGCGCAATGTTATCCAAAGTCACTCCTAGTTGTTTCGATGCGTATACACGTTATGAATGTTCAAAAGCGTACCCTAAATGTCAAACAGACACTAATTCTACAAGTAAAACCATACATGCATTTCATACATATTTCTGATTCTTTTATTAGCCGTCAATGTGTATACAGCATGTCTCTCTGTATGTGAGCAAGCAGTGACTGAATGCACCGAGTTTTTTGAAATGGCAGGCTATTCCAATCTCTTACCAAACTGTTCAACTGAAATAACGAGTACAGGTTATGGACTCCAGCAAGATGGTGTGTGCAACAATATCCCCACCAAATGTAAGTCTGACATAAAAAAAAAATGAATTAATTAAATTAATAGTAAATGAAGACCAAATCAAACAAGGTAAAATGAATCTTTCTGCCATCCCAGCTGGTTTTGTGATGGCCAGTTGTCCATCTCCTTTTGTATCTGATCCACTTGCTTCAAGTGGTTCAACTGTTGATGCAAAGTATTGTCGATTTGGGTGTTGTGTGCCTTGTCCTGCGCAATCATTTGTAAGTCGATACTTTAAAGCCCACATATATTTAATGTTTCCCCAACAGTTTTATAAAGAGAATTGGGCTACACGAGGATTTTTAGCAACTGACATAATCCGATTTGTTTCTGCTGTACTTTCATTATTTTTAGTTATCAGCTATTTGATCTTACCTGATAAAAGAAGGTACGCAAAAAAAAAAAAAAAAAAAAAAAAAAAAAAAACAGAAATATAAAGTTTTGACTAACCTGTCAACTGACAGACATCCCTCTCTTTTAATTCTCAACTTATCTGTCGCCATCTTTTTACTCAACATGGTTGTCTTTTTCTCTGTGGGCGATCCTAAACGTCTTCAGTGTGCAGCAAATGGCGTTTCACCTGGTGCTATTGGCAACAATAACCTATGTGCAGCACAAGGTGCTATTTTAATCTTTGGCTCACTTGCAACATGTCTTTGGTGTGCCGCTTTGATTCTAAACTTGCATGTCCATACTGTCTGGAACTCTAATTTTTTCACTAACCGATACCTTTTGCTCAACATCATTTGTTGGGGTATTCCCGCGATCATTATGGCCATTGCATTAGGTTTACATGCTGTCAAATTTGAATTTGCTAACCTGTGCCTGGTCTCGATGGACTATATCTTTCCTGTCTTGTTTTATCCTTTAGCTGCTATTGCTTGTCCTGCCTTTATTATCCATATCGCTACTTTCTTTTATATTGCTAAGATTGCTGTTCGTGAAGGTCTTCAGTCTGAAATGACACAGTCCTTGTCGAATGGGACCATGACAGATCGTCTTCCTAACGTCAGCCATAAACATGTGATTGTAGCTGTCAAGATTCAATGGCGTGCCTTATTGTTGTCTGTCATGGCCATCATTACTGTCTTGTTTTACTGGGTAAGTTTAACCTGGACCATTCTATGAAACTCACTATCGCTTAGTTATTCTATATGACACAAATTAGTAAAGTGTCTGAACTTCAAAATGACCCATCCCATATGCTCACTTGGTTAGAATGCATGCTTACGCCTGGTCATTCACAAAACTACTGTGCCGAAATCATTGGTCCTCATTTACCTCCATTTTCATTGATGGTGGCGGCTGAGACACTGGTGAGTGCCATTGGTATTTGGCTGTTTATCTTGTTTGCTAAACGGTCTTTATGGCGTGAATGGAATGATTGGATTTATGAAACGCGTATTCGTTTTACGAGATCAAGTCGAGCTGAAAAGCACGGTGAACAGTTCTTTGCTCTTTGATTTATACCTCTTTATTAAAATCACTCTATTATCATTACTATTATTCAAGGCACAGAGGGATCGACCGATCGTCTTACGTATAACGTATAGTGTATCTCATAAACAATAAGCTTCATTTATGTCATGTGATTCGGTCATAAACATACAACCCTCTCTTCTCTCTTTCAAAAACATTGTGTGCTACTATTGCGTCTACTATCCAAAAGATTTTTTATGCAACAAAAAAAGAAGGGTAATTACAAGAAAGTCAGGTGTTTATTTGGTCTGTAAAAAAAAAAGCGATCTGCTTATTCTTCGTCATCTTCAGCATCGTCGTTACCACCGGCAGCAGCGGCAGCTCTCTTTCTCTTAACACGACCGGGACGACCACCACCGAGAGGAGAGGTCAAAGCAAAGTCAATGTGCTTTTGAGATTCCAAACGAACAATGAAAGAGGGAACATTGACGATTTGCTTACCAACACGAATGTGACGTTGACGGATCAAGACACGAGCGTGGTGAATAGACTTGGCAAGACCCAACTTGAAGACTTGGGTTTGGAGACGACGTTCCAAGAAATCTTCAATCTTGAGAGCCAAGACGTAATCGAGCTTCATACGGGTTTCGTCAAGAACACCAATACGCAAAAGACGACGGATCAAGGCATTACCTTCAAAGAGACGACGAGGGTCCTTTTCATCGAGCTTCAAAAGTTCACGAGCAGCACGACGGATCTTGGAAAGAGTCAATCCGACTCTCCAGATTTCCTTCTTGTTCTTAAGACCGAATTCACCAATCAACTTGAGTTCTTGGTCAAGACGAGCGGATTCGAAAGGACGCTTGGGGACCTTGGAGGTCTTGCTGTAGGTTCTACCAGGCATGATGGATGGGGGAAAAGAGAAAGAAAAAAAAACAATAACAGTAAGGTTGCTTTCACTTTTTTTTTCGATGGCTTGGTGTGACTCCTTTGTTTTCTACACTATGAAAATTTTTTTGTTCCGTCCATAAAATTTTTCAGGGCTGTGGGCGAAAAAAAAAAGTGTAAAGGACTGTTCCAAGGGCTCCCTTAAGAAAAACTTCTTTCTCTTTTTTTTTGTGCAAAGTTTGACAGGTATGGTTTGAATAAGAAGATGGAGTTGCTGATCTGTGTTTTTTGTATTGTCTCTGTAGAATGCCTCACTCTTTTGGTCGTAAGTATACATCATTTCGTTGATCTAATGTGGCTAATGACATTTGTTAGTCCGTGCTCGTACTCGTCACATGTTCTCTCGTAACTTCAGAGAACATGGTGCCATCCCTCTCTCCACCTACTTGAAGACTTACAAGGTCGGTGATATCGTTGACATCAAGGCCAACGCTGCTGTCCAAAAGGGTATGCCCCACAAGTTCTACCACGGGTAAGTCATCATTAAAAGAGGGATTCATATACTGACCTACATCAAGTCGTACTGGTGTCATCTACAACGTCACCAAGACCTCTGTTGGTGTCATTGTCCACAAGAAGGTCGGTAACCGTTTCATGGAAAAGCGTGTCAACATCCGCATTGAACACATCAAGCACTCCAAGTGTCGTCAAGAATTCTTGGACCGTGTCAAGGCCAATGCCCAAAAGAAGAAGGAAGCCAAGGAAGCTGGTATCTCTTTCAACTTGAAGAGAATCCCTGTTCAACCTCGTGAAGCTCGTCATGTCTCCACCAAGTTCAACGTTCCTCAAACTATTGCTCCCATTGCTTACGAAACTCTTTTGTAAACAGTGTTTATTTTGAATAAAGCAAAAGAAAAAAAATCGTTGCACACGAATAAAGCATACTTTTTGTTGTTGATACTCTCTTTTTGTTTAATGCAAGAAAATCATCATTAAAGAAAAAAGAAGAGAGGGGAGAGGCTTGTCTCTTTTTATTTATTTATTTATTAAAGAAGCGTACCTTTTTTTTATATTTTTTTTTCTTTTTTGAACTCATGTTGCCTTCATTTCGTATTTATGTTAGGTAAGTAAGACAATACATGAACAAGTGTTGACATACAATAGACCTATGGTCATGGGATATCGTCCCTTAAAACCACTTCAACCTACCATGCGATCTTTCTCATCGCACTTGGTTCGATTCAATCAACATAATTCTTTACCCACTAAAGAAACACCTTCTCAGTCTCGCATCATGCGATTCATTCAACAATCAAAAGAACTAGTTCGTTTTTACAAAGACGGTCTTAAACAGATCTGGTTTAACCACAAGGAAACCAAAGCCTTGTTGGAAAGAGTCAATAACGAAGGTTATGCTCTAAACAGAGCCGAATTTCAATTGATTCATCAGACCAAGAAGGATATGGTCAAACTTGTTCCTTTTGGTATTGTGTTTCTTATTTTGCCTGAATCTGTAAGTCCATTGAGCTTATTGTTGGTTATTCATATGATGAATAGATACCTTTACTTGTCATCTATGCACCTGGTATGGTACCTAGCACTTGTTTGAAAGAGAATCAAATTGTAACTATCACGCATGACAAACCTCCCTTAATGTACTAAAACAAAGAGTGTTATTAGTTGAAACAAAGGCAGAAGCTAGACAAAGTACGTCAAAAGATGACTCATAACGTACTCAAGTCTGCTAAACAATTGCAAGGTGTTGTAAGTAATCCTTGAATATCTTTTTTTTTTTTTGGAGTACTTAGATATCACATAGATTACTGCTGAAGATTTCATGCACAAGGCTAAATTTCAACGCATTGCCAAAAACTTTGCTTATGATTTTGACTTGAGTCGTATTGATAGAAGACATCTTTCTTCTTATTGTAAATTCATGGGCATCAATGACTATGGACCACAATTTATTCTCAAGAAGAGACTTGAGAAATACATGAACTATCTTGATCAAGATGACAAGGTAAGCAAGACCACATATAGGCTTTATAGCTCATTTTTTATAGCTCTTGCTTCAAGACAATACAGTCGATACATTGACAGTGCAAGAATTAAGCCATGCTGTAGAAGAGCGTGGTATGAAATCTGTAGATCAGCAAGAAGAAAACATGAGACGTGCATTAAAGTATTGGTTGAGTGCTAGTCAAGCAGATCCCAAGGTTCCTGCTGGTTTACTTATCTTCAGTAGAATGTTTTTGCTTAATGCAAACTATGTTTAAAAAATAAAAATCATAGACAGTTTTTTTTTTTTTTGTTATTCTTAACCCTTTTTTCTTCATGGTATGTTTTTTTTTAACATCTATAGTTGCATAACAAAGAGATAGGATCAGCATATTGAAATCAAACGAACACCTTTACCAAAACCAAAAAAAGAGCCCATTCTTATTCCAAGCAAGTAACTATATCCTGTATACATAGTCTAACATCAGTCTATAGATCCTCCGTTACCAGAAGAAAATACTTTTATTGAACCTTACGTACCTAGAAAACGACCTCGTCTGACAGAAGATCAATTGAAATCACATTCTGTCACTGTGAATTATGATCGTATTGCCAATGCTGATCTAGGTTTATTTCGACGTGTTCATCGTCATTTGGATAATGTAACAGAGACCCTTTCACCCATCAGTACACGATCCAACAATAGTTTTTCTCGTTTTGATCGTATCTTTGATATGGACACCTTTAAATCTAAATCACATAGTGTAGTATCATCACTCAGAGACCATAGTCTAAGAGATGATATATCTGAAGTCACTAAAAGTGAGACTAGTAAAAGTGAAGCAAGCATGCTGAATCGATTAAAGACAATGCAAGAGAGAATAACCGTATTTGAACGACCACAATCATCCTTTACTCAGCGACTGGAAGAACACCAAACTACAAAACCACCACCTTCATCAATAGAAAGACCATTAGAGCCTCTTTTAGAAGAACCAGTAGCGTATGAACAACAACAAGACACACATACTAGCATGGATAATAACCTGTCACCTTCCAAACCATCATCGCCTGCATTATCAGCCAAAGGAAAAGAGAAAGAAGATGTACTACAAGCATTTGCCAATATAGAATTCAATGATTATGGAGGGGGAGATAATGATCTTGTTGATGATGACCAAAAAGAAGAAGAAGTATCCAGTCTGGACCTAAGTACTGAATTAGAGTCTATGTAAGTCTATCTGTGGATAATTCAATGCTTAATCACTCTATAGGCTACCATTCAACAGAGTCAATGCAGGCAATTGTCTTAGTAGGAAATTGGTACAAGCTCCTTATGATGCTAGATTCTTTCATGATACGTATGGGCCTAGTATGCTTACTAACAAGGAAATTGGCAAGTTGTTCAAGAACAGGCTTGATCCATCCAAGAAGATACGTAGTACTTGTGAACGTCGTATTTTTACAAAAATGTAAGTAAAAAAAAAAAAAAAAAAAAAAAAAAAACCAACGGTGGTTGACTGAATGGTGGTGTATAGTGTTGATCTTTTCTTTGAACAAGTCAGACAAGATTTATCAGCCTATAAACAAAATCAACCAGCCTATCTTCAAGATACAATTCAAGAAAATGATGTCATTTTATTAATGAAAAGGTAACAAAGCATAAGTTTTCAATGACTGATATCATTAGGCAGCGACTCTTGAATTCAACTACCAACATTCAGTCTTTAGCAAACAAATATCTATCCAAAACGTATGCTAATCGAATGAGTCAATCTGTAGCTGCTTTTAATCGACTTAGACCAGCAGATAGCATTGAATATGACATACAAACTCATTTTACTCAATTTGAACTGGATGATGATTAAACTGGTTTATTTCTTTTCGCCTTTTGAATGAAGAAAAAGCAGTGGTTTGAATGTAATGAGTGTATGATTTTGGCTGTAATTCCTTGTTTATGGTGTGGTTTATCATCGTATAATTCAATTGCAAACTGAGAATCGTCCCATCTTTTTCTACTTGGATTTGTTTCTTGTAAAGATTGTTGAAGTGTCATAAAGAAGAAAGAAAGAAAGATATTCTCCCTCGTGATGTTTATTGATTCGGAACAAACATCTCTTCTTTTATTGCCAAGAATGATTATGCATTTATATTAATTCATACTCCGGTATTTCTCTCTCTCTTTCTTTCTTTTTTACTTTGTGATGAATTCCCTTTATAATCATGCTTTAAAGCAAAGTCATGCACTTGAAAGAGACTTGCAGAGTAAGTCGAGTTATATAAAAAGTATCTATTTATCCTATTAGAGTTTCAGTCAGGGCAAGATGATTCAGTAGGATTACAAGGTAAGATATATATATATGTGTGTGTGTGTGTGTGTGTATTTATACCTTAATAGGGCAGATCTCTGCTTCATTCAACACGTTACAACGTTCTATTGATGACTATGAAAATTTGGCTAAACGAGAAATGATTCCAGTTAAAAAAGAAACTGCTTTAACGTATATTCTCCATTAAAAAAAAACGTGTTGTTTTCTAACATGGAGCATAGACGCGTGGCAAAATTTAGACAAGAACTACAAGAAATGAAAGTGCGCTTTGAAGCCATTAAAAGACAACAAGAAACTCAGAAACTCGAGCAGAACCGAGAAAGTTTATTAAGAAGACCTCATCGAGCAACCAATGTGGTAAGTACAACATGTACCTGGGTGATTGTTGTTGACTCTAGTTACAGCCAGAACATCCTTACCAGCCATTATCTCGAGATGAATTTGCATTGCGTGAACAATCGTTTGCTAGAAATACAGATTCTCAATTAGATGATTTCATTGGTCAAGCACAAACATTGTTAGAAAATTTGACAGATCAACATTCGATACTCAAGGTAACAAGGAACAGATCCCATATGAGACTTATAAGCTATGCATAGAAAACGCAAAAAAAGATATTGGACACAGCTAATCATTTGGGCTTATCACAAAATGTGATTCGATATATTGAGAGAAGGTCAGCACAAGATAAATGGATCTTTTATGGTGGTATGGCCTTGACTTGTTTATGTCTATGGGCTATTGTTCATTTTATTGGCTAATAATAAAGGAGTTTAAATCATGGATGATTTTTGTGGCTTGGCTGACGCAGCAAAAAAAAATTTTTTGAATAATATGGCAATCCAAGCGCAAATGGATTGTAGCCTTCTCTTTTTCGCTTTCGTCGATTTTAAAAATGTACTTGACCATCAACTCATATAGATTGATATTGACTAAGTTTTCTATAGGGTCAGTTTGCTTGTCCAAAAGCGTCTCGCTGCCTCCGTCCTCAAGTGTGGTCAAAGAAAGATCTGGCTCGACCCCAACGAAGTTAATGAAATCTCCAACGCCAACTCTCGTAAGTAAACACACACTCCATACCATCTTGACTGACACACAATACAGGTGCCAACATCCGTAAGCTCGTCAAGGACGGTTTGATCATCCGTAAGCCCGAGATCTCTCAATCTCGTTTCCGTGTCCTCGAACGTGCTGCTGCTAAGCGTAACGGTCGTCACATGGGTTACGGTAAGAGAAAGGGTACTGCTGATGCCCGTATGCGTACTCAAGTTATCTGGATGCGTCGTATGCGTGTCCTCCGTCGTTTGCTTGCCAAGTACAGAGAAGCTGGTAAGATCGACAAGCACTTGTACCACTCTCTTTACCTCAAGTCCAAGGGTAACGGTTTCAAGAACAAGCGTGTCTTGATGGAACACATCCACAAGGCTAAGGCTGAAAAGGTCCGTGCCAAGACCCTCGCTGAACAAGCTGATGTTCTCCGTGCCAAGAACAAGGCTCTCCGTGAACGTCGTGCTAACAAGAAGACTGGCAAGGTCGAAGCTTAAATACATTAGCTATCATATTAAACGATTGATTTTTTTTTTTTTACTATCTATGAGTGACCAATCAGATTTCATTGTTTTGCTTCATTAAATTTAGCATCAGCGAGTGATATGATTTAATTTCTTTTTTTATTTATTTATTTATTTTCTCATGAAATTCTATGCTTTAGCCTTGTTGGCTTTATCCATTGTTCAGGCATTACCACAACAACAAGTGTTTATGACACCTGAAGACCATGGTGATATTTGGTCTTTATGTGATTCTCCTGCTCACCATCAACTGGTGGGTTATAAAGAGGGTGTTTCTATCTCACCAGCACAGCCTAGAACAGGTGATGATATTCATGTCCAAGTCAAAGGCAATCTATGTAAGTTACATTTATTAATTGAGTGTGAATAAACCATTGTATAGTGAAAGATGTAACGAGTGGTAAAGTGGACATTGACCTCAGTATTATGGGCATGATTAAAATAAAGAAACAACTCGATCTATGCAGTGTGCTCAACTCTGATGTCATGGGTCACCAATCATGTCCTCTTTCAGCAGGCGATTTACAATTAGATGCTACAGGTAATATGTAAACATTACTATTGTTTTCTCAAGTTCCGTTTTATTGTTGTTGTTATTATTATTAGCTTGGATTCCTAAAGAATTGCCCAAATTACCTTTGAATGGCAATATTCGTATATCAGATCAAGATAACAGTACAATCACTTGTATTCACCTTGACTTTAAACTACAATAACCATGACTACGCCGGGTATATCTTTTTTTTTTAATAAGTCATTTTGGGTGCTTCTTGTTGAACGAATTTCTGTTGAACACCCAATAAAGAACTAATGACACGCAACTTGTTCTTCATCTTGTCTCTCAACATGAACAGATCCACATCATGATCATTAAATGTAGGAAATTCATCAATCAATTTCTTCAAGCCTTCTAATTGTTTCGTTGCTCTATAATACGTCTTATATAAGAGGACACAAATGAAGATGTTGCTTACCTAGAAGGTACTTTATCGGGATAAGCACTGGCTAATTCAGTCCACATCTCTACACATCCTGAGTAAAATCCAATTTCTCTGCCTAGATCAAATGCTTTTTCGCAGCCAAAAATACGTCCTTCTAATTCACCCGATGTTTCGCCATCTCTAAATCCGTCATCAAAACCATGTTCTGCAAACCTATTTTCTTTATATATAAGCATCTGTGTCAAATGCATGCATGATTTACATGGTCTCTAAATAACAAAGGGACTCAATGTCTTGATTTGGAGGAGGAACTGCTGTCATAATGAAAGAAAAAGTAAAAAGAGAAAAGAAAAAGTTTTTTTTTTTTTTTTTTTTTTTTTAGTCATCCATTTAAACCTCAGTAATACTTTTGGTTTCATTCTATATTTATTTAATGGCTACCTGTAGTAGGAAGACCTACAGAGACCTTGAATGTATCATAAATCAACCATTGAAGACCAGTCAATGTACCAATCATTACAATACGTGGTCCAAGGCCAGTCCAGAGACCACGGAAACCGAGTTTCTTGACTACATCCATAGCACCTGCTTGCTTTTCTCCAGGAGCAGGTTTAGGCAAATTATTCAATTTAGAAACCAACACATCAGCAGGATGAGATACTGCAGCACAAAAGACACCAGCAATATAACCACCAGCAAAACTTACACCCAATTGTTGTACCTTGTTGTATTCTTCCTTGGGCTTGGTCATGAATGTCTTGTATAAGTATTCAACTGTCTTTTCAAACGAAGCAAACTTGACCATGGTATAAGGAACTTGACGACTCCAGAGAGGCACAAGACCCTTATAGAATCCGTTAATACCTTCTGTAGCCATGATCTTGTTGAATCCTTCACGGGTGGTTTTGGCATAAGGTGGAATGGAGGTCTGCATACGGACCTTGAGGGCTTCCATAGGACACAAGAGCACATCAGCAATAAGTTCAGCAGAGGCAGAGGCACCCAAGAAAAGGAATGTTTTGTATTTCTTGGCATTTTCTTCACCTACCAAATTGGCATATTTGTACTTGAAGATTTCATAGAAACCGTATTTGCCTGCGCCTTGCAAAGAATAACCAATGGCAGTAGGACCAATACCTGTAAAGATACCCCGCATGCCTTCTGCCTTGACGATGGTTCTCCAGCCATCAAACACACCTTTGTATAATCCAGGTTTGACTTGGTTACGGCATTTTACGAGATCCAAAGGCGTAACAAGTGAGTGTGTAGGACTGTATCATGAATGAGCCATTGTGTTATATAGATAACTTTATACTTTACCCACAAGCAAAAATACCTCCTACAGTACAGGCCAAGAAATATTTGTTAGAGTAGAGGGGGATTTTTGAATCAGACATTGGGATAGATTAAAGAAGAAAGAGCGTATTATTTCATCGTCTTGTTTCTTGATTCTTTTTTTATACTATTTTTTTTTAATGTATATATTCTTAAATGATATCATGGGTATAATTCATTTATTTTGCAAAATTCATTCTCTTCTAGAACCAACCAATAGACACGTTCGACTCTATTTTTTTTTTTTTATTAGATATAGCTATTAACAAGACATAGAATAGAAAGGAATGACCTTACCAAGCCTTTATTTCTTTTGGTTTTTATACAAAAGTGTTGACATTACATAATGCTAAACTCATGCCAATGACGCTAGAAATTAACGTCATGTATAGATTAAATTTCTGAGTTTACTCTGTGCGGTAAATTGAAGAGTGGGGCTCATTTTTGTTGATAACTGGTTTTCTCGGACAAACACGGTAAGGGTGCACTTACGCTTTGAGTCAAAAGACAAGGCTTTGTTTCAGTAAAATTCAGGAGAAAGCAATCGGCCGTTCAGGCCAATCTTATTTATTGGGTCAAAGAACTTCCACCAGAGTGTTTTTGAAAGAAACCCCCTCTCCCTCCGCCATCCTATTATCAAGCTTTTAGACCATTATCGTTTTAATACTGTGATAAGGTGTATCATGAATAAATTTTGTCCATAAAAAGACGGAACGCATCGTGTGCTGCTCGGAAGCGCAGGCATCACTTTATTTGGTGATACCGCAAACCAACACTTGCAATATGTTTTGAGCACTAGACGGAATATTTCGTATAGACATGTACTACGTTTAGCAAACAAAGAAGGGAAAGGAAGGAGGAGTGGGGGAGAGTTCTTAGTAACTATATAGACACAGTGAGAAAGTTGACTATGATTGCTACAATAAATGGCTACATTTTATAAGACATTTTGTTATAAGTGCCTTATGTTTGAATGGAAATTGTTGCCATCAAATGCGACCATTTCTTAAGTCAGGTTTTTCTTTTTCTGGTCCACCACTCCTAATAAGAGAATTACTGAGAACTGCTAAATATGCGATTTAAGTCAGCTTCTGATACCAAATGGTCGTACAATGGTATTTATGTTGATACACAGGATTGCATGACCCAATAAAGAGAGCTTAGAGTATATTTTTGCATTGCCGGACTTTTCCAATATCAAAAACCATGTTTACTAACACGAGTGGAGCCTTTGGAGTTGATTTGGACAAAAAAAAACGACTTGTGAAAAATGGTCATTTTTACCTCAAATCCAAAGGGTACTTATTCGTGAAAATTCTCATTTCGACAACCATCGATTTTCTTTTTGACGCTATAGAATGAAAAATGGAGCTATCAACAAGCTCAAGTACCCAAAATGTGCGTAAAATGCTCTAGTTTTTGGTAGATATGTTTGCTTACTAATCATACTATATGGATGATGAGATATGAGTAAGAAACCTCGTACATATTTTTGCTTATTTGCTCAATATTTTAGCAGCAAAATTGTGGTATTCTTTACATCAATAGACTCAAAAAACAATAGTCCACAACCTTTGTCACTGCATCAAAGTCAAATAACTGCATAAAGATGCAGTTCTCAGCAAAGGCCCCCATCTTGTGGCTAGATGAAGAATTGGAGTTGCTTTTTATTTCAATCTCCACATCATAGCCAATCTGTATGTCCTATGCTCATTTGCCCCCACATTCACTTTATAAAGTGCTTATATTTCTATTCTTATATGTTTTTTTCGTGCTCCAAATAGCATATGATAGCTTTTGTAGTACCATGACTAACAAGTTTTATATGACATCTAGAGCAAAAACACTCAAAACACAGCTTAAAGATACCAATCTTTGATGGACCATTGCTCGACAACTAGACTATCAGAACAGTCTGTTTTTTCATTTGAAACATGTTCTTTGGAATTCAGCAATTGAATGGTATGACTGCTTTGGCTGTTGGATGAAATTTATTTTCTTGACCCATGGAGGATCCACAGAGGTCTGTGAAGATCAAGAATTTTCGGAATAACCCAATGTAGCCCTGATCCAACTGAAATCAGATAAGACCATGTTTAAATGCTTCTGAAGAGAGTAAAACGAGTTTACAAAGGTGAAAACATCGACTTAATATGAGTATTACCTTCAAATCTTCAATCAAAGTTCATTGTACACTGTAATTGGTACAAAAGAGGCTCCTTTTCAAGAGATATCAATTAGTAAGTAGTTGACTAGTTTTAGACCATTTGATACGAGAAACGTGTGCAAACAAGACACACTATAGCATATGACAGTGCTGTGGCTGAATAGAGCATCTTTGATCATAACTTTCGATGGATGTCTTGCAAGAGGATTGTTCGGTGCTTCAAATTCGTGATTATCGCTGCATATAAACTAACTCCGGGGGAAGTTGCTTTTCTTTCAGACATGAGTTCCTCAAGAAGTCATAAAAGAAGACGCGACTCGGACGACGAACGCGATGAGAGATCGAATAAACACTCCAAAATCTCCCCTTCCTTGAAAGCAAGCATAAAACGTAATACAACAAGCATAACTTTTACGATTCTGAACTAAAAAAAAAGACACTTATTTTAGCTATTGATCAGGACGACTATTTTGAAAAAGCAACAGAGTTCAGACTTTGGCTAAAAGAACACAAGCACAAGTATTTTGATGAACTTAGCTCTAAAGAGTCAAGAAGATATTTCAAAAAATTTGTTAGAAGGTGGAATGATTATGAATTGGAAGGTATTATACCACAAAAAGATACAAAAGTTGAAAGCTCAATAACTTTTAGAAAAATACTATAAGGGCCTAAATTCCTCTCAATTGGACTCTTCTGATACAACACGCTATAAATGGTCATTTGCAAAGAACTTGGATAAAATGGAAATGGATAGTATTAAAGATAGTGTTGATAGCATGACAGGATTAAGCCGTGGTGATGATAAAGTCAGAGCATCGGGTAAAAGAAGAGCTCAAGCAGTAGGACCAACCATTCCTGATGCTGTTGGTAAGTTGCAATGAATCAAAGAGGCCATGTCTAAATTATACGAGTTTAGATAAAGAAGAGCAGTATGAAAGAGAGCGAGCAAGTCGCAAATATGAATCAAGAAGAAAGAGAGAACACAGAGAAGCCGTGTTGGATGAAATAGCACCAAAAGAAACAGGTCGAGAAGCCGCTCTTGCAAAGAAGAGAGCATTGAGTGCATATCATAAGCGGGAACGTAGTCCTGATGTTGAACTACCAGAAGCTGATTTAATGGGTGGTGATGATTTTCAATCAAGGTGATAAAAAAATGTAAGATTATTGCTTATGTTACTTTAGACTAGCAGCAGAAAGACGGAATCGAGAAAGAAGAGAAGCCAGACAAGCAGAAAGGCGTGACCAGAGGCTGGCACCGGTGATGAGTAAAATGGAAGAATATAAGGCTAAAGAAAATGCCACTATGGAAATGTTTAAAAGAATGGCTGAAGAAAGAAGAGCTAATGGCGGCTTTCAATAAAGTATTTGTGTTGTAGAGACACCTTATTTTTCTACAAATACATTATCGAGAAATGGCAAGATTTTATTCTACTCAAGCATATTAACCAACTACATCAATGAATCCCAAATATAAAAAGGAAAAAGAGGCAGTCTGAATTCTTTTTTTTTTTTTATAAAATAACCACAATTACTTTCTTTTCTTTAAGAAGTCGCATACTCATACAAAAGAGGAGCGGATGAAGTGTCTTCTAGCCACCTCTTCTCTATCTGGTAATCTGCAAACATGTCCCATAGGAAGTAATGCATAAGAAAACCATTCTCATTGATTGCCAGGACCTATAGAAAGGAAGGCATTGTCAACAAATTCCTTTAGATGATATTGGCAATTTAAAAGAGGTTACATTGTTAATGAATATAACAATGAACACACAAATATTATTTATGTCTTGTACTAACGTACACTTTATTGCTGACTTCTCTTACGTCTTTCCTATTAATAATTGTGACGGCACGGGAGCTTTTTATCGAACGACATTATTTGTTATAAAGAAATGAAAAGTATCTTACTCGACCAGCCGACACTAGAAATGATTCAGAAGGGGAATTGTTTATATAACATAGTTCAAGTCCATGCATTGCATTGATTTTGGCTTCATTTAATAATTCATTTTCTGAGAGTAATGTCTTTTCCATAAAAATCAGTAAACACAACTTCTGAATTTGATAACATTGGGAAAGAAAAGGGCGTGGCGGACTGGACTCTTTTGATTTACGATAAATCACACTGTGTCTCAAACATTTTTGACACTAGAATTAATTTTCTTTCTTGCAACGTATTCTTCAATGTCTAAAAATGGGCATAAGTCAGTTGTATTATGGCATATGAACGGTAGTATGGCAACTATCTATCAATACAGCGAGGAACAAAAGAAAAGAGTTCCTTTGGAAACCATAAGTTTTGTCTCCAAAGCTTATTTGGCTTTCCGTAAAATAGACGAACTGGTAATGACAAGAACAAAGCGATCAACTTCACTAACTCACCATAGCGTATTGTCTCTGCTGCTATACCCTTCTTGATTTACTTGTATTCGCTTCGACTTCAAAGCAACCAGTTGACAAGTCTTCCAAATGAAATATGGAGACTAGAGAACCTTATAGAACTTAATCTCGGTCATAACCAACTTACCTCTCTTCCTAAAGAAGTTGGACTCCTTGTCAATTTACAAGAGTTATACGTGCATAATAATCAGATCAAAAAGATACCATCACAACTCGCCAATTTAAAACAGTTGACAATACTAGATTTAACCGAGAATTTATTAAGTTTTTTACCGAATCGAGTGCACAAGTTGAAACTAAAACAATTATGGATTGACAATAATCCATTTGATGCTGTTCCAACAACAACAACAAAGCAATCCATGTCACTGAAGAGTATTTGCGAACAAACTATTGGTAGTTTATGCATGACTGATGATGAATCAAGAGAAGCAGTGATTGAATCCATTTTGATGGATAAGCAAAGACTGATACCAGATACGATTGAACTAGTAGAGAAATGCGATTCTTGTTCTTTACCAATCTTTCATGAAGGGTTGGATATCATTAAACTAAACAATGGCGTACCTGTTCTCTTTAAAGCATGTAGCCAGACCTGTCACAATAAAATCTGATCTAACATGCGGAAAAACAAAGTATGGAATGACGTAGAAATAAAAGTGAGCTAAATTTGTTTACTTCTCTTTAATTTTTTTTTTCTTATCAAAAAAAAAATAAAAAAAAGAAAGTAGAGGGCAATAATGGTCTTCCAGCCTCAATATATAAACGGCGGTACAAATACCATTATGAGAGCCTCTGGACAAACTATACCTAACAACAGGCATAAACCACTTGACTATGTGCCTTCTAACGAACAACTTCAACAGTTAAGCTCTATGGTAAAAATAATTGTGCGCTTATCTTTGGTTCTTTTTTACTCACTTGATAAACTAGTATTTCAGTCAAGGAGACCCTGCAGCCTTTGCTTATTTTCAACAGGAATTGCTATCACCTCGTTTACAACAGGCTTTGTTAGACCAGCAAACACTTGTCAATAATAACAGTAATTTGAATCAAATACCTCTTCAGCAACAACAACAACAACAACAACAACAACAACAACAACAACAACAACAACAACAACAACAACATAATAATGTATTATTGCATCAGTCATTACCACCTCAAGAGCCCTTTGTAGATGGAAATCATAATCCGTCTATTATGGTACCACCTCAATCGCCCACTTTATCAAGTTACTATTTTGAGAACGGCTGGGTCAATCATTACTATGATCCCAAACGTAGACAATATTTATCAAGCCGTGTAGAACCTGAATTTCAACAAAGAAAACGACAAAGCATGGATTATCAATACCTGCATTCTCGAAACAACAAACGACCTTTTACAAACGACATGCTTCAACCACCTACAATGCTGTTACACAACACATATCTTTCTGCTGCTGCTGCTAATGCCATGCATGCTGCTCAAGCCAATACAACTACATCTCAAGCATCTATCATACCATCATTGCATACACCCAATTCATCAAGTGCTGATGAGTGGCGTGAAAGTCTTCTTCAATATGCCCATACTCTTTATTCAACTTCACCTCAGAACCCATACCTTTTGCCATTGCTTCATTCATTACACGATGCATATCCTTCTCATTTACCCACATTGTTACTTTTAGCTTGTGTTTATTATTCTTACCAAGACTACCAGTCCTCTTTGCGTTACAACCAGCTGATCCTTAAATATGATCCCAATTATGTAGAAGCCATGAGTAATATCGGCACCACACTTAGAAGCATAGGGAAAACAGCAGAGGCAGAGACATGGTGGTATCAAGCTGTAAAACTACGCCCTGGCTATTGGGATGCTGTTGAAAACCTTGTGGGCGTTTTATGCGCCAAACCAAGCGATGATCATCGGAAAGAGAAAGACATGAATCCAAGGTACAAAGAAGCTTTAGCCGTATGCGAATTTGTCGAAAAGTTTTTTTTTAAGAACCATCTGCCTCAACAACCACTCAAATCACCCAGTCAATTGCCTGTTCATCAACTATCACGATTACAGAATCTATTTTACGCCAAAGGAAACCTCAAATACGCTTTGGGGGACATTCAAGGGGCACAAAGAGATTACGAAAAAGGTTTAGAACTAGCCTTTGGTGGTATAGACTTGATGTCGATGTGCAATATGATTGTCTATGCTTGTCATCCTCACCACCATTCTTATGGAGCATCGTTGAAAGAAAATGAATTACCTTTGGTCTTATTACAGCCAGATCAAGCCATTAGGATACTGCACATTGTGTTTTCCAACTCAAATGGTATCTTGCCTGGCTTGGTTACACTAAACAGTAATGGTAATGCAACTAATTCGGCAGAGACTGTCTCCACCATTCAGCAGACAAATCAAAATACATCTGTTCTCTTGTTGACATTAGCCAAACTTTTCCAAGATATCATGAATCCCTCAACGCCTGCTTTAGCAGCCATAGCAGCCGTAACGGAACATAAACCAACACTCGCCACTTTGCTGCCTTTGTATTATTTGAGCTTAGCACTTCATCCAAGCCCTTCTACAGCAAACAATCTCGGTATTATTCTCAGTAATATCTCAGGCACGATTGCTGCTACAGCTATCAAGATTGCAACATCTCAGCAACAAACACCTCTGACGGGCACTATGTTGGCTATGCAATATTATATGTATGGTTTGCAGCTTGACCCACGACATCCACATCTTTATACCAATCTAGGCTCGTTGCTTAAAGATATGGGTCATTTGAATGAAGCAGTGAGCATGTACGAAAAGGCAGTCGAATTCAACCCTAAATTTGATGTTGCTTTGGCTAATTTGGGTAATGCCATTAAAGATTTAGGCCGTGTTCAAGATTCTGTGCAATGGTATCGTCGTGCTGTTGAGGTCAATCCTAACTTTGTAGATGCTGTCTGTGGTCTTGTCAATTCACTCAGTGGTGTCTGTGATTGGCGTGGTAGAGGTGGTGTTGGAAACGAAGCGAGTGTAGATCAATACGGTCAATTCTTTCCAGCAACAGGGGATATACACGCAAAGAGTGGTTGGATTGGTCATGTTGTGGACATTGTAGAGAAACAACTTGATGAGGGCTCTATTTGGGGAGCTGGTATTCTCAAAATAGTAGGGAGCAACCACAAGACGCTGGGAGAGACGTTGATTGAACGCCTGCTGGAAACCACAGGCAACACAACGAGCATAGATCAATGGAAATCACGCTTAGCCTTCTTTAATTCTTTAGACAACAAAAAGAATGAAGGAAGCTGGCTCATTCGCTTGATTGAACGTATCATACGTCGTCTTCAACACAAGTGGTATCTTGATGCTTTCTCTTCCGACAAAAGTCTACATAGTCCAATTGATGTGACATCCGAGATGGTAGAAAAGTATGCTCGACCTTTAATTCCAAGTAGCCTGGCCTGTCCGCCTGTCCCTACTGTGCTCCCATTCCACACGTTTACTTATCCTCTAAATGCTCGACAAATCCGTCTCATTTCACATCGAAATGCACTACGTATCTCTCATACTGCCTTGACTTCTACTTGGGTACCTCATCATGTCTACCCTCCACCTCCACCTCCTACATCTCGTTTAAAAATAGGTTATGTCTCTTCTGATTTCAACAACCACCCACTTTCTCATCTGATGCAATCTGTGTTTGGTTTCCATGATAAATCCAAATACGATGTGCACTGCTATGCAACTACGTCCAGCGACAATTCACCTTATCGACAAAAGATTGAGCGTGAAGCAGAACATTTCTTGGACGTTTCCAGCTGGTCTAATCAACAAATTGTTGAGAAGATTCTAAAGGATGGTATTCATATCTTGGTCAACTTGAACGGTTATACAAAAGGTGCACGCAATGAGATTTTTGCTGCACGTCCTTGTCCTGTCCAATGCTCATTTATGGGATTTGCAGGTACATTAGGTGGTAGTTGGTGTGATTATATTATTGCTGATTCCACTGTGTGTCCTCCTGAAATGGTGAGTGGTCAAGTATGGCGTCAACGACACCAGCAAACTCTAGGTGGCGATTTTGAAGGTGAATTGGATCCTGAACAAATAGGCGATGACTTTGTCTATACGGAGAAATTCATTTATATGCCCCACTCTTATTTCGTGAATGACCACAAACAAGGCTTCCGAGACGACCAACATCATGATGCGCTTGTACTCCATAACTCGAAAGCCAATGAAGACATGATATGGACAGTGGAAGAAGAAAAGCGATGGAAGATGCGCCATGAAGTATTCCCTCAACTTCCTGACGATGTAGTTATTTTCGCCAACTTTAATCAGCTTTACAAACTTGAGCCGGATACATTTAGAATATGGTTAAGGATTTTAGAACGTGTGCCCAATTCTATTTTGTGGCTATTGCGATTTCCTCCTGCTGGTGAACAACACTTGCGACGATGTGCTAATGATTGGGTAAGCCCGCAGGTAGCCCAACGTGTGATCTTTACAGATGTAGCTCCTAAACATATCCATATCCATCGAGGCCGTGTGGCTGATCTCTTTTTGGATACACCTGAATGTAATGCGCACACAACAGCTGCTGATATCTTATGGTCTGGTACGCCTATTGTGACTTGGCCCAAGTATATTCACAAGATGTGCTCTCGTGTGGGCGCGAGTATTGCTATGGCTACTGGTTTTGGTGAAGAGATGGTAGTCATGAATGCACAGCAATATGAAAATAGAGCTGTTGAATTAGCCATGAGCCTCAACTATACCTACGAAACATCCAATACAGGCTCTATCCTTCGCCGTGGCCATGGTGCTTTGATGAGTTTGCGTAAACGATTGTTTTTGACAAGAGAACAAAGTCGGCTATTTGACACATTGAAATGGACTCAAAACCTAGAAAGAGGGTACTCTGAAGCTTGGAGACGTTGGGCAACAGCTGAAGAATTTGAAGACATGTCTCCTAGTCATATTCATGAAAAATCTGGCTGTATCTGGATTACAGACCCTGATGATCATTATCAGTCAATACCGCCTTCTACGCTTAGTAGTACATTTGTTTAATTTATTTTATTTTTTTAACTCTTACTCCCTCTCCTTTTCTCTTTACTCTCTCAACAAAGCAACTCTATTCAGTTTTATTTTATTTTTTTTAAAAAAAAAAGAAAAGGACAGAAGGATAATGGTGTATAAGTGTGTGTGTGTATATATATACATATTTGTATGAGCTGATTGAATCTTACAATATATGTGTGTATGTGTGATTATGAGCATGCTTACTAACATCATCCTGCTCTCTCTTTCTCTTTTTTTTTTTTTTTTTTTTTTTTTTGGTTAGTGACATAAAACAACAACATCACCTCTTCTTCTACTATCATCATGGAAATGGCTATTGAAAAATCGTTGGCACTCTCTGTAACCTTGTTCCTGAAGATAATCTCCTAATTGAGGCAACAAATTTTCAAACAAAACCAAATGTGAAGGAGGCCATTGCCTGTCCTTTTGATGTGTCTTGGTAAACTCAAGAGGAGCTGCGTAGAATTGATCAGCTTCATCCAAACTATATGTACCTGATAATGGTGGTTCGCATGTAAGGAACCACATTGGTATATTTTGATGAACAATTGAATACCAAGGCGTAGAATGACAAGGCATCATGACACCCACTGAAATTGGTTTTGATTGAGCTTCTAAGCGCAACCAAAGCATGACATCAACTACACCTCGTTGATGCCAAAGCGACAAATAGAATGCCATAGGTAGTTGTGTTAAAAGTAAGAACAAGAGTGCTGCCTTGCGTCTTTGGGTTTGTTGAAGGCCATAAGCTGATACCATCAACAAAAGAGGGACAACAGGGAAGATGAAACGAAACTCTTTATGAGGCAGCACACTGTATATGCCAAGCACCCAAACGATCAAGGCCAAGAGAAATTTTATGCGGTGATAAACCTGTGGATGAGAGTAAATATGGTACAAACCAATCCCAATGAATGGTAAGAATGTTGTGAAAATGACAGGTAAGCCTTGCGATAAATACCAATGCCATGTATGGACACCATAAAACAGAGAAATGTTATTAATCACATTTACTTTAAAGAAAGAGTAAGGTGTAAACACAACATCCGTCCAACTTTGATGATAGAGACGACTGTCTATCAACATGTTTAACAAGACGATAAGAGTACAGATCATAAAAGCATTTGCTGCCACTTTGATACGGCTTTTGCTTACTAGGAGCAATTGACAACCAAGAAATAGCCAAATCAGACCATTCGTTGGTCGCATGATACATGCAAATGAGGCAAAAACCAATGCTATACGATAGTCCTTGATCCATGCTCTACCAACAGTCGTAGCAATGCCTGGTAATGGCCAATAATTCAACGCAATCATTGTAAACACCATTTCCATGCTATTAGATAAGGTACGTGCGGCCATATGAAAGTTGAACCAAGAGCACAATGTCGTAAAGAGCTATCCAAGAGTAAGTATGTAATCCAACAGTGTCTACACTGCAGTTACCATAGGTAGTGCGATTTGATTTCCAAGTACTTTTTTAGCAAAGTTGTAAGTAGCCATATCAGCAACAGCATTCAAGATAGCCTGAAAATATCGAGGAGCCATTATCAATAGATCGGTATGTTCTAGCCCTAATAACTGAATGACTTTATATACTGCAGCGATCGCCAATGGATGAGCAAAGCTTCTTATCCTCTCTCGCCATTCCCAAGTCAAGTAGCCATTACCAAAGACGAGGTAATGAGCTACTTCTTGTCCTTGCCAGTATTCATCCGCATTGTCATAGGTACGTGTAAAATACGCATTGAATAAGCGAAATACAGCACAAGTGATGAATACGAACAAACGTGATGAGGATGTTGACTTTTGCTCAATGTTTCCAGTCATATTGACAAGAAAAGAAGAATGCAGTTAATAATAAACCCAGATTGCTTTATTGCTCTTCTAATATCTTTTCTTCAATCTCTGAAAGAAACTTAATATACTCTTTGTCTTTGTGCATGGATATGGCTGTTTCTATATAGAACCTGGCTGCTTGATAGTCTTTTAATTCAAACATGATATCAGCCATTGTGCTTGCCATAGTAGGGTTGTGAGGGTTAAGACGAATAGCTTCTGCAAGGTAGGATGCAGCCTGTTGAAACTGCTCCATACCAATATAAGCAGATGCCATACCATACCTGAAAAAAAAATCAGTCAGTATACACTGTATTTTATTAGAACCTACCAAGCCATATAGGATCTTTTATTTGCAATTAGAGATTTCGCAAAATGTTCTTTTGCTTGTAGAAAACTCTGTTTCTCCCATTCTTCATAACCCAACAGCGTATGGCCATAGAACTGTGATGCATCAAGGTCTACAGCCTTTTGAAACCATTGTAATGCTTCATTGCTTTTTCCAGCTAATTTGTTCCAGTTACCTGCCACGATATAGGCTTCAAACAGATGAGATCTGTTGTTCTTCATTACAAAAGTCAATACATTGAGCTCTCGTTCCTTTTGGCTGCCGAGATACCATAGGCATGTGGAATAAAGAGGCACACTTTCGCAATACCATGGTGCAATACTGAAAGCGTGCCTGAAAAAGTAACGGGAACTCTCATAATCACCAGCATGATAATAAGCGTTTCCTAGAATATTGAGTACGCGAGCAGAACTGTATTGTTTGTCATCAAGCTTTTGGAGTGTTAATGCAGCCTCTTTACATCGATAGATACTTTGACAATAATAACCATTGGCAAGAATACGCAGAACTTTGAGTACTGCATTCATGCCTGCTAAAATAGCTTCTTCGGTACGTTGATTCTTGAATTGATAAAATTCTCTTGATGGAATAGGCAGGAAATAAGACATAATGGATTCTCTATACAATTTCTAGTATCCTACATGAGTTGAAATCCTCTTGTTTGCCTAGTAGTTACCTCTTGTTTTTTGTGCTCTGTCAAATTAGAAGCTATCCTTGGTGCTGCTGATGACAGTCTACCATAGGACATAAATCCAGGCATTGGTTCTTCTTCTTCTTCCTCGTCCATCTGCATTACATCCATTTTTGAAATCTGAGTTGTACGTGTAGGTGGTTTCTTATGTAATCCATGTTTACTTTTATATGCTTCGTCTGCCTTCATTTTTTTAATGTCTTCTAAAATGTCTTTAATCATTGTATCTTTTTGCTTTTCAGTTTCACTCCTACAATGTCAATAAGCCAACTGTTTTTTTTTTATTGTGTTTACCTTTCTATTAGTTCTTCGTCTATTGTGTCTGGTATATTCTTGACAAGTGCTTTTAATTCATTTACACTAAGTTCTCTATAGTCATTTCTGATAGCAGGCAAAGACCAACTATTGTTTCTAATTTCATTACACGTCGCTAGGTTATCATTAAAAGAAATATCATGCTGGTCTGCAGAAGGCTTTGGGGGTAAATAAGATATAGGTGACTTGGATAAATCGATATCATCAAAATCAAGCTGTTTAAATGTGTCTTTGGGTAACATGCCAGCTGCCTTTAGGTCAATATTATCAGGTGCAATGTCACATAACTTGGTGAATGCTGATATTTTGTATGGATTGAGTTTAAGGCAGGCTATATAGCATTTCATGGCTTCTTTGATATTGTCGAGTTTTGAGAATAGATCACCTAATGAATCATATAAAGAAGCTCGACTAGGCATAAGATGCCGCAGCGAGACACTGGATAGTTCTAAACATAACATGAGTATTCAATCACAATTGTGTGTCTTTCTTACCGTCTCCCCAATACACTTTGTTGGGTAATTCTTTATTCTCGAGTGCCAATAAAAGTGCCTTCACACCTTCTAGCCAATATTGTCGCTTTTCTTCATGTGTTTCTTCCATGTTGCCTACTTCTAGGCAGCTTTTAGCAAACAAGCTCAAGCAAGTTACTGATTCAGATCGTTTCAAGATTGTATAGCTAGCATGGTAATCGAGATTATGGTAAAGGCACTTTGCATACAAGAATCGGTAAAGCGAATTTTGATTATTGATCGAGAACAGTCTTTCAGACAATAAAAGTGCATTTCGATAGTCTCCATCGTCCATGTCTCTATAGATTAAGGACATCAACGTCCAAGATTCTATCGAACTTGTCTGTTGCTCTGTCATTGAATAAGAAAAAAAAAGAGGTGAAAATTTTCACCTTTCTTATGCGGTTATTTAAAACAAAGGAAGGATCGACTGGTGGTATGCATGAATTCATATACAAAGAAGCAAACGCCATGTATTTATTGTCCTAAAGGAGGAATGGTTCGTTTGGTGAAGAGATAAAGTAGGACTTCATTGTTTTTTAGCGTGCTTTGATCTTTAAAATGTTCATTCATAGATGTAGTATAGGACCCATTGAACACACAGTGGCGAATGCATGCAATGCAGTCAATTAATCGTATTTCATCAAACCAAAAGCTTTATCCAGCTTGATTATATATGAACATTGCATCTTTCAAGCGAATGTCTTGCTTTTGTGAGGAAAACTTGCCAAAATGACCGCATAACATGCACTTCACCTTGCCAATTGCTACATTCACCACTTTAGATACTGAAAAGAAAAACATAGAACCCAGTACGGGGGTCGAACCCGTAATCTTCCGTTTAGAAGACGGATGCCTTATCCAATTGGGCCAACCGGGCAATTTTGTTAAATTGACCATTAAGTATTATACGACCTTTTTAAATTCTTGAGTCTAAAACTCAGACCGGACCTGTTCGGCCTTTTTTCGGTTTTTTTTTTTGCTTCAGCTGTTCGAATAATTTTCAAACATAGCCGTTGTCCGACTTGTTGGACGAACAAAATGTATCGACTACCTGTCAGAAATTGTTATGCGACACCAGGTGTAACTTATTTGAGCTTGAATCACGAAGCATTGAATAACGTAACTGCTTTCCAAGCATTGTGTCATCAAACAACTATTGAATAAACACTCAAAACCTTATGGCCTTTATCGCTTTTTTTTTTCTAAGGAACAAGTGATAGTAAATGAATTGACAAGAACATAGCATAAATCCCTGTGATCCATCAAAAAGAAAACGTGTTTTATTTTTCGAATTGATTGGTTCCCGTAACAGCTTGTCAAAATAAAAATGAGAAAGGGCTTTTTCTTCTTCTTTTTTTTTCTTTTTCTTTTTTTTATTACTGTATGCCTTCTTCTTATAGTCTTAACCTACCACCGCTTTCAAGATATGCCTCTACTGGAAAAGCGCAATGTAAGTGCTACTTTTTTGTCATCTCCATAGACTGATCGTCCATAACTAGACGTGATTGGTGTATGTGCTATGGACAAGAAAGCCAGGTCAAAACCTATGCGATATATTCTCGACCGTATGTTAGCATACGGAGATTTTGAAGTCGTGATTTTTGGCGACAAGACAATCATTGATGAAGGTAGGACAACATCGTCGTATGAAAATGGACTTATTTTTTTCTCTTCAGAGGTCGAGAATTGGCCTGGATGTGATTTCTTGTTATGTTTCTTTTCAGCAGGATTTCCTCTAGATAAGGCCATTGAATATGTCAAATTAAGAAAACCCTTTGTTGTCAATGATGTGTGCATGCAGTCATTGTTATGGGATAGGCGTATTGTATTGGCTATTTTGGATGCCGTCGGCGTACCAACACCTCAACGTCTTGTGATTTCTCGTGATGGAGGTGCAAAAGTAGACGCTGATGCTGCCCAAGCGTTTCATGAAATGAATGGTATGGATATTCGTCTTATTTTAGATAAATACGCTCGAAATACAAACGATGTACATATCTCAGAAGATGGTGTACGAGTCGATGGTTCGTTTTTGCCCAAGACTTTTCTGGAGAAGCCAGTGGATAGCGAAAATCATAATATCAATATATATTATAGTAAGGAGCGTGGAGGAGGAGGTAGACGGCTATTTAGAAAAGTAAGTAAAGGATACAACAATGATTGTACTTATGTATTAGGTGGGTAATAAATCCAGTGAGTTTGATCCAAACCTGGATATGCCTGCTTCTGAAGGTTCATGGATATATGAGTCTATGATGATGACAGAAAACAGTGAAGATGTCAAGGTATATACAGTTGGACCTACTTATGTTCATGCAGAGACGAGAAAGTAAGCTATTTCTTAATATAAGCACATGATCTAACATGACACTAGATCCCCTACTGTTGATGGTCTAGTCAAACGCAATACCGAAGGAAAAGAAATTCGCTATGTGACTGAACTTACGGATGAAGAGAAATCCATTGCTGCCAAAGTGTCAAAGGCGTTTGGTCAAATGATCTGTGGTCTTGATCTGTTACGTGTCAAGGGAAAATCCTATGTGATTGATGTAAACGGCTGGAGTTTTGTGAAGGGAAACGATCATTATTATGATCAGTGTGCATGTCTTTTAAGCGAATCCTTTCTTCGATCTGTTCAGCGCCGTCCTTCGACTACGATTCATGATATTCCTCGAGAAATTCTGCCCCAGAATTCATGGCGACTGAAAGGATTTGCAGCCGTTTTCCGCCATGGTGATCGAACACCTAAAAACAAACACAAGATATCATTAGTAGCACAACCTTTTATTGACTTGTTGGAAGGGAGCACGCAGGAAGTTGTGTTTCGACAAAAGCATCAATTGCAACTCGTTATTAATGCAATCGATAAATGCCTGGAACTCAAGTTAGAACAAGAGAAAAAGTTATTGGCACTCAAGGAGATTCTAGAGAGAAAAAGCGAATTGCCAGGTACGAAAGTACAAATGAAGCCTATTTTTGACAAGAGTTCGAATCTGTTGAGAAAACTTCAAGTGAACGTGAAATGGGGTGGCGAGGTAAGTTTGATCGTAGCTGCTTCTTTATCTGATCATCTTAGTTTACACACGCTGGTCTTCATCAATCTCGAGATCTTGGTGATAACTTGAGAAAAGACACAAGAATTCTTAATAAACATATTGCTGATGACATCAAGATTTGGAGTAGTTCTGAAAGAAGAGTACGTGCTACAGGTAAGTCAAACAACATCAGACGTGTATAGATCCTTATGTTGTTCTAGCTGATGTATTTACACGCTATTTCCTTGGTCGTCCTGATTCGATTGAGGGTGTTATTTCTGAAAGCAAATATTTACTTGATGACAGTAATGCAGCTAAAGAACAAATGGATGCTGTCAAAAAGCAACTCAAACTTCTCCTTCGACCTGGCTATGATGCACCCACTATCCTGCTTGCTCAAGCAGGATGGCCAGCTAATATGGCCCAACCTCATGCTGTTCTGCAGGAAGTATCAGCCATCATGGGTCGTTTGCGTACAGTCATGCGTCGAAATTGGGCTACAAAAGACGTGGATCAAATCCAGCGTCGATGGTGTTGTTTTGAATCACCTAATTTGTTTAAAGAGCGTTGGGAAAAGCTGTTTGATCATTTCTGTATTGCAAACACTGTGATTAACGAAAGCAGTGATTCTGACGCTACAAAGTCTCCAAACTGTCCAGATCCTTCAGGTATTCCTGTGTTGTATGATTCTTTAAAGTATGATGCTCTACACAACAGACAGTTCTTGGAGGCTATTTTCAATGAATCAGACAACAATACAGCTATAGAAGACCATACAAGCAATACTAGTAGCAGTAATATATCTGAAAATGCAAGTTACCATTCCAATGAGACTTTGGATACATCAAGTGCTGATCTCCGCAAACTGTATGCCTATGTCCGTGTCCTGTTTAATTTTGTAGCTCCTCAAGAATACGGTATTAGCGAAAAAGAAAAGAAGACAATTGGTATGTTGATAGGCTTGCCCTTACTCAAAAGCATCTTGAGCGATCTAGAAGACTTCAAGACCTCTGAAAAACCCAAGACAAGACTTTATTTTACAAAAGGTAAGCTTGTCCCTTTTGGTAAATTTGACTTACTTTAGGATAGAATCCCATGTTCATGCTCTTTTGAATCTCGTCTATCTTTCTGGTATACCCACCAAAGTACCCCGAAATACATTACCTGAGCTTGATTTCCTTACACAAATCACATTTGAACTCTATGAACGCAATCGACATAATGGATCAGATAAAGAGTATTCGCTTCGTATTGCATTCAGTCCTGGTGCTCATTATGATTCTGTCTTGGATTTACATATGGATGCAGAACATTGCTTAAAAGTGGCACCTAGAAAGTAAAGTGTCATCTACCTCGCATTATGCACAATATTAACTTTCTCTATAGAAATCTGATTCCTCACTTGTCATTGAATGAAGTTGTCGAATACTGCAAATCAGCCTATCTTAACATCCCTGAACTAGCTGCTATAGAACAACAGATTGATGAAAAGAAACTGTTTTATGCACAAGAAGATAACCAATAATAAAAAAGAATGTACCATATATCTCATATCAACTTGTTGAAACACACTTTATTGTTGAAACAAAAATTGATTGTAATAAAAGAAAAAGCACACAACACACGCTTTATCGGTTGGCTAAAGGGAGACATATCAGTCACTGCTAAACATATTTTTGATCTGTACTTACACTTGGCAACACGTTCAAGTTCATCCTTCTTCTTGATGGCGTAAGAGTTGGCGGAACCCTTGGCAGCGTTGATCAATTCATCAGCGAGACATTCAGCAACAGTCTTGACGTTACGGAAAGCGGATTCTCTGGTACCAACAGTCAACAAAGAGATGGCTTGGTTGACACGACGGAGAGGAGAGACATCAACAGCTTGACGACGGACAGTACCTTGAGAACCGATACGGGTGGAATCTTCACGAGGACCACAGTTGATGATGGCATCGACGAGGATTTGAAGAGGGTTGGCATCAGTCAACAAGTTGATGATTTCGAAAGCGTGTTGAACAATACGAGCAGCCATGAGCTTCTTACCGTTGTTACGACCAGTCATCATCAAGGCGTTAGTCAAACGTTCGACAATGGGGCACTAATAATATACATTAGCTTTGATCTTTACTCTCTCTTATGACTTACTTGAGCCTTACGGAAACGCTTGACAGCGAAACGACCGGCAGTGTGGGGCAAGTAGACTTGTTGACGGATTTGAATGTAGTCTTGGAGAGAAATATCCTTGACTTCAACATCTTCATAAGACCACTTGTTGAATAATCTGCGGGTACCATCAGCAGTAGCGCTGACATCAGCGGGCAAACCTAAAGCGGGCATGTTGTACTATTCATCCATCCATTAATCAGTAAGATGTTTGATTGATGCATATGTGTGTCTATGCCATTCTTTACCTGTGTCGATAAGAAAGAAGGTTCCTCCCGTCTAAAGACAGCAGAGATACTTAAGGAAAATAGGCTGTCCGCATCTCTGTACCGGACTTTCACCGGAGAGTATCCGATCATTGTATTTTATTTTTTTATTTTTGTGATTCTCCTCTAGAGACTGATTGACATGTTTTTATTGGATATTAAATAAATAAGTAAAAAAAAAAAAAAAAAAGAATTACATAGTAGTCAAGGCAGCATCGAGACTAACCATGCTAGGACCACGGCTTAGTCGTTGTTGTAAAGAAGATGCAGGTTGTTGATGCTGTGAAGAATTAGAGGATATAAGTTGATGAGTAGAAGGCTTCTTTCCCAAAGTATGTGGTGTATCATCAGACGATGTCATGATTTGTTGTTGTTGCTGTTGATGACTATAATCTAACAATTCAGCTTGTGATAAACGAAAATGGTTTTGTGAACAATTATTAAGAGACCAAAAGGATTGTTTTGAACGTAAAGAAACAGGTCTTGAAACGGGGGATGGATTGCTTGATAGGTTATGTATCACTAAGAATCGTTCAAAGAAGTCTGCAATCAAGGGTTCTTTAATCGTAGATAGTTTGTATTCTTCAAAAGACTAGTATGAAATCAATAATTTGAGAATCTCCTTGAATTACTTACCAGCTTTCCATCGCAGTCAACATCAAAGTCTTCAAACATACAGTTAATTGAAGTCTGAAGTTCTTCTGATTCTTTATCGTCTTCAGATAGCATTCTTGACTGATTCTATATAAGTACATCTCATCTTTGGGTTTGTTGTACTTACTAGTTCAAAAATAACATTCTCAATCTCATCTTTTGATATATAACCATCTCTATCGATATCATATAGCTTAAAGGACACTAACAAACTAAACTGAGCATCATGATAGACATACACTGTTTTGCTTACATTGAAGCTTCTCTTCATTTGTACCCTTCATAAACACGCTCAAGCCGTCTACAAATTTGCTGTTTGATAGATGAGTAAGATGTACATACACACAAACATGATGATGAGTACCTAAAGTCAATCGACTGTTCTTCTGTTCCTCCGAAAGCACAGTACAATCTCTTTAAAAAAGCGTCATCCGTTAAGGATATTGTTGGTACATAGTTCTTTACAGACTATAGACATCATAAATAATAGTTTGTTTTGTTTTGTTCTTACATCTTTAAACACCTCTTCAGTAATATGATTATGATCTTTCTCTTTCACGTTCTGTCGGAGATCTTCAATTTCTTTTGTAGTGACTAATAAGCACTGAATAAACAGGCTATCAAGGCATAGACTTACAATGTGTTCTTTTAGACAGAATGTCACTTTCTTTACTCTTTGCTTGTCCCATAGTACACAAAAGAGAGAGAATGGAAAATGGAAAATGAAATAAATAAAATGAATTGCTTGCATCATGATTAAGTTCATTCTCAGATGTGTGTGTGTGTGTGTGTGTGTGTGTGTGGCATGACATAGTTTAAAACCCAAACATGGGTATAAATATATTCCTTTATCTCTCTCTCTCTCTCTCTTCAGCTGCATAAAGAGAATATAAAGCTTATATTGACAGTAACAAAAATGACCTATCTATGAACAAGTTGTCTTCATAAAACAAGGTTTAATGTTCAGTTAGTAACTATAGTCAATGAGAGTCTATATGCAACATAACTATGGAAGTATCCATTCATGTTATATATATATATATATATATACATATATATTCTATACTATATAAACAAAACAGTATACGCTTTGCAAAGAAATATGTAAGTGGAATCAGCATGTCTTCCTTATAGTTTTTTAGATTATGTTTTGACATTTCTCCATAAGAAAACAAGGGCTTAGAATAGTGACTATATTTTATCAGGTAAACATGCATCCTTTTTTTTTCATATTACGTTTAATTTAAGAACTCGCCATGTGATTTTCAAGGCTGTTCTGATCGCCGTTGAATTCTGCAAGCTCATCCGCCTATACTAACATACGTTTTCATGATGATGTTACCAAGCATATACATCGTTCTATTAAACTATAGAGGAAATGACACTCTTTTTTTTCTATGGTATACATTTCTTTTTCTCAATTGGCCATTGACAGTTTAGTAGACTATACAATTTTCTACTTTTATTACTATAGTCAGGGAAGTATTAAATCATTTGTGAAACATTCGGCCTGAAAGATAATCCGAAATTGCAAGCATTTTTCTTACTCAGAAGTCTATTATTTAAGTACGCCATTCCTTCTTTTTTTTTCTTTTTGTTTGTTTGTAAACAGAATGGCTGAAAACGGCAAAACTAAAGTTAACAACAATGGCGTGCCTTTATTCAAACAGGCATTAAGCAAGAGAGACAAAGAATTAGACAATGAAATTGTATACGAATTCGGTGGACCTTTGGGTGCTCTTGGTATGATGGTTGGCTTCCCTTGTCTCATGTACTACTTTTGGATTTGTCTTGAGTATCATCAAGGTAAATTAATTACTCCCAAGTCTTATACAAAAGATGGTATTGTGCAATTCTTGTCTGAAGAAATTATTGCTAAAATCATGACTGGCGCTTTCCCTACTTTATTTGCTATCAAGACTTACATGGGTTACATTATGATCTCACTTACTTTGGCTTACATCATGCCCGGTCCTGTTGTTGAGGGTCTTCCAATTCCTTCTTTGAATGGTGCTAGAGTAAGTTTTATTTATTTAGCGGGCATTTGTGTTTAAAAAAAATTTTTTTTTCTCTACATATAGCTCAAGTACCTTTGTAATGGTCTATCTCAATGGTATTTGACACTTGTTCTTGCTGTTATTGTTCATGTCACTGGTATCTTCCGTTTGACCAGTATTATCGACAATTTCGGTAGTATTATGACTGTTGCTATGATCTGGGGTTTCACTATGTCCACCACTGTCTTTGTTACATCTATTTTATCCGGCACTCAACACCGTATGTCAGGTAATCTCATTTATGATTATTTTATGGGTGCTCCTTTGAACCCTCGTATTGGTCATGTTGACTTGAAGATGTGGGCTGAATGTCGTGTTCCTTGGGTTATTTTGTTCTTCACTTCTGTTTCTTGTGCTTTAAAGCAATATGAAACTCGTGGTTACATCACTGCTCCCGTTGCTTTTATGGTACTTGCTCACTTTTTATACTGTAATGCCTGCCACAAGGGTGAAGAATGTATCCCTACTTCTTGGGACATGTTCTTTGAAAAGGATGGTAAGTAAACCAGAAAAAAAGGAGGGATTTGCATTTATTCAAATATTTGTTAGGTTTCATGCTCATTTTCTGGAACATGGCTGGTGTACCTTTTACTTATGGTTATTCCTCCATTTACTTGATGAAGTATGACTTGACTACTGGTCATGCTATTACTCACAGCTTGCCTTACACTGTTACTATCTTTGCTATCTTAATTTTCGCTTATTATGTCTTCGATACTGCTAATTCTCAGAAGAACCGTTTCCGTATGGAACAAAATGGCTCTTACTTTGACCGTAATGCCTTCCCTCAACTCCCATGGGGTAGAATTAAGAACCCTACTTATATCAAGACTGAAAACGGTAATTTGTTATTGACTTCTGGATGGTGGAAGTATGCTCGTAAGCCACACTACACTGCTGATTTATTCCAATCCCTTTCTTGGGGTTTGATTACCGGTTTTGGCTCTTTCTTGCCTTACTTTTACTTCACTTTCTTCCTTTGCGTCTTGACCCATCGTGTCTCAAGAGACATTGAACGTTGTGCCAAGAAGTATGGCAAGGACTGGGAAAAGTACTGTGAAGCAGTTCCTTACATTTTTATCCCTTACGTTTTCTAATTCTTTTTTTTTTTTTACATATCGCAATCCTTGAAAATTATCTAATATACACCAACATATTCTTTTTTTTACATTAATCATAATAAATCCATTCTCATCATCAAGTCTTTCTTAAGGAAAACAACCCTGTAATACAGACATAACATTTATGGATACTTTGAGCGAGTTTTGTAAACGAGTTTAAAGGGAATAGGAGGTTTTTTTTTTTACACAATTAATTTGAAACACTTTGCTGTGTACACAATTAGAGGAATGGACTTGAAATTAGGTAACCTACTTTATTTAATAAGAAACAAACTGGTACTTTAGCCAAATACTGTTTCCAGGAACTAGGACGAGGACCTAAACCAGTTTAAATTGATTTCCCAAAAAGATGGTGTGCGTACGCACAAAGCCCCCACTATAGTATTCACATTATCAAAGAAAAAATGGAATGCCTATCATTTTTGATAGATGATCCACTCAAACGAATGAATGGACGAACACTATATATAGAGCCATTACTCTGTCCGATAGTCGGCCCTAAATGAATAGAGCTGCCATGAATGGACAGGTACCCTTTCAAAAGTGAAGCTTAACTTTAGAAAGACTACTCTAGCCACCAGACTAAAATAGGTCCCCTCTAAAGAGCATTCACAAAAGAAAAAGCGAATGACTATCAATCCCAGTAACCTTCACTACTGCTTTTTACTAGCATCATCACAATAGCGAAAGACAAGAATTGCTGCAATACCCTAATAGCCACAAGAAATGATACCACAAATGAGAATAAGATGCTAAGAAAAGACAGTAACCTTCTAGCGTTGGGGATATTTGGACTTGGACTGCCAGTGCGTATAACTAAGATGGGATACCCTTTCGAACAGGACCATAAGCCAACCCTCTACACGCGTTTGTTTCCCTCAAATCGAATTCGTCAAAGACCCGTTTAGTGAAAGAAAAAGGGCAGTTTATCTTGACAGAGAATACGCTTGCGTTCAGGCGGCAGATGCCCCAGATACATTTGGCACATTATCCTGAAAGGATAGAAAAAAGAAAAAAGTGTCTTTATACTCTGGTGAATTCCCTAACCATTATTCAAACTCAGTTATAGTCAGCCAGCTTTCTAGAATCGTCTTTTAATGGCTTATTGAGGGCTTTAGAGATATAAAGACTATATTGACAAGAACAAAAATATGTCGTCTACTTCTGTTTAGCTCATTGAATTGACACAGCGGTAATAACGCTATTTTAAATAGCAAACTTTTTTCACAAAGTTGCATAATAAAGAATTTTGTTTGCCGCCAAGGCTTACAAAGTAGTAGTACCAGACATATGCGGTTGTACCTGGATATTACTAAATTTGATTGCAACAAAGCCAAAAGTATTAAGACTCATTAACTCTCAGGGATCAGAAGCTAAAAAAAAAAAGCAGATTTATTCTCTAATCAAGTCAATGTAATCTACGCTTTAAGAGATTTTAACAATGAGACGCTATTTGGATACACAAGCTTTGGGTGTCTGATTCCTTTTTTTATATTTCATTGGTACTATCTGTTTATCTACTAATAGATTTACACCTGTTAGAAGACCCATTCTATCTCTTTTTCACTTCCTTTAGTCTATTCCCTATTTTGTGAATATAGAAAAAGCAAGAAGTAAATTCGCATAGCTCGATCTACCAATTTAGACATAGGTCAGACTTTCTTAGTATCGCTTGATGAACAACAAGAAACTTTGCGATAAATCTGATACGAAGTTAATGCAAAAAACTATTTGAATATTTATTCAAGGCTCAGTAAGTTCTCGTAGTGTATGGCTACTTTTTTTTCTGAGTTTTCTTGTTTCTGTTTGAGAACGCTTTAGCGCCTTGCAAACTTCGACAACATACTCAAATATAAATATCTTGTCAACAATCAAGCACCGCCCATCGTTACTACTCTCCACACTCTCAGTAAGATAGCCGACAGTACATCTTCTAGAGCTGAGAATACGGATAACATCGTCGACCCCGAGCAATTTTTGACTCCTGCACTAACCGAGCATTCATCTCATCTTCCTCACCCCTCAGAAAACGCTCAAGAACAAGCACATCTCCGGAACCCATCACAAACAAGATGGCAGCAGACAAAGTCACTATACTTAAAAAACCCTCAGTGGTTCCTTACAACGCCCCTGTAACTCGAAACAGATCCGTCGCACTCTCGGACACTCAAGAACCACAACCTACGAAAGACGACATGTTTCGAATGCAGGAATGACTCCTCCAATACGAAGCCGACAATGCATTACTCAGATCGGAACTTGTATGGTATTTTTTCCCAAGAGAGGGGACTTGACCAACCTCCAGAATTGGCGTCCCATTTCTCTTATCAACACAGATGTTAAGATTTTTACTAGACTAGTTAACGCAAGACTTATGCCACATTTCTCAAAGTGTATCTCTTTTCACCAAATGGGCTTTATGCCTGGGCGTTTTATTACTGAAAACGATCAAATTCTATACAATGTTCAAACCATTGCCACGTACATCAAATCAGGCTCCTAGGTTTACTATTGGACTAAGAGAAAGCCTATGGTCATGTTCATCTTGAATACCTTACACAAATTATACATGCTTTTAACATTTCTTCTACCCTAATTCATAACCTCATCACTCTCCTTTTCAACACACATATACACTTAAACGTCAATGACCACATATCAACAAATACAGTACAACAAAGACGTGGACTTCGACAAGGAGACCCACTTAGCCCTCTATTGTTCAGCATCGCATTCGAATTCTTCCTTCGCTCTATTCAACAAGACAAACAACTCATTAACTTTGATTTCTTAGACGAAACTAACACACATGCCTCGTCAGAGCCAATAAATCTACTCACTACTCAACTACGATCACTTAATCTCAGTCATTCCGATATTCGCCCTTCTCCGCCTTCACCTATCCTTTCACCTACAATTGCTCCTGTCAAAATTTTAGCCTACACATATGATATATTAGTTTTGCTTCGCAACCAGTTTAATTTTATACGTCTGCAAGTCATCGTAAGTAACTATTGTCAGCTTCTAATGCACTGCTCAACTACAGCAAGACTCAAGCCTTTTCCTTGTCTGGCTCGTCTCTACCACATTGGTCACTTTTTCTTCGTAACAACAGCACCACCCCTTAGCATAATTCTGACCTCTCCTCTCCTTTAATTTACTTAGGATGTCCTATTTGCTCTAGCACTCAACAGCGCAATCAATTTGCTACCACACTTATCACCAAAGCTCAACTCTTGTGCAATATTCACTTTCAACGCAATTTATCTGTACGTGGGCGTGCTAATGTCCTTAATAATCTTGTATTTTCCATCCTGTGGCATGTCTTGTGCCTTTTGCACTTCACCAAAGAGCAACTTACCAAACTTCAACAGATCGGAGCATCCTTCATCAACAACCGTCGCTACAACAAGCTTTCTTTCGCCACTCTGGCTCTCCCTTGAGAGAAAGGTGGTCTTGCCGTCTTAGATCCCATTATTCAACAGAACGCCCTTCAATGGCGTTGGCTTCAACCTCTTTTACGGTTCAATACACTCCATTCCCTAACCCAAATTTCTCTCCCAGTACTTCAATTCAGTCTACATTATTTTATTTTATTTTTACATCCATCAATCATCCCACATACCATTGGTCCCTCTTTTTCCCTTCTTGCCGTCTATACCTCCCTAGCTTGGTCAACAACTACTTTGCCAACTTACTTCAAGCCGCTGATGCACTGCCGCATAATTTTGATTCCTGCCAAGTCCCTCTTCAAGTCTGCCTCCATCTTCCTGCACCCGAACTATTCATTCATCGCCCACAACCCTCTAGTCCATCTTCTCTCCCTTTTTTGAACCGCCTGACTCTCTTTTCCACAAAACTTCTGGTTTCTCTCGCCTCATTGGTCATGGTCCTTTCTTTTACAATAATCAATCTCACTCCCTAAAATACCGCACTCGCGATACACTGACTCAACATCGTCGTGTCCCTCTTCGAATATTCAAACATATCCGTAATCAGAAACTTTTACTCAAACCTTTTGTCCTTCCCTCACTTTGAACCTATTACGATCATTCCTCCCCCCCAACACACAAATCACTCTTCATCCTTCCTGCCTACAATCTTTTATCACTACTCTTACATTCTTTCAAATTGCTTCCCCATCACTTGTTTTCAAACCTGCACCTCCAACTATTTCCGGCTATAAAGCATTACTTCCCTTACATATTCCTACCCCTGTTTCACCGTTTGGCATTGTCCCCAACCAGAAAACCTTTTGGTTACTTCACATTACCCATCGCTCTCGTAATATCTGGTTCCGCTTCTTGCACAAAACCATCAATACACGATTTTACCTTCAACAAAAACTGTCTCAACTCATCACCCATCCCCAATGCATTCACTGCCCATACTTCCGACGAAACACCATTGACACACTAGATCACTTCAACTTTCTTTGTCCAACAAAATACAAGATCTGGTGCCACATTCTTTCGACATACGTCGATCCTTAAGACAACTCCTCAATTTACGCACTACCATTAACCGCACCAACAAGCCTGTGTTATTAACCCTCTCCACTCAACAAATATGTGCTAGCACATTGGAAGGTCTATGGTCCAGCCATTGTCGTTCCGTTTTTGATTCAACACCTTTTACCTTTTCTTCCGTACTCCATACAGTCAAACGCCTGTTGACTAAGCAATCCGATAAACAAGAACTAATCATTTTTGATTGAACTTACTTTCCTTCCTAGTAAAACTCATGTACTTTTTCCCTTCCCCCTCCTCTTGCACAACATACCCCCTCAGTCTTATTCATCACTCATTACGACATCTTTAGGACTTTAAATAAAACCGGAACATAGTTCCCCTATAAAAAAAAAAGTTTGGGAGCTTGATCAATTCTTGTTCAGACAAGAAGAGGACTTAAAAAAACTTAATTATTTTGGTAAAACCTTTAATATGTTTGTACTGTGTATTTCCTTCTTCTCCTTTGTTGTCTTTGTGTAATAAAGGCTATACGTGGAATCAACCTGTATAAAGGCTTTATCTATTCATGTCTATTGCTTTATTACTGTCTTTCATCTTCAATATGGGTTGATAAGAGTACATTTCATTTACCACCCTATAACGTTGTTGCCTTTTGGGACAGAAAAAATCATAGAAAGACTCATACACCTCAAGCCTTCGCAATGAGTATGATGGGCTTGTCAAAAAATATCATTTTCAGAAATAATAAAAATATTAACAGTTATGCCGAAATTACAAATATGCCACTTGTGTACTCAAAAAAATATTTTTTGAAAAATAATAAAAACCATTTTTTTAAAATAAACCACTATTCTAAAATAAATCAAAACCATTTTCTGCATAAAATTTAAAAAAAAAAAAAAAAAAAAAAGAAAAAAAAAACTTGTTTTTCAATTTTTCTGCTTTAAAATAAAAAACAAATATACCAAATAGTAATACCCTTTTAAAACTAAAACAGTAAGATCATCATCCGGTAGACTCGTTTATTTATTCAAAGCAGAAAAATTGAAAAACAAGTTTTTTTTTCTTTTTTTTTTTTTTTTTTTTTTTTAAATTTTATGCAGAAAATGGTTTTGATTTATTTTAGAATAGTGGTTTATTTTAAAAAAATGGTTTTTATTATTTTTCAAAAAATATTTTTTTGAGTACACAAGTGGCATATTTGTAATTTCGGCATAAATTTATCGAAGTTTAAAATTTTACATTTTTTTTTTTGTGAATCCATCGTATTTGTGAACATATAGGATTTATATACATGTTACAAGTAAGTAGTAGACTTTATTATCAGTTAAAGATATTAATGGCTAAGTGACCAGAATACAGATATAGTAACTGTAATAGATCTTATGTTCGCTTCATTTATTCATCTTGAAGAGATTGATTCTAATCCAATGATAAATCAAGAGACAACTTAGATCGGTAATAACCGACTTAGTGGCTCTTGTTACTCAGGACTTATCATGATGGATAAACTATTGAGACTCACAAGAAACGAGTTCATAACTCAAAATATCAAGAGGACGAAAAACGATTGACAAAAGGTACTGCAAGTGCTTGAGAGAGTTGTTCTCATGACGCTGTCCCTTATTCATGTGGCGTTCTGCAGTAGGAATCGTAACTGGAGCTTTGTATTCAATCTGAGAAATAGATGGGTAAGATTCTATAACTGCCTTTCGTTCAGTGTCTGCAAGTAAAGGAGAGGTATGTAATGGAGTATCTAATCCCATCAGTTTCGTAGGTGCCGCTGAAGGAGACCAATCGTAACGGGGTCTAATACGCATAGAGTATGGTGGTTGAGTAACAGTGTCATCCGCTGACTACATCAGTGTGGAAGGAGAGCTATTAATTTGCGCTTGCAAAGCAGCAAGTTGTTGTTGCAATAAAAGGATTCATTCTTCTAGTGACGGTATAGTAGAATAACTGTAGGTTGTGTTGATAGCTAGTGATAATCGAGCGAAAAAAAGAAATTAATAGAAAAGAATTTTATTTTGTCTATATATCTCAAAATAAAGCCAAAAAAAGATAATAATATTCTCTATTTGTTCTGACGAGAGCCATTAAACATCGCCATCAGTTTTCTGATTTTGAGCAAAATTTTCACCAGTCGTAGGGCCGAAGGAAAGCAGCCGTTTTTTTTTTTTTTTTTTTTTTTTAATCGACTGTCGCCACTTCACTTTCAAAATATAGTAAATTCTATCTTTTTTCTGGTCCTTTACCAAACCTATAGAAAAATGAAAATCATTCCTAAACTTATTCCTTTTAAGCTGATGCTTCATCAATTTGACATTTTTTCTTTGTTTACAGCATAGCAATTATGCATTTGAATCATGAAACATGTGGATTTATTAGTTCTTGTTGAATGGAAAATGCCTATTCCAAAAGGATTTGGTTTTATCATCTTTCTTCAATGCATGTATGACTTGAGAGTGAAGGGTGTTGATTACTGGCCAAGTAACCTTAGTTGAGCGCTCAAGGGTCAAGGGTCAAGGTGATCCAATGTTTCCTGTTGACATGATGCAAAAGTAAAGAGAGAGGTTTTGAACCCACCTTATACACATCAGAATTGATTCTATCTATGACAGGAGGAAAAGTCACTGAACTGCCGCTGTTATCATAGATAGCAACAGGTACTCCAAGCGTACAGGCTGCAATTTGAGCACACTCAGGAGCCATAAACCACTGTTCTTGAGTAACATTGGTCCTTATATCAATGAAAGTTTTTTTGCTGCCACTATTTTCTTCGGTTCCAAAGCAAATACAATCTTTGCAGCTTTTCATATCGTATGCTCCGCCAAGAAGCTTGGTGCACATGTCATAACTTGACAGCAGTTGACTACGTATAGCAAACTTTACATCAATAATACCTGTAAAAGCATTCGTAGAGATCTCGTTACTTATTTCACTCAATATACAATTTTCTTTATTTTGTTCAGTTATCACTCATAGAAAAATCAATATAGCTTCTAATATTTGCCTTTTTCTTGTCTAACAATGGCATCTTTTTCAGCTCTTTCTTTCTCGAGATTCTCAAACATATTGATGAAGGTTTTAGCTTTAGTTGAAGTGGCGATTCTTTTTCTTTTTTCGGATTGAGAGGCCTTTGTCTCAGCTATGTCTTTTTAATCTTGAGTTATTTTCGTTAAAGTAACGCTTTTTTTTATCTTTCTTTTGCAGTTTTGACATTTTATTTTGTCTTTCCTCTTTTTGTACTTCACCACTTTCCAAAGATATATCGTCCTCGTTCTTTCTAAGTTCATAAATAAACTATAGAAATTCAAGACGGTTAGTATTAAACGCATTGATAATCCTTAAACGTTTTTACTTTTCCATTTGTTACTTTTGATTGTATTTATTCAGTTCTTGTTTTCTTCTGACTCTTTTTTTCTCTTCCAAAGACTATAGCAAAGTTCTTTTGCAGAACGTCCAATTTTGCTTTCTGGTATTTTAGTAGGTTCATCAACTACTTCAACTACATGATCTTTCTAACTGCTGTATTTCTTGAAGTCTTGAATAGCGTTTCCTACAAGACCTTGAAGATAATTGATTTTTTGGTGATCATTTCCGCTTTTACGAAGTTGTATCTCGAGCTTGGCAAGAAGTTCGTGTCGTTTATCTTGCTGAAGGAGTACTTTATTAGATGAAAATCTACCGTTCGTCAACTGTGGAGTAAGACAAAAATCTTTTGCTCCAGAGATACCAGCCTCTTCCAAGTACCAGCGCTCGTTGATGTTGTTGAGTTTGAGAATTTCATTTCCCATTGACAATACAGTGCGTAAATAGGGCAGAAGAAAGTTTGTCTTGGCATAATAGTAACAAGTAACTTCTGTTAGCCCCAACAGGCGCCATGAACAGCAACAAGCGAAGTTCTTGAGACCCTGTTTCTTATATTGTTTAGTTTCTTGTTGTTTTTCATCAGGATATCTTGTTTTTGTTGCTCTTTTTTTTTTTTTTTTTTTTTTTTTGCAAAGATGTACAATATTTGTCTGCTCATTCCATTCTTTAATGCTCAACGGCCGCTCTCAGCTCTTTGCTTACTGAGGCAATTGAAATGAGCTGTCCATTTCTCATTGATTGGTATCGAATTGTCATACAAATAGTAGTATGCTTTGTTGGCACCACAAACAGGTTCATCTTCTTCTGTATCAAACTCAAAGAAATCGGTTACATTGTCTGGATTGTAAGCACTTTCACAGTATCTTGACAGATACTCTTCAAATTCATCTTCATCTTTTGCATGTATCATCTTTTCTACTAAACTCATGCACCTTTTCTTTTGACTGCCTCATTGACAAAACAGCCAGCTTCATTAAGCTTCTTAATGTTTTGCATCATATACCAGCTGCATAATAGCTTCTCTTATTCTGGGAAAACATTTTCCAATGCTTTCATCAATTAAAAACATTTGTCAGTTACAATCAATGGTGCATTTTCGGGCGAATATCCAATGGTTGACTTCAATTTTTTCAAAAACCACTGGTATGTCGTTTCTTCTTCGTTACATACAAAAGCAAAGGTGAAGGGGGAAAGTTCTTAGCTGCTCAGTACCGAGATTGTCTACGCCATAAACATAGATCAAAGACATATCCATATTATTTGTTTTGTAAGTCGCATCAATCATTAAGAGTTGACCTAATTTTTCTGGCGTTGTGTATCATGTTTCTGTGTGTGAAGAAAATGTTGCCCCACATGACAGGCGCACCATCTTCTTCTTGGGATACTTGATACTGAACTCAATATCCAGCATCTTCCATTTGAGCAGTAAGAACTTTTGTGTCATTTATTTTGTTGCTTGTTTTCCCAGTCTCTTTGACTTCATTGCGGCAATTAACAATATCTTGGTAGTCATAGATTAGGACTCCATTGAAAGTAGTGATGTTCTTTCTTGCTTCAGCAATGCTAGAGTTGTTTTGAAGTATTTCAGTCATCACAGAACAGTCAAAAGAAGTCAAAAGGTCTCTTTTTCCTTGAGGGGTGATTCTGTTATAGCCTTCAGTACACTCATGATTATGAGTATATTCATGAACTGAGCGGGGCTTCTTAATAAACTAGCACTCTTCTAATGAGTTACAAGCAACTCGAATCATGAAGGGGCAACCAGTATTGAAGCTCGTTCCTTGTCTCTTTATATCAGGATTATCTCTGATTTTCTTAGATCCATCACTGTACTTACAAATCTTATTTTTTCCATTCTTGAGCCGATCAGAAATATGTTTTGTTTGTCGGCACAGTTATCGAGTCTATCTGTCAGATTTTCGAGATTTTTGAACTTTGTTTTCCAGGTGACAGGCAAAGATACTGCTCCCTCTAGTTGCTAAAGTTCTTCTATAACATCCTCCCTGTCATTAGAGTCCGCATTAAAAACATTTCATCTTTTGCGTAGAACCACAGGAATAGGTGCCAGAAAATCGCCATCACTATTATAATGCAGTTCGTTTAAGCTCATTTTTCTTCAGTTTAATTAGAGTGAAAGAAAAGAAAAAGTATGTATTGAGTTTTTATGTTCAATCTAAGATCAAATTGAATTGCTTTGCATACAATAACTAAAAACATAATGCGAACATTAATATTTAATTGCAAATTAAGCAGATCAGTTATATATGCAGGATCTGAAAAAAGGATTATAATAGTTGCTGCACATTATATGCATTGGTTAATTGCAACATTACAGGCACTAAGGCACGCCATTCTTTAAGGGCATTGTTCAATATTAAGTGAAAATAAAGTAACGTTTTTTTTTTTCCTTCTAAAAAGTCTATTTTGGAAGTAAGGTGGCGACAGTCGATTGAAAAAAAAAAAAAAAAAAAAAAAAAAAAAAAAAAAAAAAAAAAAAAAAAAAAAAAAAAACGACTACTTTTCTTGACCCTGACATCTGAATCCTTAGATGATCATTCTCTTTTGTAGAAGTAATTACACTTATGACTCTTTATTGTCTTAGAAAGAACTACAACTTGAGCTAAGCAAATACTCTGGGAAATAAAGAGTGTACAGTACATCACTCTTTATTAGTTTTGATCTTGTTTATTTTCCACTAACTTATGAAAAAAAGCTCTCACTCTTTAAGCTGATAGGACTACTCTCTGGAGTGGTAACTGGAGAAACAAGCAAGGGATTGTACATGTTGAGCACCCCAAAAGGAGATGATGGTGGTGTTGTTTCATGAATTTGTAAAGTACTAGGCTTTTCTGAGATGCTTGTTGATAAACGATTTGTTTGTTGTTTGGGTATCAAATCAAGTGAATTGTTTGCTATTCTATCCAACATGCTGCACCAGGCAATCATTTCTTCTAAACTAGAAGTACGGAAAGTATAAGTCTTGTCTCGAAGCATACTAGAACCTGGACACTGGATCTCAAAAGTATATGGCTTCCCCTTAAATTGCTCTAAATCGACTGGATTCATGTTGAAAATACCAATGCTAGGTACAATAGTGCTTTTTGGGATATAAATCGATAATTCTGGAGACACTTTATCATTAAGTCTAAATTGATGAAGGAATCCAGCTAAAAAAAAAAAGACGGTCGGTACAACTCTCTTCATCTTTTGTTATACTTACATTCTGTAAGGACAAAGAACCATAGTGTGTACTTGTTAAGAATACCCGAACGACGCTCCATTTCTCCTTTGTAAAGTGTCAAGACAAGAGGATCATTTTTGCAAGAATAGTTAATGTGAAGATAATGCTTGTGTGGATGTTGTTCATCGACAAGTTGCTTCTTGTTCTTGGCGGCGAATGAGTCCCAGCTTTCTTGTACTGCCAAATTGAGTGAGGCTTGCAAACTAGCCACTTTATCCTCAGACAAAAGCGCGCCATACTTTTCAAAGCAAATCTGGATTGCTTGTTCCACACACTTGAGTAATCTTTTTTCAAAACATGATATGGTTTGTTGAACAGGTATCATTAAAGTTCTTAATCTGTTTTCTTCGTCAACTTCCTTTTTTAACTGTCTCAATACATCTAAAGTTAAGAGTTAGGTAACAGTTGACATAAAAATCTTATTTGCTTACAGAGATTAATCAACCAAGGATCGCTTGGTGGCTGAATTCCCTTTTCAATGGCAGAATGTGCTTCAGCACAAGCTCTTGTTAATTGTCCCATGAGACTTGCGGTAGCTCCAGCCCGTTTTAAGAATTCATCCAAGCACAAATCGTTTCTACTTCCTAGTTGTTTGATAGCAGAACTACATTCTTTTTTGTATGAGTCTAAAAGAGGGAAAAACCCTTTGAGGCGCTGACTATAGTGTTGTTCCTGTGAAACCAAATCTTTTGTGAAACGACGAAGGGCAGCATGGATAGAGTTTGGAGATGAAATGTCGTTTCCAAAGTTACCGGAAGTCCGGTTCTCTTTTAGCATGGTAGAAAAGTTGCGTTCTGATTGAGAGCTTTGTTTTGCCAAATCTGACATCCAAGTAGACAACAAGAGGATGAATTTATGCCATGATTCATAACGCTTGATGATAAAATCAGCTCGGTTTCTGTTCATGGTACGTTTGATGGTTTGATAGTTATCGGAAGCATACTTTGATCTTACTGTATTTGTCCTAGTCTGAGTATCCTTTTTGATAGTCGTTCGTACAGCAGGTTGGCTTTTACTCTGGGTTAATTTGATTGGAAGATCTGGTGGTTTGGTTTGGCATCTAGCAGAAAGAGGTGAAGAAAGCTCTGCTGTAACAGACTTCATATCGAGTTGAGGAAGATCCATAGTTTTGGATAAACCATACAATGGTGTAAGCGATTTGGTTTGTTTGCTGTTTTCTGGATCACCAGGTACCGAATCCAATAATTCGACAGGAGGCATTATATAGTCAAAATGTTCCTGAAATCGACTCAATGGTCGACTATGTGTTGTAGGTTGGCTCATGATATAATAAAGTTTTTTTTTGAGAAGAAAAAGAAAAGAAAGAGAACAAAAGGAAAGCCTTTAAACAAAAACAAAAGAGTGCCACAAAACTAATCTATTTAGATATTTTGTCTAAGCATTGATTCCAAGTGTTTAGCTTCTAATTTCATGTCATGCAAAGTTCTAGGCACTCTGTTCACATCCTCAATACCATGCTGAGACCATTCAGAAAACCGTTTTGGTATAATGTGTAAATGTACATGAGGTACCTAAAGCCAAATATCAATTACAAAGAAAAGCATGACGAACATTACAGTTTGACCAGCCTCTTTGCCGTCTTGAATTAGCCAAATAAAACCATTTCTCATATGAGGATACACTTGCTCTAAAACTTTAGAGATGCGACTAGCCGCGTTTGTAAGGTCTGTAATCTACACAACTGTATGTCACATGTCTCTGTACATTTAAGCTATTTTTATACCTCAACCAGAGTCAAATCAGAATATCGAAGCACCACACGCTTTGGCATAACTAAGACATCTATTCAAGGTATTTAGTCAACTGAGTCTCGATCTCGCACGATCTGCTTAGTTACGTCCACTATGAACAAGATCAGCACAGGTTGTAGTTTTTTCCCACTTACTCAGCTATAGGTTTTAAGTTCACTAAGCCCAAAGAATATTGACTTGTATAAAACACTTCAGAAGGGGAAACATTAAACTCGCCAAACTGAATTCCACTCATTGACGCGAATAAAAATATGTGTTTATTTAACAATCCAAAAAAAGAGATTTTGTAATAAAAAAAAATATAATGGGGGATAAAGTTTATGTTCAAGAATGATTATGAGAAATTTAATTTATGCATACAAGTCGTCATCACCACCCTCTTGGCCGAAACCATTTTCTCCACTGACACCATCCATGGCTTGAGCACCTCCAGAAGCTGAGCCTTCAGGGAACTTGAAGGAACCAAAACCACGTTGTTGTTGAAGGTTTTGTGCAAAGACTTCATAACGACGAATATCACCATCACTGACAGAGCGACGAGCGAAACGCATAGCTTCTTCAAAGTGAGCACGAGTGATTTCGGGCACAGATTCACTTTCATCATCATCTTCTTCCATACCAACATCTTCACCAGCTTCTTCCTTGGCCTTGCGTGCTCTTTCCTTGGCAATATCCTTTTCGATATCTTCACGAATAGCAAGTTTAGCAGCACGTTGACAGATTTCAGCAAGATCAGCACCAGAGAAACCTTGAGTGTGCTTGGCCATGACACCCAAATCAACATCGGCGGCAACAGGAGACTTGCGTAATTGTGCTTGCAAGATAGCTTTACGAGAGCTTTCATCAGGAAGAGGAATGTAGATCAATTGATCAAGACGACCAGGACGCAACAAGGCAGGATCGATTTGATCAGGTCTGTTGGTGGCACCAATGACAAAGACATTCTTCTTGGCATTCATACCATCCATTTCTGTCAAGATTTGGTTAAGGACACGGTCACCAGCTCCTCCAGCATCACCAGCAGAGTTACCACGGGCCTTAGCAATAGAATCCAATTCATCAAAGAACATGACACAAGGAGCAGCAGCACGAGCCTTGTCAAACACATCACGAACATTGGCCTCAGATTCACCAAACCACATAGTCAAGAGTTCAGGACCCTTGATAGAGATGAAGTTGGCTTGACATTCGTTGGCAATAGCCTTGGCCAACAAAGTCTTACCGGTACCAGGAGGACCATAGAAGAGAACACCCTTGGAGGGGCTCATACCGAACTTCAAGAACTTTTCAGGATGTTCAACAGGGTATTGAACAGTTTCTTGCAATTCTTGCTTGACGTTTTCGAGACCACCGATATCGCTCCACTTGACAGTAGGAACTTCAACGACAGTTTCACGAAGAGCAGAGGGGTTGGAGACACCAAGGGCATAGCGGAAGTTCTCCATTGTGACAGCCAAAGAGTCTAAGACTTCAGCATCAATTGTCTCTTCTTCCAAGTCAATCAAGTCCATCTTTTCACGGATTTGTTGCATAGCTGCTTCAGAACAAAGAGAAGCAACATCAGCACCAACATAACCGTGAGTTTCAGAGGCAATTTGTTCCAAATCAACATCATCATCCAACTTCATGTTCTTGGTATGGATACGAAGGATTTCCAAACGACCAGTGGGGTCAGGAATACCAATATCGACTTCACGATCAAAACGACCGAAACGACGAAGAGCAGGATCAATAGAGTTGGGTCTGTTGGTAGCAGCAATCACGACCACATTAGAACGGGCCTTCATACCGTCCATCAAGGTAAGCAATTGAGAAACAACACGACGTTCAACTTCACCATTGGTCTAGATAATAGGATGAATAAATGGCTATGTATTCAGTATCGTTTACCTTTTCACGCTTAGGAGCAATAGCATCAATTTCATCAATGAAGATGATAGCAGGAGCATTCTTTTCAGCTTCTTCAAAAGCCTTACGAAGGTTACTTTCTGATTCACCAGCCATCTTGGACATGATTTCAGGACCATTGATCAAGAAGAAGAAGGCACCCGTTTCATTGGCAACAGCTCTGGCAATCAAGGTCTTACCTGTACCAGGAGGACCAAACATAAGGATACCACGAGGAGGTTTGATACCAATAGACTTGAACAATTGAGGGTGACGAAGAGGTAATTCAACCAATTCACGGATTTGAGCCATTTGCTTGCGACAACCACCAATATCGTCATAACCAACTTCATTCAAGCTTTGTTCTTCATCTTCTCGCTTAAGAGGTTCACCTTCACAATGAATCATGGTATCTTGTGCAACCTATAGATTATATCAATGATTAATCTGTTTTCTTTCTTTCTCTCTCTCTCTCTCTCTCTCTTTTTTTTTTCCCTCTTTAAACTTACAATACAATAAGGTGCAGGATCAGTTTCAATCACCTTGAATTCAATTGCTCTCATACCACCACGAACAAGGAAAGTATCACCTTGACGTACAGGTCTGTATGCTTCCAAGAAGTAAGGCTTCAAGAAGGTTTCAAAGTAATCACCAGTCAAGCCTTCCACGGTATCGTCAATAGGTAGAACTTGAATACGTTTACCATATTTAATATCAGGACAAGGATGTAATGTGAGAACGTCACCAAGACGGACACGTAAATTGTTACGGACAACTACAAAAAGGAATGTTGAATGACGTGTCTTTAGTATAGGCTTGCTTACCCTTATTGATTCTAGCCTTGTTGTCTTCCATTTCATCATCAGCCAATACGATAAGGACAGTATCTCTTCTCTTCTTTCCCTTAACAATAACTGTATCACCTCTAAAGAGTTGAAGCCTTTCCATAGTAGCAGTAGAGAGTGTGATAACAGAGTTGTCGTCGTTGGTAGCATCATCCACCATCAACTTATTGGGTGCAGCCTTACGACGCAAGATAGCAGTGGCAGGGTCGTGGCTAGGATCAACTTCTGTATCTTCAATACCAGAGTTGGGTCTATCATTTTGTTAGTCTCCTTCTTTCTTTTTTTTCTTTTTCTCTTTTTATTCACTTACAAAAGCTTATTCTTGTTATCACTTGTCATGTTTGTATAAGTTTGAAAATAGATAAAAAAAAAGAAAAAAGAAAAAAAAACTGAAAAAAATAAAGAATGTAATTTATTATCACACGAACGCGTAAGCTCAATTTCTATCTGCTTCTTTTTCTCTCTTTAATGCGACTTGGAGCGGGCTTTACGTAAATACGCCATAAAAAAGATGACATCAGCGTTAGGGACTGTTATTCTTGCGAAAGACTTACCATTAAACTCAATGGCACTTTTCTAAGCACTTTGATCATCTTAACCTCTTGAGAGCTGCTGTGGCCTGCTGTTATTGTCATAGCTCGAACGTATATACTCATATAATATGCTTCTTATGTTACATGCAGCGTTCACATCTCGGTTCCAATATTAAAACATTAGTCTTGAATGAACACGGTAGAAGAAATGATGACTTATTAGGTCATGTTTTTTGCTACTGAACACTGGGGGCACAGCTTCAACACATAGACAGTACGATCGCACTCTAGCAGAAAGATAACACGATGATTATTGGATTCAATAAAACAATGAGTCCATGTATTTCTTGTCTGGAATTGGTCATATGAGGGTTGGATATTGCTGTTCATTCTACATTGTAATTTGTAGCATAATTTGAGCTACATTAGAGTCATAGTTTTGTGAGGTCTCTCGATGCAAGGTATTAAAGTAAGGTATATTATACAGGTATTCATCGGATCCAGCCGATTTTCTGGAAAGATCAAAATCTGAAAAAAAATTGCTTGCATATAATTGTTAAATTTCTAGTTTCAACATTAAAAAAAAGCTTTTTATCTGTATGGTCTACTCACTATGGTGCGATTAAGCTTGTTTGGGCCTAGAGTAACTCTTCTATAAACATATGGCTAAAATGTAGTGCTAGTAACTTTAGGGAGCTTGAAGGCCAGTTCTTCTTCAGAGTCTATGAGAATGATTTGACATATAATTTCCTAAGTTATCTAAATTTTGCCTAATGTTGTCTAAGTCTAAATATCTATTTGCATATGCGTTTATTTCTATCGATTGTTGATTGTTAGCGGCAAATTCTTCTAGTTCTTGTTGTCTACGAGCAAAATTTTCTAATAAGGTATTTAATGCTCTAGTCAGTTGGATATAAGAGGCTTGATTTTCGAAATAGATGTTTGCTAGTCTTTGTTGTTCCAGTTGATTGTTTACATCTTGTCTAGCTTGTTCTACTTGTTGCTCGGTATTTTTGCCTTCAATTAGTCTATCTATGATTTTTTTGTGATCTTGTCTAAATTGTTGGTAAATATCTTGTAGTTGTTAGACTATATTTGTTCTAATGTCTCTTGTTTGGCTTATGATTTGGGTGGTTGTGTCCTGCAGTTCCACTACTTGTGACCTTATTTGTTTGGCAAGAGTTCTGAATCGGTTATGTATGTCTATGAGAATAATTCTATTATCTGCTTGGCTTTATAAAACGTTTCAAATTCCTTGCAGCATATTGTTCAGGTGATCGATATTAGGAGTAATTAAGACTAGTTGTTCTTTTAATTTTTAATTTTTTGTAAGCTGTCTATATGTTGTGAGTTATGCTGATTAGGTAAGCTATTAATAGATAGATTGATATTATCAAGTTCATTGAATAACAGTTTTCTTATGCACCACCTTCTATCGGAAATGTTCGCAGAATACCGTGTAAAGAGGGGATGGTCCGTGTAACTGTGGCTAGAAAGGGGCAGTCTTAAAAATTACAAAATGCATAAAAATGCCTTACTCATAGAACAGTATTACATTAAAAAAAAAAAAGGTGCATCAGAAAGTTTTGTTGTAAATATATGTTTATGGGGAAAGTTTATTTGAGGGGGGATATTTATTCTTTTTTCATAGAAAAAATGTATGGGGGAAAGGGTTGTGTAGTGTGTAAATATGGGTAGATGTGTGGGTGAGTGGGTGTCATTGGGTAAGGTGTGGGTGTGGGTGAGTTGTGGGTGAGTGAGTGAGTGGGTGAGTGTTGTGCAGAATATAAAAAAAAAAAAAAAAAAGTCAAGCCAAAGATTGGATGTGTGTAGTTATGAATACAAAAGAGAAAGAAAAAAAAAGAATTATTAAACAATAAAAGATATATAAAGTTGAGAAAACGATGTCCTTTTCTCTTTTATTCTTACTGACATGCACGTTTAATCATCTAAAAAGAAATGTCAGTTTATACAGCAGTATTGATTTCACTCACCTCCTTGGCCCAACGCGATGTCTCTTTAGTGCTTGATCCATAATGACGACTTGTTCTGGCTTCACGCAACAAAACAGGGATCCATTCTTGTTGGAAGAGAGCCTTAATTTGTGCACCGAATGTCTCTGCAAGATCACTGGATAGCGGTGAATATAACTCATCTATACCTTATCAACTTACCCTAATAAACCAATGATAGATCTTGTAAGAGAATCAGTCTTGTTGACATCAACAGCAATAATGTGAATGAATTCAAAGACGTGAGTCAAATAAGGTAATAACAAGACAGCTAGAATTAGATCATGAGTAATTTGTCTATAGGCTATCAAATATTTACTTTGAGGAGTTCCATTTAAACCTTGAACGATACCCACATATGCTTCCACACAACCTTCGTATAATGTGTTGACATATTCAACCATATCATAATTATCTCTATCGGCACGCATGCTACCTGCTTGTTGTAACACCATCATCACAATTTCCAAGTATCCACTGAAAGCATCACCAATAGCCAAGGCAATATCACCAAAGCATGACAAGATAGCAGGTTTCACAGTACGATGAAGGATAGGTGATTGCAAGTTGGTAACCAACAATTGCATCAAGTTGTTACAGTAAGGGGCAGCATCTTTACCAAGAGCACGGCAAATATCACCAATCAAACCAACAGCAATGAAACACAATTGGTATTCAGCAGGGTTTTGTAGAGCAGTGCAGAGAATAGGCACAAAGGATTCAGCATATCGACTAAAGTCAGCTTCAAGTGCACTGGTCAAGGCACCAATAGCAAGGAATGCATCTTCTGTGGTGGTTGCTTGCTTGGATTGGTTGTTCAATAATTGAAGGACAACTGTCATGATACGGTCAGCAATCTGACTAATGTCACGGGAAAGACGACGGATACAGTTTGTCAAGACACCCAACAAACTAGATTGAAGTTCAGAATGACTGGCTCTGTCATCTGCATCAAGAATTTGGCTTTCCATGGCCATGGTAGTCTCTAAGCGGTCTAAAATAGTCAACACAATTCTTTGAACAGTAGGAATACAGTCATTGGCAGAACACATGGCAAGTGTAGAAATGGCTTCATAAGCAGAAGTTCTGCAGTTGGCTTCATTGTTAGAGCGCTCAGTAAATTGCAAGAGAGCAGTAATGATGCCTTCGAAAAAGACAGAGAGAGGAGAAGTAGGGACATTATCACCAATGGTAGGACCCAATTGTTCAGCCAAGTTCATCAATGACTAAAAAGAAAAATGGAGTCAACAAATATAACCGATGCAACAACTTACCCAACAACAATTGCCAACGATTCTAGGACTATCTTGAAGGCCATAAACAAGAGCAGAAATCAATTCATTCAAGTGAATTTCAGGTTTGATACAGTTGATGAGCAATTCACAAATACGACCTAAGGTCCAAGCAACAGTATCCTTGACATGGACAACAGAGTCCTTCATCATGGAAATAAGAGTAGGTAAAGCTTGATCAACCAAAGGAGTCAACACAATAGGATCAGGTCCATCGAGAATGGAGCCAAAGGCCATGACAGCAGCTTCACGTTGTCTCCAGTTCTCATTTTGAATGTTGGCTTCAATAAAAGGCACAACAGGCTGGATAACAGCATTACCAACACATTGAGCAAGCAAAGAAAGACAGGTAGCAGCAGCCATTGAGACAGTCCATTCATCTTCATCGTAATCCTCTTCTTGCTTGGTGAGGATCCATAAAAGAACAGGGAGAATATCGTTCAAAGCTAATTCAGCAAAGTGATAACTTTCACGTTCAGGCTGTTCTCCAGCTTCATGAGCCTGAAAAAGAAAGTTAGAAAAATGTCCTGAAAAAAGTATGGTAAACATACATCAAGTAATTCTTCCTTCAAATCCATTTCTTCATCACAAACAGTAGACCAGAACTCAATAGCTTGTAAAGCAACACGGTCATCTTCATTGTTCATACCAGCAACAGTAAGCTATATGTTTTTAGACAAAAAGTCAATCATTGGAAACAATAAACATAAGTAACTTACACCAAACAAAGCCTTTTCCATGTAAAGACGCATCTTATCATAATAAGTTTGCATGATACGAACAAGGCATTGAAAAGCAGCAACTTGAACATCACTGGATTCACTCTGAGTAGCTTCACAAACAACTTGCATGATAAAGTTTCTTTCACCCTAAAGAAATTGTGAATTTCCTTTCATAGAAAAAAATAGGACGCGTTTTTTACCTCACGTTCAAAGTTTTCTTTGATAAAATCAAGAGAGTTGATCAAAGCATTAATGGCAGCAAGACGAACTTCTTGACTAATTTGAATAATTAAAATTTTCTACTAGTCAAAGATACACTACTTACTTTGGTTCTTCTTTACGAGCACCTTGAACAACAGCAGTTAAAATATCGTTTGATTGAGCAGCAAGTACCATAGGATCCTATCAAACATAAATACATATCTTTTGGCCTTATCTGGACTTACAGTTGCTTCGCAGACATAACCAATAGCTTGTAAAGTGGATTGCTTCAAAGTAGCATCTGGAGTTTGAACATTTTCAAGCATGATTCGAATCAAATCAGGCCATCCTCCTAAAGGTAATTCAATTTCAGCAATAGCAGCAACGACCTAAAGGCAGACTGAATGAGTGAGTAACTCGATATAGGTTAGTGTTCTTATTTTGCTTACCTGTCCGGAAATGTTGCCTACAGGCTTCTTGGGTGAAGCCAAAGCTTGAAGAACCTAAAAAAAATAGTTGATTTACATATTCCATATAACCAAATGCACTTACTCCTTGCTTGATCTGAATACGAAGATCTTCAGCTAATAAAAGCCATCTTTGATTAAATTCCTCTTTACGAGCATATTCCTATCCATAAGATTACAATGTGCTCATTATTTTTTTTTTTTTATGTTACCTTTGCTGTCAAGCTGTTCTTGAGTGCAAGACCAGCAGACATACGAATAGAATCATCTGCTTGCTCATTAGCAAGGATTTGGCACAAAGAAACGACGTAGTTTGACTACAAACAAATTTTTTTTTCAGTATTATAGTCTAAAACTTTTTGGAATAGCTTACGTAGTTTTCTTGAGCAAATAGTTCTAATTTTTGTGTGGCGTCTTCACGCAAAGCACGATCTATAAAAACAAAAGTAAGCTTTCTTGATCAAGCCAGTAAGAGTTTATTTTACCAGTAGATAAAGTGTTGGCAAGAAGTGTAGCTGCGTCCATTTTTATTTCTTTCTCGAGAATAAGACTAGATATGCAATAGAATAAATACGCGTACAAACACGTAAAAACACGGTCGTTTTTTTTTTTCTTACCTAAATAGCAAGACGAAACTACAGGAAAAAGAAAAAAAATTAAAAGCGTGAAGAAAAAAAAAGAGAGAGAAAAAAAAAGAAGGTCCAAATTTGTTACGGAAATCACCAATCACTGAATTGAAAAAAAAAAGAGTCAAATTCTGCACACCAAATTTTTCGTCTTTGGTGACGTAGATGAAGAGATGATTTTCTGTTTCTATTTCTTAGATGGTTTGCTTTTATATGTCACCAGTGTATTCTTACCAAGATCTTTGTCTAAATCTAAAGAAATCTATAAATCTGTCAATATCTGTAAGACAGACCAGCCTAGTGTTTTATTAGCTAAATATTCACTAAATTTTTCTCAAATTTGCTGAAACCCATTTTGGCGCATCTTATATAAATTCAACGCGTACATTGATACCATCAAGACAAAACAATTATGTTTGAAGGTGAGTCTAGACTTTTTTGAAAAAAACTCGCCGATACCTTAAATCTTGACCGTGTTATATGATGTCGCAGCAGACAGAGGTCTATTTATAGCTTTGCTTTTCAACGTATTTAAAGACAAACACACAGTTCCAATTTCTTTTTTCTTTACTTCTTTTTTAAATTTGCAAATGTCTTCTAACTGTGTTGATTATTCTGGTGCTGAATATTCCAAGTTCAGACCTACTTATAATCCTGAAATCTACCATTTTATTTTCGAATTTCATGCTAAACATCAAGGACAGAATAATCTGGCTCTTGATGTTGGTACAGGCACGGGTCAAGTTGCCATTGAGATATGCAATACTTTTAAACATGTTTATGCCATTGATCCTTTAAGCGAGCAAATAAATAATGCTGCTGCTCGTGATAACATTACCTACCAAGTCGGTAGTGCAGAAGATCTATCCCAATTCCAAGATCATTCCATTGATATGATCACCGCAGGCACGGCTTTCCATTGGTTTGACCACGCAGCTTTCTTCAAAGAAGCGAAGCGCGTACTTAAAAAAGAGACAGGCACATTAGCTGTCTTTGGTTATTTTTATCCTGTCATAAAAAATGAACCTAAAGCTACAGAGTTAATTAAAGCATTACATACGGGTGATTTTGAAAAGTATTCTAACCAGAATCTGCGCTTCATCCGAAACATGTATCGCGACATTGAATTCCCTTTCAAGCATCAAACCTGGTACATTACACCACCCTCGGAAGACGTCACACACAAGAGTGAAGTCATTGACTATTCGCTCATGGTTATTTCCATGTCCATAGAAGGACTAGGTCACTATATGAAAACTTCTTCTGCTTATTCCAATTACATGAAGGACCCTGAGAACAAAGGCAAGGAAGACCCTGTAGACAAACTCATTCAAGAAATCATGCAAGTCATGGATATCAAGGACAAGAAACATATTGTTGAATTGGAATGGCCTACTGTCTTGGTTCTATCAAAGAATGAATAGATTACGGATTTATTGAGCAATGTAAAGCTCACTTGTCGTAATGCTTCAAATATAGAGGAAAAAAACATTTGTAATACATATATTAAACTCACACTTCAATATATAATAAATTGTCTGCCAAATTTATTCAAAAAAGAAAAACATATTAGGTGTGCAATATGCCAAATGGGATCAAAAGTTATTTAGTGATATATCGATTCGCAATCAACGTCTTATTGATCAAGTGCTTTAATATACAAATAGAGTCTTATTGATTGATATGCAAATCACACCAAGTTGATTGAAGACTGGCTTCATTCTATTCTTATTATGCATACACCGATATAATGAAAGTAGTCTCAAGTGTTTTAATTTCGAGGTTTTCCTAAAAGTGACAATTTTTTTTTATGTGTGTCATTTGAAGATAACTCTATTGATCGGTCTAGATATGGGAAGCGCTAATCGCCTTGAACACAGTGATGGCGTTTGTGAAATGACATCTCAAGATAGAAAAAAAAACTATTCTTGTCTAGGCATAGGTTGTTCCTACAATAAGAAGCAGTGAGAAAGGGAGGAAGAATGAATAGAGAACAATAAGGAAAAACACTTATTTAGGCTAAATTATTCAGAATCTAAAGGTAGATGGACCGATTGGCTTGATGACAAAAAATGCGTCTATCTGTGCTCAACAAAAAGATTAGGTGAAACCTATTCGAGTGTATTACAGAATTTAAAATGCAGATAGTGAACATTATGGCAACAATGCTTGCTTTTGTTTTCCGTTTTAACACAACTCAAGCCATATACAAAGAGAATGATTTACTTGTATTAGCCACGTCTTGTCAAAGATGATGGGCATCAATAGAGGGGCAAGCCATCGTGTTTATTTCCGCTAACATGACACTCTAGAATACAAGGAAATTAAGGTTTGTAAAAGAGGCTTGAAAATACACTATAAGGACAAGGTTGTACATTTTTTTTTCTCTTTTTTTTTAGCGAGTGCCGTACCTAATTGTGATATCATTCAACGACAAAAAAGGCTTTTTTGTTATAAACAAGCTTCAAACTATTTGTCCAGAAGATTGTCCAAATAAAGAAGCAAAAGGTGGTCCTTTTGGTCCTTTCTCTTAAACAACAAATATCGATAAAGCCCTTGTGTGTGAATTTGAAATCTAAATTTAACCCGAGTAACACAAGTATCTTTTGTTGCCAGTACAACAACAGTGGCGTTTTCGGTTTAAAAAAGAAAAAAAAAACTCGGCTTAGCAAAAAAAAAAAAAAAAATAAGATCATAACCATACAATAATTCAAGTGAAAGAACACTTCTTTCTATTATTCATTGACAAGATATAAGTCATTAAAAAAGAAAATAAGCACCTCTGTATGTTGAATGATGTGATTTGATTGATTGATAACTTCTTATTGTTCTAATGAAATATGGGCTTTAAATATGAGGCTTCAGATTTTATTTATTTATTTATTTTTCAGCCATACAATAGCATAAATGATGTTCATATAAATACACCGTGTTTTCTCTAATCTAATTCTCTATTTCATCTCTTTCTCTTTCTTTTCTTTAACATATAATATATATATATATATTTATATATATTTATATATATTCAATTACTTCTTTTTTTCTATATATCATCATCTCTATTTATTCTTTCCCTACTTCCTTTCATAAGCTATATATCCCCCCTTTATTTTTTGTACAGTTCATTTCTTTCTATATAATAATACATAAACATATATCATGTCTCTCTGCTCATCAACACAACAACAACAACAACAAGAAAAGCAAACTATTGACTTTATTCTGGACGAAAAAAGAACTCCTGAAGATGGTAGATTCCCTATGATTGTAGATACAAGTGACCCAACAAGTAACAGATTATCAAATTACCATCAATACATACATCATTATGGCAATAAAACTTCTCCACAAGAACCTATGGTGGACACACGACCACCTCCAACACCAACTGAATTACAATATATCAAAAGAATTCATACCCTTATGACACTTGTGGCGAAACAGACCAAAGAAATACAATCCCTTCGTTCCATTATTGAAGCATATAGTCAAAACGAGCTTAATTATATTGAAAGCCATGGTTGTTGTGATAGTATCAATTGTACTATTAATCGCAAAAGAAATAAACACTGTTAAAAAAAATAATTTATTTATTGGGCTGAGCGATTTTTTTTTCTTGTGTGTCTTTTCTCTCTTTTTTCTCTCATATACATAAAAATGGCTGATCTTGATAGGTTAGAAAAACAAGATGGTGTTGTTTGACGCTCATTCTTTTTAGACAACTAGAACAACTTCGAAGAGGTGAGATCATAACAGAGCAAGAAGTGAAAGAGCTATGCACAAAGGCCAGGGAAATTCTTATTGAAGAAAGCAACGTTCAACGAGTAGACGCACCTGTCACTGTAATATTGGCTACGTAATCTTTATGGCTTACTAAAGCTTATGGTTAGATTTGTGGTGATATTCATGGTCAATTTCATGACTTGAAAGAACTATTCCGAGTAGGTGGCGAATGTCCAGAGACGAACTATTTATTTATGGGTAAAACAACACTATATACGCGCCTGTGTGTATTTATCTGTTTCCTGTTAGGCGATTTCGTTGACCGCGGCTATTATTCAGTGGAAACATTCCTTTTATTACTAGCACTTAAAGTAAGATACCCTGACAGAATCACACTTATACGAGGCAATCACGAAAGCAGACAAATCACCCAAGTATATGGTTTTTATGATGAATGTACGCGTAAATTTGGATCAGCCAATGTGTGGCGATACTGCTGCGAAATTTTTGATTACTTGAGTCTAAGTGCAATTATTGATGACAAGGTCTTTTGTGTTCATGGCGGTCTTTCACCAAGTATAAATACCTTGGATCAGATTCGAACTATTGATAGAAAACAAGAAGTACCTCATGATGGTGCTATGTGTGACCTTCTTTGGTCTGATCCAGAAGGTAGAATCGAGATAGAAAGAGTACATCATTTATTCATGCCTTGATGATAGAAATTGATGGTTGGGGCTATAGCCCTAGAGGTGCAGGATATTTATTCGGTGCAGATGTAGTGCGAGGAGTATGTGCTTTTATATATATATATATATACATATATATGTTTTTTCTTATGCTCTCTAGTTTTTACATGCAAATGGACTTGACTTAATTGCGCGTGCACATCAACTGGTTATGGAGGGATATAAACCAATGTTTGACGATACAATTGTGACAGTATGGTCTGCACCCAACTACTGCTATAGATGTGGAAATATTGCTGCGATATTGGAATTAGACGATTATCTGACTAAGAAGTATAAGTTATTTGAAGCAGCGCCTCAGGTACAAATAATACCATTAAAAGTACTTTTGGCTAAACCATTATATAGCAGGACTTCCGAGGCGTGGCACAGAAGAAATCATTACCCGATTATTTCCTTTAATAATGAAAAAAAAAAAGCATCTTTTAATGACTACATGATTCTAATAATAATTGACATTTGATTTGCATGCGTGTTTCCCATTCAATATCTTGAGTATTTTGTACATAATATCTCTCAATGCACTGGATCCAGTCCGACACAATGATTTTTACTTCTTCAGGATGGCTGTCTTGATTAGATTTTAATAAGGCACAATGTGTAGCTGCTATTTCATACATGGCATAAGGCATTGCCCAGCTATCCTTAAGCAATGCTAAATTCAGATATTCCATGGCTAATTCTATATTCTTATCCTTATCACGATAGACTACGCCTACAATCAAACATAGTACAGGGTCTTTGCAAGATTGAGAACGATGTTTAATCTCATCCACGATGTTACACTGCCAATAGCGCGCACCGTTCCAAAGATAAACTAATTCCCAGACAGGATTAATAATCTGTTGCAGTGTTTCCTTGAGCGATATGGCTTGGCTATTTGAGGCATCAAGCCATGATTGTACCTTGAGTTCAGCATAGTGCTCATTACTCGACATACGACTGGATGATTTACGCTTTTGTTCAAACATGTTTATGATCTGTTTGACTTCAAGCACTGCTTTGTCATGAAGACCTTCAGCAATCATGCAACAAGTAGAGATATAATGGTAGAAAATACGTGACCAGTTACACATACTTTCCAGACAAAAAAAGACCTCGATGGCTTGAAAATAATCACCAGAATACATGTACGCCCTAAACAAAACTTTAATATGTTTGTTTTCTCCCTGTTTCTAGGTATTACCAGCCTATTTCATAAATAGCAAACGAGCGAAACTGTGCAAATTCTGTAATCGATGCATTTCTCAATACAGAATCATCGTCCTCATGACTAGAGTTCCTTGTAGGTTTTTTGGCCTTGTTAAGAAATGCAATACTTGAGTTCTGATGACCTTCTAAAAGTTCAAATTTGCCCTCTATCAATTGCCAGATCTTGCCATTGGGATATTTCCATCTCATTGCTTTTAATATTGACTTTGCATCTTGAAACAGAAAGAATTGATTGATTTGTGGCTGAATATAGATGGAGATGTTTGCATAAAACGAAAGCAGCACAAGCGAACTCAAAGATCCATACATTGTATCGCTTTTCTGTGACTTTTTTAGTAGGCGGATAGCTGTTAATCTTGACGAATGAAATCCAAGATTGTTGAGTACCTTGCCAACTAAAAATAAACATAAATACATATCTTGAAACACACTTTTTGTTTATCTACCTTTGAAGGGCAACAATGAAAAAATCATGTTAAATAGACCAATACCAAAGTAAGCGCCATGTTCAAGTGTATCTTGGTACAACTGCTTGCAATTTGTCAGGTCTGAATGATGACAAGACAATGACCTTCTTGATGGCTTTTTAACAGGTGTTCTATCAGGGCTTGAGATGACTTCAGGATCTGATAACTTTAATTGAAGAATGCATTCAAACAATTGCTCATAGAACTTGAATGATTTGTAAAGATCGTAGGCTGCTTTCATGGTGTCTGTCCAACTATTCAACAGAAATTGAAGCGTTGCTGACATAAGCATGCAGTTAGTATGAAGCAATTCGATATGCTTCTTGAATTCATGTGTATCTAAATCTGTCATATCCAATGGTACAGAACAAGAGCCGGACAAGCTATTGTTTCTATAGGATGGCATCTTTATCATGCTATTTCTTGTCTTTTGTCTATTCAACTTCTGCTTCAAGTATGCTTGAACTTTGGATACGCATTGAATGGCTTCATCTATCCTCGTTCTCTCTAAAGCCAACATGGCTTTTGTGTAGACCAAGAAAGCATATCCAAAGGCATGAAATGGTGATTTAGCATGGCTGCAACTAAATTTCTTTTGTTTGCAAGTGAAAATGTCTTCGGCTATTATCAATTGGTCATCTAACAGAGCATCCTAAATTATGCATAAATTTCTAGTCATGTCTTATTCTAACATACAAAACCTATTTGAACCTCTCTTAGCCAAGATTCAATGTCTCGAGATGAAGCATCTTCATTTGTATGATTGTTTGTTGAAGATGAGAATTTGAATTTTGAAGCCGTTATTTTCGAAATGTGACGAAACATAAAAAGGAGGCAAAAAAAAAAGAAAGAAAAAGAAAACCCCAGAGAGATCAACAGCTTATTGTTTATATATATGATTAAGGAGTATCTTATTTTCTACACCTACGAATATGGCTCAAGTGTGTATGATTAAATTGTTTATTATGATACAAGATTAGGTAAAATGTGTACATACTAACTAGAAAGTAGTGGAATGATTGCTATTCGCTGTCATTCTCAAAAAACTTGCAGGACGTATCAAACTTAGTTTTGTTTTCCATTTTTTTTTCTTCTTGACTGGCTCTTCAAGAGGAACAGGCGTAGAAGCATATGCAAAAGCAGAAAAAGAACCAGTTGAACGATTTTTGTGGTGATCACCTAGGACAGCAACGATCTGTTTTTCTTTTTTGGTACTATTTGTCTCCTCTGCAAGTCGATCACCTACTTTTAAATGGGCCAGTTCCTCGTGTCGTGTTGCTTTCAATACCGCCTTTTTAAATTTGATGAGTAAGGGATGGCTATCTTGAGCGATACTTACCTCTTCTTCGTCATCAAAGCCGAATGAAGAACGAACAGAAGAATCAAAACTAGTTGGAGAAGGTGATTTTTGATGCAAACTCGTTATTCTTCTGAGAACTTTTTCGACCAAGATTTGTTTTCGACTTGGGCTTCTTTCAAGTCGCTTAACAGACAGATTGCTAGCAAAGCTCGATTCGCTATCATATGAAAAAGGGGACTCGCCTCGATTAAAAGAGACTTTTCTAAGCAATTGATTTGATGAATTAGAAAGCTGGGATTTTTCTAGCCGTTGGTTGATGGGTGAAGCAGAGCGTTCAATTGAACTTGTATAGGAGCTTGTCATAGAAGGCACTTCACATTCTGAGTTTTGAGCGACACCTGTTTTACTTGTATCACTTGTTGCTCTTTTGATGAGCGAGAAGCTAGAGGCAGAAGTTCTGATAAACGATGTAGACTTGCGTTTTTTCAGGAGTTCATTGTCAGCCAAATGATCGCCTGTGACTTGGTCTCTGTCTCTTATGTGCCATGCTCTTGAAGACAGATATTCCTGAGTGCACACATCACGTAGCTTATGGTCTACGGTCACACGAAAAGCATTTTGATGATTGTTCTTGAATTGCAATGACATTTTACCAATCATGTTATTGTTGGTAGCAGAAGATAGCAAGTCGAGCGAATTGGGTCGTCGACGTGTAACTAGATTGCCAAAAGATTCGGGTTTGATGTACATTTCAGAATTATTTCTTGGCTTGAGATGAAAACTACTTTGAGAGCGCCGATTGATAAAAGTAGAATAGTCAGCCGAATACCGCTTCTTGAGTGTGACTTGAGATGACTTCTTGCCAAGAGTAGGTTTCATGTTGGCTTGATCACTCAGTTCGAGATTGGTTGAAGAAGACCTTCGAAGAAAAGATGCTGCATCAAGCATAATATCACTTTCTTCGCTGTTCTTGTTGGACACAAGTGATATATCAAGCATGTTGCTAAAAGACCGAGAGAGACGTACTGTTTGAGGAGACTGCTTACTTGGGATATTGGGCAAGGAAGAGATAATAAAGTCATGTGATTTAAGGGCACCATCTGCAGATTCATTCCTTGCGTATAAAATAGCTTCCTGTATTTTCTTGACCCAGACTTGCTTTTCTTGAGAGCAGCTTGCACTGAAAGCAAAGGTATGTTTCCTGCATCTCACTACAAATGAATGTTCTCTTTGGCCTACATACAACATAAGTTTTTGGTTTTTTTAAAATGTTTTTTTTTCTTACCTTCAATGTTTGCTAGGTCCTCAAAATCAGCTAAATGAAGAGGAAACCAATGTTTGGGTTCGTAGCTAATCACCTTTTTTGGCCTCACCATAATCATGTAGGTATTGAAGACAAAGCATCCAAGATATCTTGGTTTAGAAACACTTTGACCTAAAGCAGAATAGGTCACCTCAATGGCACCTGCAATCAACAAGTTGCCTAATTGAGCTACATGTCGCCTACTAATTCTCCAGTCGCTATCAAGACGTTCAATAAATCGATTTGTACGCTCCTTCATGTCTCTCTGTTGCTTGAGGTGATCAATTTCGCTGACAATGTCCTGCATCTCGTTTAACACAGCACTCCATAAATCATATTCTGCAGTTTGAGGAGAAATATAGCGAATAATTTCTTTGACGAGCAAATGGTATCGACATATTCTCTGTACAGGCTGCATATGGATTGATTGTTAACCAACGAATAAAAGAAAAAATAGGAGGCTCACCTTGATTAAGTAGTCTTCAAATTGCAACTTTTTTGGCTGTGATAGGCTATTTGATGCAAGAGTGAAAGGGATAAAGCAAGAATCGAGCATTACACAGTCTTTAAGGAAACCTGACCATTCAGGTCGATCTCGATACTCTGAAAATAGGGTCCATGCTTCTGCGTGCAGATCACAGTAATATTTATATAGCGAAAACTGACTAATCTAAGAAAAAAAAGAAGGTAAATGGCTTATAAATACATCTTCACGTGACAATGCTACCTGGTCAAGAAACTTTTTGGCAATCATAGAGGAGTTGTAATCAGACATTGAAGTATCCAGTGTGTAAGATATAATAAACTGCTTGTGAAAGTTGAAAATCCCTTGTGCATTTCGAGTGATAATAATTTTGTGTTCTTTAGTAATCCATGTTTGACGAGCTAATGCCTTCAAGCAAATCTATTAACAAAAGAAAAGATAGTTAAAGAAGTGTTGGACAAAGAAGGAAGAAAAGAAAGAGATGTATTTATACTAAAAAGGGGAGAAGGCAGACACATTTTGTATAAACTTACTTGAATCAGATAATTTAAGTCTTGAACATAATCACGTTCTGTTTGAAGTAGTTCTTCAATAGCATGAAGTTTCTTTTTCTGTATCTTTTCATCATCTGGCATTGCATTTTCTTCTGGTGATAACTTTATGTCAATTGATAATGTACCTCCAGTCGATATTAATGATTCTGCTAGCATTCCTTTGTCTTCTTTTTCTATGGTTGATGTGCAGCTACAGCATGAGCATAGTGAGTCGACACTTGGTTTCCATGGAGGAACAGACTGTGTTTGATGATAGCAACAGCAATGACAGCAGCAACAGCAACAATTTATGAGTGAATGTTCTTTTGTGGGTATTGATTTCATAGAGAATGTCTCGTCTGTTATAATGTATTAAATGATTTTGTTCAGCGAAACATACAATGATATTTTCTATGTATATTTATATATATATATATGTGTGTGTGTATGGATGTACAAATATTTACGCTGATTTTTTATTGTTGCAAAATAAATTAGATTTTGTCGTTGTCGAGTTGTCCTTTTTTAACAGAAATAAAGGGTTTGTGTTTGTGTGGATTAAATGTGTAAGAAAAAAAGTAATAATTATACACTGAAATAAGATGGTCTATATACACGCACACAAACGCACGAACACACACAAACACGCAAGTACAAAAAGGAACTAATGGCTAAGGTAAGAAAGAACAGAAGAAAGAAGGTTAAAGAGAATTATAAATAAATAAATGAATATGACTTTTTTTTTGCCCCTATTTTTCTCCTCATTCCTCCCTTTTTTGATCGTTTTATAAGTAAAGTAATAAATACATGATGTCCTGCAGTACATATGTCTATACATGATGGTATTTTTTATGTTATCTATTGCTATTTGTCTCTGCTGATTCAATTAAGTAAGATTCTGTATAAGCATAGTATTTGACATATTTTGTGAAAGCTACAAGGTGTTACAACAAATTCCTGGATTTATATGTATACGGTTTTCCTATTTGGGCCGTTTTGCCTATGCTATGTATCGTTATTACATTCTGTAGAGAATGATATGATTCGTTTTAAACAGATTAGCAGAGAGACAAAAAAGGGAGCTTATAAAACATATCAGGGGAGTATTACCAAAGATGTGATTTCTAGAAGGCTTTCGGATAATCTAAGGAGTGACAACAAAGGAGGGAATCTTTTTATTTGACATTTAAACGGTGCCACACCAATACCTGAAGAAAAAAAAGAATTATAGATATTGTCTCAGCCTACCTCCCCCTTTTTTTGTTGTATTTTAAGATACAAACTTTGATGTTTGATAGTGGCAAATATTAAAGTTAATGAGTGATACTGATTTTCATTTCGATATGGTAGCACCAAATGTATTCGAGACCACTTTTAAGTTTCAGCAGCATGCAAGTACTGTCTGTAAAATCCAAGTAAAGTGACGATGCTAGTTGATTTTATCATTTCTTCAGATGATATTGTCCTTTTTATCATACAAGACTGTATGTCATAAGAGAACTTTCTTTTCTTACTTTTTCAATAATTATCGGGCTTGATAGCACAACAAAACGCCAAATTACAGTAAACAAAAAAAAAACGATTTGTACAATTAATCCTTCAAGGTATCCACAGAGACTTATCAGCATCATTAAATGGATTATGTTCTTGAGTTGGACCTGTTTTTCGTATGCATATATTCTAACTTACCGAGAATGAAAAATATTATGTGAGCTACTTGAAACAGATATTCGGATCTTTGATATGAAACTCAATGATAAAACAGTACTAGCTGATTTTGTTTGAAAAATACCTTTTCTCCAACCTATAAAGGCAATATAAACTATGTATTTGGCTTGTGTTCTTCCAAAAGCGATAATGCGTAATCATCAAAAGATACATTATTTATGAACACTCGAGTCAAAACAATGGTGCATGCACCGTTTTAAGCCCTTACATTGAACTTTTTTTTTTTTGTACTAGACCTATATGCAATGAAGCATAGATGGGTTTTTAGGCTTTTTCTAAAGAAATAAAGGCATTGACATTGTCACAGGGTTTTCAAGTCGACACTGAAAAGTTCAAAATCCTTGTAAAAGAAAAAATACTGCCAATCTAAGTTAGAGTTACAAGATGCAATTCTGTTCAAAAATTACAACTTATCAACAGTACTAGAACCAATATCTGTTCGTTCTTGCTTTAAAGTACTTCGTTCCTCGGTCCAAAAATTTCAAACCAGTAGTCGTTTAATAAATGAATGTCTTTTAGAAGGCAACAAGAAGCTCTACTAAGTTTGAATATTGATATAGAAAAAATGAGATAGCATGTTTGTTGTGTTTTTATTGTATTTTTATTGTATACTTAATATAAGTAACAGAACTGTTTAATTTTCATATGCACGTATGCAAATGTGGATAGTTCTATTGAATTTTAGTTACTTAAG